TACTTTGGAATTATACAATCAATCCTGCAGTATGGCATTTTGGCATGAGGCTCATTTTGGCATGTTTGCTGAGTGTCTTATTTACTATTAAACAGTTATACACAGTTTGGCGACTGTCTCACATGGTTACTCTACTCGGATTGCATCCCAAAATCGTGCTGTTATACCGCCCGTAAATAAGACTGTAGGTCAAAGACATTACTCTTAAAATTCCATTAAAATATACAATAAGTTTGGGGAATACCTAACAGCACAGAACCTTACGTTGGCGAAATCTAGGTGGAAATACTTTTCAAAAAGATGGGTAGATGGAATTTTTTCAATTATGGTTTAGTTCTTTTAAAGTTGAATTGAGTGTTGTATAATTTGTTATCTTTGTTCACAGTAAGAGTTGGTACTGTTTTCTGATTTAACCCAAATTAACAGATTTTTTTAACAGAAATGTTCGATAGCAAAAAAAAATTAACCAGAACATATATATCATCTTTTTCATATACATACCTAAATTGTATGTATATGTTTAAAAGATTGTATGTGCCTTTATAATCATGATAAACATGAAAAAATAAAATTTCCATTAACTTGCTTTACGAAAGTTAGTTTAAAGGAAAATTTCGATCGAATTTCGAAATTACAACGCTCTAAATTTAATATCCTATCACTTACCGATAGGCTTTTGCAAATATAGTTAGTTTACCTTTACATAGAAAATGTTCACTTCAGTTAATAACATTTAGCCAACGAATTTTAGTGAAAACGTTCGTTCTTGTTATTAAATATAATTTCATTCTCCACTTCCTTCAAATTTCATCAAGGTCGATAAAGCAATATTAAATCCGGCGAATCTCCATACAGATTGGATAGACGATTTGGGTTATCATAACAACACTTTTGCTGCATAAGCGGGCGAAGATAAACATTAATGGATAGAAGGGGCAGAATCATTTTGTGCTTTTAACAAATTGTTTATGAAGTGAAATAAATCGCATTTCAACTCGAATTTCAAGACTTGAATATCGATCATTCCACTTTAATGAAATCTTGGAAAGGTTTGGGGAAATTGTTGAACTCAAACTCTAATTCAAAAATGTTGTCTATCATCGAACGATACCAGAATGAGGCAAGGTTGGAGGCGAAGGAGACAGTGAAGACGAAGCTATAGAAGGTAATAAACGACGTATGGATGAGGGAGAGGTTTCCGGACAGGTGGAGGATGAGGATAATATCCCAACTGTATAACAAGGGGAGTAAAAGGGTGGTGAACAATTATAGCAGGATCGCCCTGTTGGACACAACTTTCAAAATTTATGCAAAGATACTGCTGGGGAGGTTGGAAGAGCAAATGGAGATATTGACAATATATACATTCTGAAACACCTGGTAGATAGGGAGTTGAACAAGAAGGGGGGAAAGCTGTATGGATTGTTTATTGACCTCAAGGCTGCATTCGATAACGTGGATAGAGAGAAGTTGTGGAAGGAAATGAGGAGGAGAGGTATCACAGAACAACTGATAGGGAGGTTGAAGGAGATGTACAGGGAGACGATGGGATTAAAGTGGGGGAAGAGTTAAGTGAGGTATTCTGGACAACAAAGGAATTGAGACAGGAGTACCCCACACTATTTGCAATATATACGTCGGACTTGGAAAAGAGACTTGCGATGGGTCAAATGGGTGGGGTGCTGATAGGAGGAACAAAGGTGCACACCTTGGCGTATGCGGACGATTTGGTGCTCGTGCCTAGAGAGGCAGTGGAAATGAAGGAGATGATGAGGTCACTGGAAAGATATTTTAAGGCGAAGGGGTTGGAGATAAACGTTTAGAAAACAAAGATAATAAAGTTCTGCAAAGGAGGGAGAAGAAAGAAAGAGGAATGGAGGTGGCAGGGGAGAGAGATAGAGCAAGTGAAAGAGTACACGTACCTGGGATATGGTTTCGCGAAAAGTAATAAGGTCGGGGGGCACGTCAGGGCGATGGCAAAAAGAACGAACAGAGTGATGGGGCAGGTTTGGGGGGAAAGAACTTTTGGGAAGGACGTGGGAAAAAGAATGGTTATGTTTGATGGCTTAGTAAGGAAAACAATGATGTACGGCGCAGAAGTATGGGGATGGAGAGAACAAGATTTGCTGGAGGATATACAAACACGATATTAGAGATTGGTACTAGGGTTGGCAAGGGAGACTCCAGGGTATGTAGTGAGGGAGGAGGTTAAAGTGGATGCAGTAAAGGTGGAGGCAGGGAGAAGAGCAGTGAAGTATGAGGAAATGATAGAAGTAAAACCGCATTACAGGATCCTGGGAGAGTGCTGGAGGGGAAATTAAGGAGAGGAGGCTGATCTTTGGGCAAAGAGACAGGGAAGAATATTATAGAAGAATGAAACAGAAGAGTGGAAAGAGATGAAATGTGGAGAAAACTGAGAGATAGGGACATGGATATACTGAGGCAGGAAAAGTCACAGATACGAGACGAGAGATACAATGAAAGGTATAGGGAGATAGTGACAGAGGAGCTGCCAAAGTATTTGTTGATGGAGGGGGATGATGAAGGGAAGAGATTGGTGGCCAGATTCCGCTGTAGTAATGAGGAGAGGGGGAATAGGTACTGGGCGGACGATATGGAGAGGTGGTGTAGGCTGTGTTGAGAGGATAAAAAAACAATAAAACGCTTATTACCATCAAACGACTACATCTTGGTCACTTTAAGTTGTTGACACTTATTCAGTAATTTCAATTATCTTAGATTGAATGAATACATTTAGACTGTTCCTGCATAAATACTACTTTTTTGGAACACCGCATCAATATAGAACTGCGTTAAGTATCACTTATTAAAATGTTGGATTTCACTGACTTAGTAGCGCAAGTCGGTATCAACTATTTTTTGGAATTCTTGCTACACATTTAGGTGATTCCACCTTGATAAAACTTAATTCTAACATGATGAAATAGAGATGAAGAATGTTACATGTTTTCTCACATTTGGTGAGTTTTCTATGGCAGCAATCTGTCATCTGAAAGACTTATTTCTATAAGAACTTCTCTTTAAACATTTATCTTCACAGTAGAAATTTTCTTTGCAAAAATATCTAACAATAAACTTTATCCAAACTTGAATGACAAGAAATATTTCCAATTACATAACATATTGTATGTGAAAAACAACCTTTTATCTTAGGATCTACGTGGAATACTTCGTAAATCGTGTTTCTTCTTCCAGCTTATGGTAAACATGAAGAATCTGATGAATGAGATGGGATCTAATATATGATGTATTCCAGGATCATATTTTAGATCATCAGGGACACAAAGATTATCAAAAATCTATCATATCTATTGTAACTTAAGCCCTTCAAAGATTTAGGATAAATCCAGCTCCTTGATGAACATTAGTATTGCTATAAAGTCTTGTTCTTTTATGTCAGTAAGTGTCAGGCAAAGTTTTCCGAAAATTTTGTGTAAATACACAAAATATGACAAGTTTGATCCTCAGCTTGTCCAATGTTGAATAGATGCTATTTTAAGGACATGTAGCATCGACACACCATCGGACATGTTGGTAAGGCAGAAAACCTCTTTGGTTTTCTTTTGCGTGGAGTCGTTTCGTCTTTCGTAAGTCCATAAAGATGTATATCGATGCTCCTTTCTGACCCTTTTCAAGGTTCAAAACAGTGCAGCAGTTTATGACAAGAATTTCAGCTTGAAAGATGGTTGTGTCCGAACTTAAGAGCAACTTAATGCGGCTATTTAGTACCTACTCCGGATTGCCTGCTACTCCACATAAGCTCAATGAGCCAATCGTGGTTTAAGACCCCAGTTCTTCCAAGGAGTTTTATTCATAGGTATTTGACCTTTGTTTTGAGGTTAATAGCACTACCTTCAATGAAGGGTACTCTCAGTAACCTAAGATAAAGAATGTTATTCACAGTAGAAACTTTCTTTGCAATAATGTCTAACAATGAACTTTATCTAATCTAAAAAGACATATTTCCAATCACATAACATATTGTATGTGAAAAACAACTTTTTATCTTAGGATCTACCTGGAATACTTTGTAAATCGTGTTTCTTCTTCCAGCTTATGGTAAATATGAAGAATCTGATGGGATCTAATATGTGATGTATTCCAGGATCATATTTTAGATCATCAGGCATAATCAGGATCAGAAACATTTTCAGAAATCGTTTAAATATATTTGATTCATCTTAAATATGCATACTGTTGTTATACTACTAAAGCATTGTATGGACGGACTTCCGGTATCCCCTACATCCTCCTATATCGTAGAATTTGACATTGTAGGAATTGTGTTCGTATAAGCGTTAAATCTACCCCAGGAGGCATTAAGTTAAAGCGAGGACAAAGTTATTGCCCGTTGCTTCGTAAATGGTCGTGTAAATCTTCGGTTGGTTTTCGGAGGATGTAAATGAAGTTGTTGCCCTCGAAATAATACTGAGATTATATCTAGATGTTTATCTGAAGGATTTTTTAATACGGTCTTATTAAAAACATCTTAATCGTAATGAAAGTTGGAAATAAAAACATAAAGTGTTCATAAACAAGGTTAAAAAAAGTGTAGGTGAATCATTAAAATAGTGACTAATTAGAATAATTAAATTAATGAGGTGAGCTGAAAAAGTAAGATTCGAATAATTTATAATTTTTTTTATGAATAATTTTTCCAAGGAAAATTTTATTAAAAAAAGTTTTTCCAACTAAATGCAAATTACTGAAACGTTATGAAACGGTTTTCTTGTAACTTTCATTAATTATTTATAATATATAAAAAATGATATCAAAAAAATAAATAACAAATCAAAAAATCTCATCTCAAACACGGAAGAGCAAGGTCACGGATGTTGTTACTTTTCCCGTTTGAGTTCCCCCCCGTGGCCCCCATTATCCAATTGAACTTTATCTATTCGATAAAGCGTCGCGACGCAATCGCCGTTCTTTTAAATTTATCAAACAACAACAACCAAAAGGAAAATAATTATGCTTACCGGACACGTTGACCGCCTCTGAATTAAAAACCAGCCATAAGGAAAAAAACTGATCAACGGCATGATTGACAGTTAGCTGTCCATCGATGCCTGATGTATCCGGAAGTTGCAAACCGCCGACGATAAATAGAAGGCGAAGGAATACCGGGAGCAGCAGGAACCGTCGGTCCGGCATCGTGGCACTCCGCAGGACGACTGCCTTGCGACGACGACGGCAACGCGACCGAAACCGACCAAAGTGGGACGTAGACTGAGGTGCACCTCCACCATATTATTATTGTACAGAGTGTAGGGCTTCGTGGCGGAAAGAGACGGAGGATGCAGGAGGGAGTGCTCCTGCTTTTTCCTTTTTTTTTATTTTTTTTGGGCGAGAGAGAGCGAACAGGAACCCGATCGATTTGAGTGGTGCGCCGATGGAGGGCGCTAGACGACGAGGAAATGTTCGATCCAACGGGGGTTTTTTGAATCATATTGAGTTGAATGGTACATGTTGGCGAGTGGTTGAATAGGATTTTCAATGAACAATACTAATTGGGAAAATGGACGTCTTTTGTTGTAGCTACAATGATTAGATTTGAATTGGGATTTATTAATTTTACAAAATCAAAAATGTTCATTCATCAATGATTAAAACAAAAAAAAAGTAAAAACAATCTTTCTCATGACAAGACGTTTATTATGAATCCACCAAACGTGGAAACAATCGCATTAATGGGGTTAAATGCGACGAAGCGGAGGGTGAAGAAGAAAGATAGAAACTTTTAAAAATCTAATTAAAGTGCGCCGGCACGCCAAAAGGATTACTGACGCAGCCGGTAATTGGCAGACAGTTTGTGGGGACGCTGAAAATATCCCCCTTCGCGAGCATCGTCTTTTGTTTTTCTTACAACATCTCCGCAAACGTTTGTTTTCGCAACCCCTTAAGCAACGCAATAACGCGAAATAAATACGTAAAGACCCCTTGAGATAAAACAAACAAAATCAATTTTTCCTTTAACTTTTTTATTCAACTAACAAATCTTATATGAAAAAAACCAAAAAATAGATTAAATGTATTCATAAAATATTAAGGACTTACCTTAAATAACTTTTCGTATTCAGAATGAGTACTTTTAATGTTTTAGTCCTCTTTTCATTTGACACTAACTAATATTTCCACTGTTTTATGCGAAAATCATTTGAACACTTTTTTTTTAAAGCTAACCCAAGAGCTGAAGATGTCTAAATAAATTAAGAGCCTTTAACATACATTAAAACTCTTCTGAACACTTTTGAATACTTCTGAACATTTCTGAACACTTCTTTATATTACATTATATCTTAGTTCCTGCATTGCATCCCTATTTAGACATAACAAAGCCCACAGATCTATCACAACACTGACATTTGTGATGCTCCAAATACCGGATATAACCGGATACCATCTTTCCTTTATTAACGTAGAGAATAAGTTTTATTCACAAATGATTAAAATAGAAATATTTTTGACTCTGATGTTTTTTTAATGTTATATTATCGCTTGGTTATTTTCACTTGTATAAATATGCACACCAGCTCATTCCCAGCTCAGGCAACCTTCTCACAGAAGACAACTCTTTGGCTTCTCGCCTTTTTGACAATTTTCTACTTTTCGAAAATTGTACTGCAAAGATTGTACCTTTAGGTACCAAGTAACGTGTTTGTGAGAACATATTTCATCAAAGCAGTTTTTTTTTGTAGAAAGCAGATTTGATTTCTTTTAGACCTTTGCCACTTTATTTTAAAACTTGGAAAACATCTCAAAATATATTTTTAATAGGTCTGCAACGTCAAAAATAGCAAAAAAGCAATTTTTCTTGTACATAACCTGAAATATTTCGAAATCCTGACGTGATGGTCCAATTCTGAGCTCGGATTCTGATTCCAAGCAGCATATTATATTAATAGTTATTTAACCAACAAGTCTATTAATGAAGGCGATTAATTATCGAGATGTTTTAACGTTTGAGATAATTAATCGCATTTTAATATACGAGTTAGTTACAATATTTTTCCGTTGACTGTCCTTTCAACAAAATAGAGAAAATCCATCGTTGAAAAATCTCCCAATTCTATCACTGGCAAAATAAAAACCTCACTCTTAATTGTGTCAAAAGTCAAAACTTAATATTGTAGTCTTACCGAATAGATATAGTGGTCGATTGGGTCGGGGTATTACCGATTTGATTGGAGAAAAATTGACTACTATATTAGTTCGGTCGGACTTTCTTAAAATCGTTTATTAATAGAAAATCATTTATTAATAGGTGTCATTAATGAATGATTTTGTATACATTTATAAATCATATTCATACACAGTCGACGGAAAAATACATTTTTTAAATTTGTGTGAACACTTAGTAACAAAACACTTCACAACACTTCCAACTCTTCTAAACACTTTTTTCTGAACATTTTTGAACACTTCTGAACACTTCTTTATATTACATTATATCTTAGTTCCTGGTTTTAATTCTGTCGACAATACAAAGTTTTTTAACTCTTATATACACTCGTCATATTTTTGCTTAACCTAAACAAAAATTGAAAACTTGTATTTTGATCGTTTTTTGCAGCAAACATGCCAAGAACCTGTAATTTTCTTCCTTATTGTCTTGAGATTGAATCTTGTTCTAGAGAAATAAAAGAAGGGGCTCAAGCACAACTTTTCTATCGTAGTTGTGTTCTATTTGGCCATTCACGAAACAATCTTAATAAAAGCTTTTGCCAATTTCTTCTTATTTTAGGGACTAACCCTGTTTTCTTCCTTTCTCCTCTTCCTTCCTCTTCCCACTTCCGTTCGGAAGGATTATTATCTTATGATGACGACGTCCAATTTTCATGCTAGCGTTTTAATGGTCTTCCTGAGAATCACCTAGTGCCTGGTTTTTGCGTTTGAATTTTCTTTGCCAATCTTTCTGCTCCCATCCTTTCTCCTTATCCGTGTAATCCATCCGTGTTCCGAGGTGTTAATGATTCTTAGAGCCGTTCCGCAAACTTTGCTCTTTTTCCAGACTTGGAGCAATTGAGCTTGGGATTGAGCTACTTAATCCATCCAGCAGCCAACCCCAAGCGGAATTACAAGGAACTACGTCACGAGCTGTTTTTCTTTTGACTTATTTTGTTGTTCTCATCATAAATTATGTATTCACCAACATTCGCTACAACTAAGATATTGAAAAATATAGTACAGATATTGTATGGTAATGACTAATATCGAAAAAGGCTTGAGGTGAAACATCCTGCACGGAATTAGCTTAATTTAGCTACCAATTTTTATTCTGCAGATATTGTTAGGAATTTGAAGATAAAGTAAGATAGTTTCTGTTGATGTTATGCATCAACAGATAATATTATAAATATTATTATTATATCAATGGCCGTTATTACAAAAGATTTGTATATTCTTGAAAAATTCATGTTCATGTGTTGCCGTTGTTTTCTCCGTACGAAAGAAACTGGAATAGTTTTAGCCACTAGTATCTGGAACTTGAGATCGGGGATTCTTTCCAAGTCATCTGATTCTTGGTTGTTTAATTACCATAAAATACAGCTAAATGGAAGCAAAAGAGATAAAGGAAACGTTGATATTAGAACAACGGATTTAGACATCCGAAAGATTTCAGTTTTGTTCTGATCAAATAATTTAATTCACTCCCTTTAAAGATTTTCAAACCATTGTGCAGTGTGATTTAACAAAGCCCAAAGATCTATCACAACACTGACCTTTGTGTTGCTCCAAATACCGGACATATTCGGATACCATCTTTCCTTTACTAATGTAGAGAAATGTAGAAAAACAACTCTTTGGTTTTCGCCTTTTTGACAGTTTTGTACTTTTCAAAAATTGTACTGCAACGATTCCAGCCAGTTCTTTTGTAGAAAACAGATCCAATTTCTTGTAGATTTTTTGCCACTTTATTTTAAAACTAGGAAAACATCTCGAAACATATTTTTTAAAAGTTCTGCAACTTTAAAAGTAGCAAAAAAAAGCAATTTTTCTTGTACATAACCTCAAATATCTCAAAATCTTGACGTGATGGTCCAAATTCTGAGCTCGGATTCTAATTCTACGCAGAAAATTACTTCGAAAATGATCGTCAAACACCAAACATAAAATCAAATTGTGTTATTTACAAACTTTTTAAACAATTTAATATTTCTAGGGTAAATTAATTTTTAATTACTAAGCTTAAAGTCCCTAGATTATAAAAGTACCGCGGTTTGCCGCCATTTTGGCTCGAAACTCAAGCGGGAAATTTAAAATTACGTCGTTCTGTTGATAAAATTACGCCAAATTTCCTTTCTTCTTTTTTCTCGTGGTACTCCGAAAAGTCATCTTACTGCTATTTTTGCAACTCCAAAGGCAAAAAGACGGCATTATCTTTATAAATAAGTGGTAACATGCACTGACAAGCTGTCAAACCGCGAAAGAAATACAATTTTAAAAGGCCGGTAATGCAGGACACGGTAATATTATTTTTATATTTTAAACATTTTAAACTTTACATTTGTTATGGTAAATGGACATTACACATATATACTGTCAATATTAAACTCGACCAAGATATCTCGAAGGTTGATCCGTTTTCTGAACTCTTCTAATTTGCTTGATAGATTCTTATGATTCGTCGTGAATTCTCAAAGAAAGAAACAAGGTGTTAAATCAGGTGATGGAGCAAAACACCAACACACCCAATCCAATGATGCATTAGTTTATCGTGCAGGTATCTTAAATGTTCAAATTGGTTACTGCCCCATCTTGTTTGGAACCAAATCCCTGTAATCAGTTACCAGTTGCTGAAACCTGCATCCATCATAGTCTTGTAGCAGATGCAAAACAACCTACACCAATAAAGGGGTATTTGTGTCATAAACAGTATAAAAAGCATAGCAAAATTTTTTCAACTGTCATAATTGAATTTGGCTTTTCAGTGCCCCAGATTTGCACATTATAACGATTCATTTTGCCGGATATATGGTACACAACTTTGAACATCAATTTGCAATGCTTCCTACATACTTATAATATGTAATATCTTAAAATTTGATGTTAGATGGAAAAACTCTTGAGAAACGCGTCTAAAACCTGTTCGTTTTTGGATAACGAGTCGAAGTAAGGAAGGAAAAGGGAAGGGGGATGGTGGTGGTAACGTTATGAATAACGGATTCGACATGTGGTGCCTTGAACGCAGTGAGAATACGCGATTTTATTCCGCGCACGCGAGTGTTCTTAAACGCGAGGTAAACCCCTCTCGTAGCCCCTTTTTGGCTTTGGGCTAAAACCGGCCCGGAGTTGTTACGCACTTGACGTAATAACGACGGTAAAAGTTTTGTACCTAGCACGGCGAGTTTATGGCGAAACCCTCTAGAAAGGGGATTTAGTCTTTTGTTCGTCTCTTTTGATAGGTCTATAAGTTGCCGTTTTAATAATTCAAAATGTGACGTCCTCTTCAGTTGATCCTTCTTCTAAACGATAGAGTACGTAGAGAGGTAGATAAATAACTAATAGGAAGAAAAGAACTTATTTTGTTTTCAAAATTTATCTTTTTTTTAAATAATTTTATCGAAATAAAATTTAAATACAAAAGCTCAAACAAAATTATTAGTTGTTTTTACGGTTTTATCTTAAAACGAGCGACCTCTGACCTTGAGTGCCGATAAAATTTGCTTCTACTAGCGTTTGAGAAAAGAGGCGCAGCATGCGAAGCATTTGGTGTTTAGCGTTTGCCACGACATGGACAACATCAAAAACGGCTGGTTCACCGAAAATAATACTTTGTGGCCTGAACACAAACTCTCGTTAAAAATAGAAAATATTTTACATCAAGAAAAATCTAACTATCAAGATATTTTAGTAATTAAAACGTAAGTTTTACATCTTTACTTCATTATTTACAATTATTTCATTTACTGATATGATCGATTAAACAGAAAATTCCATGGAATAGTTTTAATATTAGATGGCATAATTCAATGTACTGAACACGATGAATTTTCTTATCAAGAAATGATCTCTTTCCTACCACTTTGTGCTCACCCTAACCCTTCAAAAGTACTTATAGTTGGTGGTGGAGATGGTGGAGTTGCTCGTGAAGTAGCCAAACACCCCCTGGTAAAAGAAATTGTCCAGGTGGAAATCGATGAAAGAGTAATTGAAGTGAGCAAAAAGTTTTTACCATTTATGGCAATTGGATTTCAATCCCCAAAATTAACGCTAAAAATTTGTGATGGTTTTGAATATTTACGCCAAAATCCCGGCCAATTCGACGTTATCATAACGGATTCAAGCGACCCTATCGGTCCGGCAAGTAATCTTTTTACAGAGTCCTATTTTGGATTGTTAAAGAAAACTTTGAAAAACAACGGGATTATTTGTTCTCAAGCTGGATCGATTTGGGAAAATTGCACTGAAATTAGGAACTTAATGAACGGTTGTAAGCAACATTTTAATGTGGTAAAATATGGTATTTCTTCCGTACCTACATATCCAACTGGGCATATTGGGTTCATTTTGGCGAGTGATGATGAAAAGAAAGTATTTGAAGAACCGTGTTTTAAATTTAATTCTCAGGAATTAGAAGATAAGAAATTAAAGTATTATAGTTATGAAATGCATAAATCTGCTTTTGTGTTACCAAATGTATTCTCTAAAATTTTATATGAATAAAGAATTTTAATAGATTAGATTATTTGGTAATAAAAAACAAATATAAAAATTAATGGTTTTTGACAAACTTGTATTATAATGATTTCTAGTACTATTTCAAAAGTTTATTTCTCAAGAACTAAAAGTGATTTTTCAAAACTGCTTTTTGCATTAAAAAGAGGATACTTTAATTAATAATTGGTGATACTTCCACAAGAATCCTTCAAGAAATCAATTTTATAGCGAATTTTGAAAATAATCGATGAATATTGCAACATCAAAAATTTTATCAAAACTTCAAATATTGTTTTCTCAAAAACTNAACGGTTGTAAGCAACATTTTAATGTGGTAAAATATGGTATTTCTTCCGTACCTACATATCCAACTGGACATATTGGGTTCATTTTGGCGAGTGATGATGAAAAGAAAGTATTTGAAGAACCGTGTTTTAAATTTAATTCTCAGGAATTAGAAGATAAGAAATTAAAGTATTATAGTTATGAAATGCATAAATCTGCTTTTGTGTTACCAAATGTATTCTCTAAAATTTTATATGAATAAAGAATTTTAATAGATTAGATTATTTGGTAATAAAAAACAAATATAAAAATTAATGGTTTTTGACAAACTTGTATTATAATGATTTCTAGTACTATTTCAAAAGTTTATTTCTCAAGAACTAAAAGTGATTTTTCAAAACGGCTTTTTGCATTAAAAAGAGGATACTTTAATTAATAATTGGTGATACTTCCACAAGAATCCTTCAAGAAATCAATTTTATAGCGAATTTTGAAAATAATCGATGAATATTGCAACATCAAAAATTTTATCAAAACTTCAAATATTGTTTTCTCAAAAACTAAAAGTTATTTTTCAAAACGGGTTGGTTCATTGGAAAGAGGACACTTTTATTAACACTTTGGGAAATTTTCATACTCATATTCCAAGAAATGGATTTTATACGAATTTTTAAAACTTAATCGGCGAAAATTGCAAAATTCGAAAAAATTGTCGATCATTTCAAAAATTTATTTCTCAAGAACTAAAAGTGATTTTTCAAAACGGCTTTTTGCATTAAAAAGAGGATACTTTAATTAATAATTGGTGATATTTCCACAAGGATCCTTCAAGAAATTAATTTTATAGCGAATTTTGAAAATTATCGATGAAAATTGCAACATCGAAAATTTTATCAAAATTTCAAATATTGTTTTTTCAAAAACTAAAAGTTATTTTTCAAAACGGGTTGGTTCATTGGAAAGAGGACACTTTTATTAACACTTTGGGAAATTTTCAAACTCATATTCCAAGAAATGGATTTTATAGGAAATTTTAAAACTTAATCGACGTAAATTGCAAAATTCGAGAAGATTGTCGATCATTTCAAAAATTTATTTCTCAAGAACTGAAAGTGATTTTTCAAAACGGTTTATTGCATTAAAAAGAGGATACTTTAATTAATAATAGAAAGTGATAACAGCGGCAGTTCTGTTAGTAATAAATGTGATGATGAATTACAGAAGAAAACTAGACGAAACTGCAACAAGGGATTTTATATATCGTATTGGGATTGTTACAATGAGGTTGCTAATGATAAATAAAGTTGTATTCAATGAAAAAAGGGTTGAACTTGATTTTCAGGAATTTTTTATATCTGATTTACTATTATTAACCATAAATATATCTACAAATCTAACGTTTTTGAATAAATTGCTTTGGGCGTTAACTTTCAATTGCACTACATTCCTTGTACACACTCAAGGTAAATGAAACTTTTCATCGTGGAAGAAATAACAGCCGCTCGTTTCGCGTTGTGGTTCAAACTTTATCCGTATGTGTAGTTTTGCACCTTCTTTGCACATTCATCACCAGAACTGTAGGGATGGGATCTTTTTTCCATCTTCACCAACCGCCTTTTTCTTTTTCAACGCCCAAGTTTTTATCGCCTGTTTAGGTTTTTATTGTCCGATGGTTGTAAAGTTAAACTTTACGCTATGAAAAGTGAGTTATAAATAAGCCATATAAAATTCAAGCTTTTTGCGCAACAGAAAAAGTCGACAAGAAGTGATTCTATAGGAATCCAACAAAAAAATTTCTTTATTAATTACATATATAATTCATACATTCTTTTTTGAAAAATAACAGGAATTCCATCAATGCTTCTAAACATTATATCCGCTTTCAATTTAACATCATGGTCTTTAACGGAACAAATTTCAAATTCTCTCAGGATTTTTGCTAAAAATAATTTCATCGAAGCATATGCTATATTTTTACCTAAAAAAAGTGTTATCAAAAATTGTTTTTTTTTAATAAAGTAGAAATCAATTACCCGGACAATATTTTGCTCCATATCCGAAGGATAAGTGTGCTTTTTTCGCATTTTCCGTCATATTTTCCGGTAAAAACCGATCCGGGTTAAAAACGTTTGCGTTCTCAAAGTTTTCATTCGATTTAAAAATTTCTGCGAGATTAAAAATGACTTGGGTATCTTTCGGAATTATCATATCTTTAATTTCAACGTCTTTCGTTAATAATCGATCAACGAATGGTGATGGGAAAAATAAGCGTAAAGCTTCGTTGACAACACAATGTAAGTACGTCATATTATTTAAATCGTTTAATGTTATTTCTCGTGATGACTGAGGTCCAACAATCGAAAGAATTTCTTCTAAAATCTTTTCTTGTAGTTCGGGACGTTTTGCTAATTCATACAAAGTAAGTGCTAATGGAACAACTGAGGTTTCGAAACCCTTTAAAAGATTTTAATGAAATATTTAATATAGATTGTTTTTAGAAATACAGTGAAATTTCCCTAATTCGAACTTCTATATTTCGAATATTATGTCGATTTTTACTAACTCGAATTTTTTGTAGCTGGAATTGCACTACTATGGAGTAATTTCACCTTTATTAAGTTCTATATGTCGAATATTCCAAACTATTTGAATCCCTTCTGTGAGGCACCTTTTTTTATTCCAGCGATTTTATGATTCGAACAAGAGCTGAATAAAAGCTTAACCTAACACCAGAAGGTTACTAAACCAAGAACTACAAAGTTAGTTCGTGTAGTGTTATGAGTACGAAAATTTCCCAAAATGTTAATAAAAGTTTTGAAATGATCAACAATTTTTTCGAATTTTGCAATTTTCGCCGATTAAGTTTTAAAAATTCGTATAAAATCCATATCTTGGAATATGAGTGTGAGAATTTCCCAAAGTGTTAATAAAAGTGTCCTCTTTCCAATGAACCAACCTGTTTTGAAAAATAACTTTTAGTTTTTGAGAAAACAATATTTGAAGTTTTGATAAAATTTTCGAGGTTACAATTTTCATTTATAATTTTCAAAACTTGCTATCAAATTAATTTCTTGAAGGATCCTTGTGGAAATATCACCAATTATTAATAAAAGTATCCTCTTTTTAATGAAAAAAGCCGTTTTGAAAAATAACTTTTAGTTTTTGAGAAAACAATATTTGAAGTTTTGATAAAATTTTCGAGGTTACAATTTTCATTTATAATTTTCAAAACTCGCTATAAAATTAATTTCTTGAAGGATCCTTGTGGAAATATCACCAATTATTAATTAAAGTATCCTCTTTTTAATGCTACAAGCTGTTTTGAAAAATCACTTTTAGATCTTGAGAAATAAATTCTTGAAATGATCGACAAGTTTTTCGAATTTTTTCAATTTTCGCAGATTAAGTTTTAAAAATTCGTATAAAATCCATTTCTTGGAATAAGAGTGTGAAAATTTCCCAAAGTGTTAATAAGAGTGTCCTCTTTCCAATGAACCAACCCGTTTTGAAAAATAACTTTTAGTTTTTGAGAAAACAATATTTGAAGTTTTGATAAAATTTTCGATGTTGCAATTTTGATCAATATTTTTCAAAATTTACTGTAAAATTAATTTTTTGAAGGATCCTTGTGGAAATATCACCAATTATTAATTAAAATATCCTCTTTTTAATGCAAAAAGCCGCTTTGAAAAATCACTTTCAGTTCTATAGAAATAAATTCTTGAAATGATCGACAATTTTTTCGAATTCTGCAATTTTCGCCGATTAAGTTTTAAAAATTCGTATAAAATCCAGTTGTTGGAATATGAGTGTGAGAATTTCCCAAAGTGTTAATAAAGGTGTCCTCTTTCCAATGAACCAACCCGTTTTGAAAAATAACTTTTAGTTTTTGAGAAAACAATATTTGAAGTTTTAATAAAATTTTCAATGTTGCAATTTTCATCGATAACTTTCAAAATTTGCTATAAAATTCATTTCTGAAGAAACCTTGTGGAAATATCACCAATTATTAATTAAAGTATCCTCTTTTTAATGCAACCAGCCGTTTTGAAAAATCACTTTTAGATCTTGAGAAATAAATTTTTGAAATAATCGATAATTTTTTCGAATTTTGCAATTTTCGCCGATTAAGCTTTAAAAATCCGTATAAAATCGATTTCTTGGAATATGAGTATGAAAATTTCCCAAAATGTTAATAAAAGTGTCCTCTTTCTAATAAACCAAACCGTTTTGAAAAATAACTTTTAGTTTTTGAGAAAACAATATTTGAAGTTTTGATAAAATTTTCATTGTTGCAATTTTCATCGATAACTTTCGAAATTCGCTTTAAAATTAATTTCTTGAAGAATCCTTGTGGAAATATCACCAATTATATTAATTAAAGTATCCTCTTTTCAATGCAAAAAGCCGCTTTGAAAAATCACATTTAGATCTTGAGAAATGAATTCTTGAAATGATCGACAGGTTTTTCGAATTTTGCAATTTTCGTCGATTAAGTTTTAGAAATTCGTATAAAATCCAGTTCTTGGAATATGAGTGTGAGAATTTTCCAAAGTGTTAATAAAAGTGTCCTCTTTTCAATGAACCAACACGTTTTGAAAAATAACTTTTAGTTTTTGAGAAAACAATATTTAAAGTTTTGATAAAATTTTCGATGTTGCAATTTTCATTTATAATTTTCAAAATTCGCTATAAAATTAATTTCTTGAAGGATCTTTGTGGAAATAGCACCAATTATTAATTAAAGTATCCTCTTTTTAATGAAAAAAGCTGTTTTGAAACATCACTTTTAGATCTTAAAATTTTCGATGTTGCAATTTTCATTAAATAATTAGCAAAAAATGATTAAGCAGAGGTTTACCGTTTGAATTTTACTAAATAAAAGTAAAAAACGCATGAATAGCAAAGGTTCGAAACCGTTAGGAATAGCATAAGCTAGGAATATAAACAAGATATGATTAGAAGATTATCTGTATAAGATATATCTGGATAAATTGGAATACTGCGGAGTACGAGCTGTGGCATTAGACCTTTTGAAGTTATGCTTAGCAAATAAGAACTTATTATTGGTAATACATGGTCAAGGATTTGGAAGTTAAGGACTTGGACCTCTACATTTAGAGCACACATCCAGAGTTTATAGTAGCTTTGAAAAAGTAACTAAAGAATCAGTAGCCTGGAAGAATTCCTGCTTCTGTGACTCCTATAATACTGAGGTTCAGCTATCTTTTCATCGCCTTGAAAGTATTCCTACAGGTCATTTTGTATATGTTTTGCCATCCCTTGTATTTATATCTAGAACTAGAAACATTCGGGTTTAGCCGTCTTATGAGATGTACGGCTAAATCCAAATGTTTCTAGTTCTATATCTAATATTAGTACTAGTGACAGTGCAAGTATAAAACTAGAGCTAACACTATACCTAGAACTAGAAACATTCGGGTTTAGCCGCACGTCTCTAAAGACGGCTAAACCCGAATGATTCTAGTTCTAGGTATAGTGTTAGTTCGACATAGTAACAGTGCTAGTGTAAAACTAGAACTAACACTAGACCTAGAACTAGAAGCATTTGGGTTTAGACGCATGTCTCTAAAGACGGCTAAACCCGAATGATTCTAGTCTAGGTATAGTGTTAGTTCTAGTTTTAATTGTTATTCAGCGCTAGATTGTTGTATATTTTAATTGAAGTAGTTGAAAGTTTAAATATACATATTAGAAAAGTACATTGCTAATTTTTTTCTTTAGAGCTGAAATTCAACTAATTTTTCTCTAACTCCCTTAGTGATTCGAGTTAGGGGAACTTCACTATATTTTGACTTACACCTCCAATTATTGTATTCATATTATCAACAATTTTATCATCTGACATTCCACTATCTATAAAAGCATATATTAAATTGCACTTCTCTCTTTGATCGATTGGAATTTTTTTATGGCGCTCCAATAAATTTTCCATAATTTCAATAACATTTTCGGCATATCCCAAAGATAAGCGATAATTTTGAGTAAATTTGTATAAAATCCCCATCGTACTTGAATTCATTTTTTCTAATAACAAATTAAAATATTTTGTTCTATTCTCCATGTAGTCGTTAATTTCTTTTTGTGTGATTTTTATTTGAGAATCCATCATGGATTCTAATAAAAAATAAATAAATTAAAACAAAATTTAGATTACATTTTCTAAGAATATATTAACCAATTATGATTTCGGCGTGAATTCTTTCTAAATTGGATTCCAATTCAATCGGTTTTTCTAAATTCTCATAAATCATTTCCATGAATTCGTTATATTTTTCGTTATAAACAATCAAACGATTCGATATATAATCTCGTGTGAATGTTTTAATCACAATTTGTTTATCGTTATGCCAATTTTCTCTCGATTTCGTTGTAGCTAATCCTTCTCTTAACAAAGATTCAGCTTCAGAAAATGCGGGGGTATAAAAATTGTCGTTGGATTTATAAATCTTTTGAATAAACTCCATATCTGTGGTCATTATAATTGGCGGCATCGGTTTAATCCATATTTTAACAATTGGGCCGTATTTTGTATTTAGTGATTGAAAAAATTTTAAAAAACCTTAAATTAAAAATAATGATGTGTTAATAATAAATTTGAGGTTTTAGTTACCTTCGGATGAATTTCTGTAGTGGTTAATAATATCCTTGAATGATGGACCTGGAATTTTTTCGATACTCTTAAACTTATTAACATTATTTTTATATCGAAATATTAAATAAGCAAATGGAAAAATTAAAAGAATTGGAACCAACATCTTTTCAAAATTATTTAATAAACGAACCAGTTAAAGCGAATACCCATTTCTTTCTTGATAAAGTTGTTTATAATGATAAAGAAAAAGTTGAAGAGGTGAATGTGACATAAGTTATCTCCAACTCCTATCTTTTTTTTAAATTTATTTGATCAAAAAGTGTAATCCAACTTCTTATTTAATACAAATTGATTCTTTTCACTAATTTGAAACAATACTTTTTCTGCATTTCAAAATTACGTCCTTTTTTTCAATTTAATATTATTTTACCACAGATATCATACAGTTACGACACTCCCGGCAGTATCTATCATATTTCAGGAGTGCCATAAATGACCTATATTCTCAGATACCGTTAAATAGGTTTTTAGAAAAGGTGCCAAATCCAAAATAAACATTGTTAGAATCTATAACGAGGGTTTACCACAAAGCAAACCATAAATGCAACAAGATATCAGGTGCAGTTTGCAACCCAATATGGAGGAATAAACATCAATCGCAAGCAAAGCCAGAATATACAAGAGGCCTGATCTTAAATATCCGGCGGAAGCGAAAGCTGACACAGCTGAGATGCCTGAGAACAATTAACATGTAAACGCTATGTGCAATATGCGGATATACTGTAATGGATCGTAAGAGAAATACAGAAATCAGAAAAAAATGATACACATTAGTCCAACAGATACACATTTTCAGAGACGAGGAGGATAGAATGGACATGTATCAAGAATGGATGGCCAAGCACGACTGGTGTTTGATAAAATATACAAGAAATAGCAAAACATATGCAAAAAGACTTATAGGAAAATCGTTAAAGCGATGGAAAAACAGCTGGACCTCAGTATCACAGGAGAAGCAGCACCAGGAATGTCGAAGCGTCATAACAAGATAGATGAGGACTTAAACGATGTATACATCAGATATTCTGTATTAAAAGAATTAGAAGTATTGGTACCTTTAAGGAATTATTCTTCTACTACGAAAAACGCTGTTTTTGTTCCTAAACAGATAGGAAAAAAATTAACCTTTAGTATAGACAATTATTGGGCAAAACCATACAATTATCAACCTGAAAATGTCCGAAAACTATCGATTAAAACCTTAGCATTGCAATTTCGTACTTCTCCGAACACAGCATTGAATTAAATGAATTATCGAGTGTAATATTACTAATGTATGTAAAAATGAGTTTATAGTCTGACAATGAGGTTGGTGTCTAACATTATAATAGAACAAGTTCTCTGTTACTCGTTTTCAACTCCTAATAGACTGGCGCTCAAAATGTAGCCCATCTTAGAGTGATTGATCGTTAGAAGTGCAAAACCGTACCTGTCTGGTTTTATGGATAGACTTTATGTCCTCACTACATCCACATCGACTACGGAACTACAGATGTTGTTTAACAATGATGGAAAATTTTGAAAATAAATCTCAAGACTATTATATATAGGCTATCTCATTCTAGAACATTTGTTGACGACATCTATAATCAATAAAGCGTTATCTCTGTTATTATACCATCAATAATCAGCAGGGTATAAGAACGATCAGCTGTTTTTACCTTTTTTACTGCTTTTTTCGGGCCAAATAAATTCTTTACCAGATTTCTTTTTATATTCTCCCTCGACAATTGGAATTATGGTTATCAAATACCGGGTGGGCACGAGAACAAAGTAGATACGGAAGGAGTAATACTTTCGTTATAGAAAGTAGAGGAGTACACTAGGTGATCTTGCATTCCTCGACTTATAGCATTTCACTGTTAATTACCACCATGGTGTCGTGGAGACTACAATATCTTTAAAGAACGGATAAAAAAACCACTATAATGATAAAATGTTGAAAATGTGTCAAAAAAGTGAAAAAGTCAGAAAAGCGATATTGACATGCCTCAGTTCCTCAACTCACTTACAATTTAGATCATGCAGAAAAGATATATAATAGATTACCCCAAAGGAATGTAGTTTCAGCAGAAAATGCTTGAACTTTAAGGACAAAATGAAAACATAATGGTTTTTCACCTTACTGAGGTGAATAAATAAAATTGTCAGTGTTGGGCTAAGAAAAGTTCCTACTTTTTCGAACAAAACATTACAATACTGAACATTTTTCATCCAAATCAACTAAAAATTCGTTACACCTTGTAATATAATAGAAAAAAGAACAATATTAAAAAAATATTACAAAATCTTTACAATTCATCGTCGGGATACATTTTCGTTTCAAAATCATGACATTATTCTATTTTATAACTTTCGGTATCGATGGATAGGTTCATACTGGTGGTATAGCATCGATTTTAACTTTATTTTAACTTATTTTAACATTTCGTGGCATTAACAGATAAACGATTTCACTGTTCTCAATAAGCCCGTAATTGATCCATTTTGTACCTATCATATTTGAATACGTCTATCTTTTATTATTCAAAATAATGATGCAAAGAGTTTTTAAAATACGGATTTCAGACTGTTCACGTAGATCAATATATCCTGCTGAACTTCGATGACAGTGAACTTTTATAAATTTTTACATCTTTCTTTCAATAACCACAAATGCATCTTGTCGGAGTATAGAACTATGTTCAGGTTCTGAGAAACGATATACTATATTGGAAAACCATGCAGTTTTAGCCAAAATGGCCAAGTGTTGCCCAATGAGACCATTGTTTCAGTGTATGCGTAAATGTAGTGTGTTTTAACTTGTCTGATGATTAATTTTGATTTTGTTGGCTCCTTTTAGTGTTACAAGTGCCATTTTAGCTTGAGCTACCATGTTTTTCCAGTAATTTCTCACAAGTCAGGATGTTGATGTACTAGTGATGAAAAAACTAAAAGTTATTTTTCAAATCGTGTTGGTTTATTCAAAAGAGGACACTTTTATTAGACCTGGAAGTGATTTTTCAAAACGGCTTCTTACATTAAAATGAGGATACTTTAATTCATAATTGGGGATATTTCCGCAAGGATCCCTCAAGAAATTAATTTTATAGCGAATTTTGAAAATTATCGATGAAAATTGCAACATCGAAAATTTTATTAAAACTTCAAATATTGTTTTCTCAAAAACTAAAAAGCTATTTTTCAAAATGGGTTGGTTCATTGGAAAGAGGACACTTCTACTAACATTTTGGGAAATTTTCATACTCATATTCCAAGAACTAGATTTTATACGAATTTTTAAAACTTAATTGGCGAAAATTGCAAAATTCGAAAAAGTTTAAAATCATAGAAAATTTACCAAAATAAAGATTATTATTACTCGGTGTGAAAAAGAATATTGTTTTAACAAAAATAAAAATAATCTTAGATGTCCATGTTATTTATGTAAGTATATTTATGTATTTAAAATTTACATTAAAAATTCATACTTATTAGACTCTTTTCTTGAAAATAACGGGAATTCCATTCACACTTTTGTACGTTAAATCGGATTTTAATTGAACTTCATGGCCATTAACCGGATAAATTTTAAATTCTCTAATAATTTTTGCTAAAAATAGTTTTATAGAGGCATAAACCATCTTTTTGCCTAAAAATTTAAAATTTATAAAAAAAAAAATCAGTTTTCAACCATCATGTTTTATCGATAACATTTCGTTGTTCAAACCTATCTGAGTTGAACTTGTTAGCATTTTTAAAGTATTCATCATATTTGAAAATTTTTGATAGATGAAAAACTACTTGTTTTCTCCTAAAAAAAAAATTTCTCCTAAAATTCTCTTTTGCAATTCTGGACGTTTTCCTAATTCATACAAAGTAAGCGACATTGGAAGTACTCTTACATCTTGCGAAACATTGTTGTGGCGTTCCAACAAATTTTTATAACATTTTCAGCACATCTCAAAAATGAACGATAATTATTTGCAAATTTATATAAAATTCCTATCGAATTCATTTTTCCTAATAACAAATCAAAATATTTCATCCAATTTTCTATGGATTCGTTAATTTCTTCTTGTGTTATTTTAATTTTAGAATCCATCATCGAATCTAAAAAATTTAAAAGGAATAAAAATCATTTAAAGTTTACTTAAATTAAAATTGAAATAACTAACCAATCTACATCAATCGATTTTTCTAAATTCTTATAAATCATATCGAAAAATTCGTTATATTTTTTATTATAGCAAATTAAATGATTAGTGAAAATTTTTAATATAATTTGTTTACTATTCATCCAACTCTCTTTTGATGTTGTAATCAATAAGCCATTTCTAAATAAAGATTTAATCTCAGCAAGAATAATGATTCGATTTGTAAATTTTATCGATAAACTCTGAATCTGTTGTTATTATAATTGGTGGCATCGGTTTAATCCATATTTTAACAATTGGGCCATATTTTGTATTTAACGATTGAAAAAAATTTACTAAACCTATAAAATTTACAATTGTAGCAGATAAAACGTAATAAATTTAATTACCTTCCGACGGTTTATAAAAAAGCTTAATAATATCGGTTATTGTAGGTCCTGGAATTTTATTTATTTCGTTATATTTATTGATGTAATTTTTATATTGGAATATTAAGTAAAAAAATAGTATAGATATTAAAATTGCAATAAACATCTTTAACCTAAACGCTGTTTAAAACTGCACGAATAGCAACTTATTTTCTCTTGATAAGTTTATTTACAAAGATAAACTAAAAGTTAAAGTTCGATCTAAACACCAAATAAAAACAAGAAACCGAACAAGTTGCCAGTCTCATAAAGGAGTTGTTAATAAATTATGAAAGCAAACTGGAAAAGTTCTTCTACTAGACGAGCTAATTAAGCAAGTTACTCCACCCAAAGGAGAAATAACGATACATCGAACTAACTAACTATGATCCTATCTCAAAGAACCGTTAATAATTATTAAAAAAGGAGGTTGTTCAACTTTACGTAACATAAATAGAATTTTTTTGTTCAATTTATTTAAATAATAAGTAAAGTTCTAATAAAATTAAAAAAAATATAACGTTGAATAAGAACTAAAAATCATAAGAACCATGTTTGTGGGGAATAAGAAATTATTTATGGCACATTGAATACTCATAAAATTAGCTTTAAAATGTTCTTTGTTTCATCTTTATATCTCAATTCGTTTTTGAGATACAACTTTTTAAATTCTATTCGTTAAATCGGCAATTCAACCATGCAGAGTGGGGTTTAAAAAATCATAACAACCATGTTTATGGGAACAAAGAAATTATTTATTTCACAATGAATACTCATAAAATTAGCTGTAAAATGTTCTTTGTTTCATCTTTATATCTCAATTCGTTTTTGAGATATAACTTTTTAAATTCTACTCGTTAAATCGACAATTCAACCATGCAGCGTTGAGTTTAAAAAATCATAACAACCATGTTTTGTGGGAAATAAGAAATTATTTATGGCATATTGAATACTCATAAAATTAGCTGTAAAATGTTCTTTGTTTCATCTTTATATCTCAATTCGTTTTTGAGATACAACTTTTTAAATTCTATTCGTTAAATCGACAATTCAACCATGCAGAGTTGAGTTTAAAAAATCATAACAACCATGTTTTGTGGGAAATAAGAAATTATTTATGGCACAATGAATACTCATAAAATTAGCTTTAAAATGTTCTTTGTTTCATCTTTATATCTTAATTCGTTTTTGAGATACAACTTTTTAAATTCTACTCATCAAATCGACAATAATCAAACATGCAGAGTTGGGTTTAAAAAATCATAACAACCATGTTTATGGGAACAAAGAAATTATTTATAGCACAATGAATACTCATAAAATTAGCTTTAAAATGTTCTTTGTTTCATCTTTATATCTCAATTTGTTCTTGAGACACAACTTTTTAAATTCTATTCGTCAAATCGACAATTCAACCATGCAGAGTTGAGTTTAAAATATCATAACAACCATGTTTATGGGAACAAAGAAATTATTTATGGCACATTGAATACTCATAAAATTAGCTTTAAAATGTTCTTTGTTTCACCTTTATATATCAATGCGTTTTTGAGATATAACTTTTTAAATTCTACTCATCAAATCGACAATAATCAAACATGCAGAGTTGGGTTTAAAAAATCATAACAACCATGTTTGTCGGAAATAAGAAATTGTTTATGGCACATTGAATACTTAAAACATTAGCTTTAAAATGTTCTTTGTTTCATCTTTATATCTTGTTTCGTTCTTGAGATACAACTTTTTAAATTCTACTCATTAAATCGACAATAATCAAACATGCACAGTTGGGTTTAAAAAATCATAACAACCATGTTTGTGGGAAATAAGAAATTATTTATGGCACATTGAATACTCATAAAATTAGCTTTAAAATGTTCTTTACTTCGTCTTAATATCTCAATTCGTTCTTGAGATACAACTTTTTAAATTTTAATCGTCAAATCTACAATAATCAAACATGCAGAGTTGGGTTTAAAAAATCATAACAACCAGGTTTGTGGGAAATAAGAAATTATTTATGGCACATTGAATACTCATAAAATTAGCTTTAAAATGTTCTTTACTTCGTCTTAATATATCAATTCGTTCTTGAGATACAACTTTTTAAATTTTAATCGTCAAATCTACAATAATAAAACATGCAGAGTTGGGTTTAGAAAATCATAATAACTATGTTGTTGGGAAATAAGAAATTATTTATGGCACATTGAATACTCATAAAATTAACTGTAAAATGTTCTTTGTTTCATTTAACCGTATTAATCCGTTATATTGAGGTTTTACTGTATTTTGATTTTATTTTATCTTAAAAAGACAGAAACAGTATCGATTAATAAAACGAAACCCACAATCTAAGACTATTGTCCAAATGTCAGATTTGTTGTGACATGGCAACACCTCCACTGTGATTTCAAGTTGATGTATCGGTTCCTCTGGAGAAGGAACTCGTCGTTTTCGTCGTCTTTCTTGTCAACGTTTCTTACTCCCGAAATGGAATTGCTGTGTTTTGAGCTCAAGTGGAAAATGATTGATGAGATAGATTCACTAAAAAGAATCTTATTAAAAATACCTTTTTTTTTAATTTTATTGGTAAATTCATTTTACTGTGTAAAAGTATCTCGGAATTAGAAGTTAACTTTTAAATTTTATGCAAAAATCGAATTGTATATTGTAGTCGAACTGGAAAATGTTAAAACATTCGCCTATATTCAAAATACGTCATACTTAAACCACACCTCCTGAAGTAATTAAGGTAGATTTTTCTTGGATAAGAAATTTTGTGGACAAAATGTGTGCTATTGGAGTGATGTTAGTTGACATCTATGTCAAAATCTGCCAGCTTATGCTTACAGAGGTCTTGGTTAAGGAACACTTTTGTCGGGTCGCTTTTGCTGCCTTCTATTTTCCATTAAAGAATTATATTAAACAGTGCAGATTAAAATTCTTCTATAAAGAAGACATTTTAATGAACCTTGCTAAAACTTGATTCTATCTTTATGATAGACTTATGAGTAATGACCTGGACTGAGTAATAAGCCAATCAAAGATAACCAATGCGTTTTGGCTTTTTCTCAATCAAAACATATTATGTGGCAATATGCAGAAACTATCTTGCTTATGACTCGATCAAGAATTAATCCGTTGAGCATAACTATTCTAATATCTTTCCTGAAACTAGAAGAAGGTATCAGTAAATCACCTCAATAAGTAGGTAAATTTCTTGTGTCCTCACTCCTTTGAATGAGATAATTTTAAAATTTCTCTCAAAATCATATAAGAACAACTAACAACTTTATAACATTAATTAAAGATATATAATGAATACACAGAGTTTATCTTGTAAAAGGAAATAGGATACTGTTGATATTTGGAAAGTTTGAGAGGAAACAAGGGTGAGTTCAATTCGGTTCAATATTGTAGAACCAGGATGAAGGGAAGTTGGAGTGGCAGGACACAATGTCTCTTGGAACGGGATTGCGTGACCAACGGGACAGCTTTCGGGACGCCAAGTTTCCTGATTTGGGAGCAAGAAGGGAATGCTTAATGTGGATTGTATTGTTTTATTTGCATAAGGATAGAATTTCGTTGTGCCATAATAAGTAAACCACTTCCTAAAATTCAATTATTTTTTTTAATGTCATCATTCATAAGTCATTATTGACTTATTAATTATTATTATTTATCAATGTCTATTTTTTAATCAAGCCTTTTCGTTCTTTCTGTATAAATAACCATTTCTTTTTTAATTAAAAAAAGGAAAAATGAAAAAACCTTCAAAAACAGCAAAAAACGATAAATCAAAGAATCAAGAACCTGAAAAGCCTGTATTAACATGGGACGAACAAACTAAACAATTCGATTTAAATTCGATTTCGGAAATGTATCAAGTAAAATTTGCAATATTAAACGCAGAGACGCCAAAGTTTATAAGCCACATTGAAAATTTACAAAGTTATTTGTATGTTAATTCCAATTTTACTATAAAGCCAATAATTTTTGAAGAGGTTCAATACATTGTTAAACATTACCCCGCTTGGAATCGACCGTACGTTCCACCGGAACTCGAAAAGTGCTTTCAACAAGCGTGCGAAGAAGCGAAACTTTACACAAGGAAATTAAAACCGATTCCTTTGAAACTTATGGCGAACTTAGTTAAATTGCGAGCAATCATACTTGTATACGAACACGTTTATTACGAATTAAATCCGGGAGAGAATCCGGTGTTTAACGCAGTGTCTATTGAGGATTTATTATCTTGTTCATCAGTAACTGAAATATCCATTGAAACCGAGGAGGATGAAAAATGTAATGATGATGGTGCTTTTGTGCAAGACGATACCACGAGTTTAAATAATGAAATTGAATTTGATAAGGATACAATGAATATGGTTTATAATTATTCTTCACCACTTTTACAAGTAATAAAATAAATTTAATATTACAGTAAAATTTCGATATAAGGGGTTAATGTTGGGAAGGGAGTATCTTTTAGTGTCTATTCCAGCGCTAATAAGAAATTGTTTATGGCCTCATAAAATCAGCTTTAAAATGATTTTTGTTTCATCTTAATATCTCAATACGTTCTTGAGATACAACTTTTTAAATTCTACTCATTAAATCGACAATAATCAAATATACAGAGTTGGGTTTCAAAAATCATAACAACCATGTTTGTGGGAAATAAGAAATTGTTTATAGCACAATGAATACTCATAAAATCAGCTTTAAAATGTTCTTTGTTTCATCTTTATATCTCATTTCGTTCTTGAGATACAACTTTTTAAATCCTACTCATTAAATCGACAATAATCAAATATGCAGAGTTGGGTTTAAAAAATCATAACACCCATGTTTGTGAGAAATAAGAAATTATTTATGGTACATTGAATACTCATAAAATCAGCTTTAAAATGTTCATTGTTTCATGTTAATATCTCAATTCGTTCTTGAGATACAACTTTTTAAATTGTATTCGTCAAATCGACAATAATCAAACATGTAGAGTTTGGTTTAAAAAATCAATACAACCATGTTTGTGGGAAATAAGAAATTATTTATGGTACAACGAATACTCATGAAATTAGCTTTAAGATGTTCTTTGTTTCATCTTAATATCACAATTCGTTCTTGAGATACATTTTAAATTCTATTCGTCAAATCTACAATAATCAAATATACACAGTTGGAATTAAAAAATCATAACAACTATGTTTGTAGGAAATAAGAGATTACTTATGGCATATTGATTAGTCATAAAATTAGCTTTAAAATGTTCTTTATTTTATCTTAATATCTCAATTCGTTCTTGAGATACAACATTTAAAATTGTATTCGTCAAATCGACAATAATCAAACATATAGAGTTGGGTTTAAAAAATCATAACAACCATGTTTGTGGGAAATAAGAAATTATTTATGGCACATTGAATACTCATAAAATTAGCTTTAAAATGTTTTTTGTTTCATCTTAATATCTCAATTCGTTCTTGAGATAGAACTTTTTAAATTTTATTCGTCAAAGCTACAATAATCAAACACGCAGAGTTTGGTTTAAAAAATCATAACAACCATGTTTGTGGAGAATAAGAAATTATTTATTGCACATTGATTACTTATAAAATCAGCTTTAAAATGTTCTTTGTTTCATCTTGATATCTCGATTCGTTCTTGAGATACAACTTTTTAAATTCTACTCGTCAAATCTACAATAATCAAACATGCAGAGTTGGGTTTACAAAGTCATAACAACCATGTTTATGGGAAATAAGAAATTATTTATGGCACCTTGAATACTTATAAAATCAGCTTTAAAATGTTCTTTGTTTCATCTTAATATGTCAATTCGTTCTTGAGATAGAACTTTTTAAATTTTATTCGTCAAATCTACAATAATCAAACATGCAGAGTTGGGTTTAAAAAATCATAACAACCATGTTTGTGGGAAATAAGAAATTATTTATGGCACATTGAATATTCACAAAATCAGCTTCAAAATGTTCTTTGTTTCATCTTTATATCTCAATTCATTCTTGAGATACAACTTTTTAAATTCTACTCGTCAAATCTACAATAATCAAACATGCAGAGTTGGGTTTAAAAAATCATAAGAACCATGTTTGTGAAGAATAAGAAATTATTTATGGCACATTGATTATTCATAAAATCAGCTTTAAAATGTTCTTTATTTCATCTTAATATCTCAATTCGTTCTTGAGATACAACATTTTAAATTGTATTCGTCAAATCGATAATAATCAAACATGTAGAGTTGGGTTTAAAAAATCATAACAACCATGTTTGTGGGAAATAAGAAATTGTTTATAGCACATTGAATACTCATAAAATTAGCTTTAAAATGATCTTTCGTTCATCTTGATATCTCAATACGTTTTTGAGATATAACTATTTAAATTCTATCGAGATTTTACTGTATGATTATACCATTTAGTTTTTGAAACAACAAATTTTAGGATTACATAGCAGCAATACAAATGCAATGGAATCGAAGAGAATCTATTAATTACGAGGACGATTTTAAAACGAAAAATGTACGTCCTTGGGTTTCAAGACATTGTCAATCTACAATAGATAAAAATGCTAATTTAACAAAACAAAAAATGAAAAAAAGTACATCAACGATGGTTACCACGTCGAAAATAATGTATATAGTTCTATTCGGATTTTACGATGTTCTTCTTGTAAAGGAACTCCACGAGATTGGTATTGATTTTTTATGCCTTATAGCGTTTGGCGAAGAAAATGAAACAACAATCTTTTTACCGAAACCGGAAAGATTAGAATCACCATCGTGCGATTCATTAAATAATTTTGTTGATCCTATTTATTATTTTTCAACAGCAACGGAAAATAACAAAAAAGAAAATTATGGAGTTACTTGCAAAAATTATGCTTATATTAAGGTGATTTTTTAATTAATAAAATATGATTTATTTCTTTTTTATTGCAGGAATCTGTAATATTAATGTTTTGGATTAAAATGGAAGAATTATGCGAATCAAGTCAAAACTTTAACAATATAATTTGGTTTCGTTATGCAACACCTGCCCAAAGTTTCGATGAAAAAATAGTTTATTCTGATGCTTATTGGAAAGCTGGCGCAAAACTTTTTCGTACGATTTCTCAATACTTACATAGTTTAATTTATTTAGAAAAGTACCACCGTTTATATTTGAGAAGTTTAATCGTAACCGAATTAGGAGATAAACCAGAACGAATTTATGTGAATAAAATGTTTTATTATAATAACTCATTAAGAAGTATTCCACAAGATTGTATTAAAGTGGGTCATATCTTGGAAGGACTTTTAGACGAAGTTTGCAATAGGTAAAGTTTAAACTACTAAAGAGTTTTGCTGAGTTATAATATTAATCCATAAATTAATAGGATTGCTATTGAAAGTACAGAAACTAATAAAGAAAACATCGGTGATGAGTTTTTTGGTGAAGAAGATTTCATTCAAGAGTATTTCGGTGAAGAATATTTTGGCGAAGAGTACACAAAAAAAATCATAGAAACACCCATCTCAAAACATAACAAGAAAACAGAAAAATTTCTTTTACGCCTATTCAAAAAATTTAAATTTTCTTATATGCCTGTTGATCCAATATCATTTGTTAACTCCCATTCAAATTTGTTATCAATCGATAATAACATGGAATTAACACGAAAACGATTTGAAATATACGCCTCAAATAAATTAGAATTAGAAACAAAATATTACCCAAAACTCCAAAATACGTTAAAATTAACAACGATCGAACATTTAAAACAATCGTTTCCCGCCTTGTTATGGAAAATTTACGATGAAGATGAAGATTTTCAAGATCGTTCCGTTTCCTCGCTTATTTTTCAAACTTGGTTGAGTTACATTCGCTTATCTCAACAACAATGTAGCGAACGATTATCGATTAAATTTTGTGAATCGGTACAATGCCAAGAAAAATCGAAATATTACAGTTTTTGTGGGTTGCATGAATACTTCGTTAAACCAATTTGGTTATCTACTGTTGGTAGTGTAAAGGAGGAAGGTATTGATACTTGCAAAGTTAAAGTTAATACATCGCAAATATATCGCACGCCTAGTGATGGGAGTCAAGCGGAAGATTTTCATTGGCAAGAAAAATTAACACCAGAAGTTTTATTACAACAAACGTCAGAAGATTTTACTTATTATGATTGTTGCGATCATCTTTATTCGCCATTTCTTGATAAAATTATCGTTCGATTTCATGATCCTACAGATGACTTTGGTTCTTCAGTTTATATTTGGGAGGAAGTAATTTTTTTTATAAATGTGAAGTTAGCTATAGATTTTAAAATGAATATGGGTAATTAAACTTTTTGATTTATTTGGACTACAGGACATAGGTCTTTTCCAAATGTCTCTATTTATTTCTGTTTTTCGTTGTTCTTATCCATTCATTCCCCGCCACACCCTTCACATCATCGATCCACCTTTTTGCAGTCTTCATACATCTCTTCTAGTTTGTCGTGGTCTCCACAACATTATTTCTTGTGACCATTTTTCTGGATTTTCTCTTGTCACATACCCAATCCATAACCACTTAAGCTTCGCTTCTACGAAGATCATCATTTTGAATTCGTCTCTCAGAGTGACTCCCTGCATTCCTTATCAATTCTATGGTTCCAAGTCACTGGCAGTACGCAGCTATCATACACCTTTCGTTTTGCACTTCTAAGTATTTCTTTGGTGTTCAGTATAAAACTAAGTTTTCCAAATACTGCCACTTAATCCTCGCTACTCGACTCATAACATCTGTCACTTGTGTTTTTCTGCGAATATCGTCATTTCGAATCTTGTCTCTCAGAGTGACTCCCAGCATTGCTCATTCCATCGCTCTTTGGGTTACACCAAGTTGTTTTACAGTTTTCCTCGTCAAGGTCATGGTTTCAAGTCTCTATGTAGGCACTAGCAGTATGTGTCCAATTGTTTAAATACATATTCCAAGACCGAGGAATTTTCTCTGTGATAGATATTTTTGATGATGGCGGTATATCGTGAATTTATTCTAGCATCTTTTAGTGCTTTCAGAAATGACCTCAATGCGAACCAAAGACTTTGTGATAGTCGATGAATACCAATGTGTAACGGGACATTATATTCTGTGGTTTTTTTTCTATTAGTACCTTTCTGGAAACTAACCTGCACCACTGGTTGATACGAATCTAGCTTTACTGTAAAACGATTCGTTCCAATTCTAGTCAGAAATTTGTAGAGATGAGATAATGAACCTATAGGTATGACCTCGACGTTCTTCCATGCTTCGGGTATCTTCCCTTCCAGCAGGCATTTCTTTAAAAGCAATTTTAGGGTTTCCTCAAGGGTACTACACATCTTTTAACATTCAAATCTTCAATAATCAAACGTGTAGGGTTGGGCTTAAAAAATCATAACAACCATGTTTGCGGGAAATAAGAAATTATTTATGGCACATTGAATACTTATAATATTAGCTTTAAAATGTTCTTTGTTTCATCTTTATATCTCGTTTCGTTCTTGAGATACAACTTTTTAAATTCTACTCATTAAATCGACAATAATCAAACATGCAAGGTTGGGCTTAGAAAATCATAACAACCATATTTGTGGGAAATAAGAAATTGTTTATGGCACATTGAATACTCATAAAATTAGCTTTAAAATGTTCTTTGTTTCATCTTTATATCTCGTTTCGTTCTTGAGATACAACTTTTTAAATTCTACTCATTTAATCGACAATAATCAAACATGCAGAGTTGGGTTTAAAAAATCATAATAACCATGTTTGTGGGAAATAAGAATATGTTTAGGGCACATTGAATACTCATAAAATTAGCTTTAAAATATTCTTTGTTTCATCTCTACATCTCAATTCGTTCTTGAGATGCAATTGTTTAAATTCTATTCTTCAAATCTACAATAATCAAACATGCAGGGTTGGGCTTAGAAAATCATAACAACCATGTTTGTGGGAAATAAGAAATTGTTTATGGCACATTGAATACTCATAAAATTAGCTTTAAAATGTTCTTTGTTTCATCTTAATATCTCAATTCGTTCATGAGATACAACATATTAAATTGTATTCGTCAAATCGACAATAATCAAACATGTAGAGTTGGGCTTAAAAAATCATAACAACCATGTTTGTAGGAAATAAGAAATTATTTATGGCACATTGATTATTCATAAAATCAGCTTTAAAATGTTCTTTGTTTCATCTTAATACCTCAATTCGTTCTTGAGATACAACATATTAAATTGTATTCGTCAAATCGACAATAATCAAACATGTAGAGTTGGGTTTAAAAAATCATAACAACCATGTTTGTAGGAAATAAGAAATTATTTATGGCACATTGATTATTCATAAAATCAGCTTTAAAATGTTCTTTGTTTCATCTTAATACCTCAATTCGTTCTTGAGATACAACATATTAAATTGTATTCGTCAAATCGACAATAATCAAACATGTAGAGTTGGGTTTAAAAAATCATAACAACCATGTTTGTAGGAAATAAGAAATTATTTATGGCACATTGATTATTCATAAAATCAGCTTTAAAATGTTCTTTGTTTCATCTTAATACCTCAATTCGTTCTTGAGATACAACATTTTAAATTCTATTCGTCAAATTTACAACAATCAAACATGCAGAGTTGGGTTTAAAAAGTCATAACAACCATGTTTGTAGGAAATAAGAAATTATTTATGGCACATTGATTATTCATAAAATCAGCTTTAAAATGTTCTTTGTTTCATCTTAATACCTCAATTCGTTCTTGAGATACAACATTTTAAATTCTATTCGTCAAATTTACAACAATCAAACATGCAGAGTTGGGTTTAAAAAGTCATAACAACCATGTTTGTAGGAAATAAGAAATTATTTATGGCACATTGATTATTCATAAAATCAGCTTTAAAATGTTCTTTGTTTCATCTTAATATCTCAATTCGTTCTTGAGATACAACATTTTAAATTCTATTCGTCAAATTTACAACAATCAAACATGCAGAGTTGGGTTTAAAAAATCATAACAACCATGTTTGTGGAAAATAACAAATTATTTATGGCACATTGAATACTCATAAAATTAGCTTTAAAATGTTCATTGTTTCATGTTAATATCTCAATTCGTTCTTGAGATACAACTTTTTAAATTCTACTCATTAAATCGACAATAATCAAACATGCAGGGTTGGGTTTAAAAAATCATAACAACCATGTTTGTGGGAAATAAGAAATTATTTATGGCACATTGAATACTCATAAAACTAGCTTAGTACCTTTCCGAAAACTAGTCTACACCACTGGTTAATATGAATCTAGCTTTATTGTAAGACGATTCGTTACAATTCTAGTCAGCAATTTGTAGAGGTGGCATAATTAACTTATATGACTTCGGCGTTCTTCCATACTTCGGGTATCTTCCCTTTCAGCAGGCATTTTTTTAACATTTACAAAGTTATAAAATCGTCACCGGAAGCTTTTTTGTTCTTCAGTTGTCGAAGGGCATATCTAATATCGATATTTCGAGAAAATCCTCCAAACCGACGTTTAGAACCTTTCTACTTGCAGTTTCCAGCATAAGTGTATAGCTTTTCACATAATGTTTGGATTTCTTCTACAATCTTATCGTAGTTTATTTTCGTAATCTTTGATTATCCTTCGGCTAAATTTGATCTTAATATTTTCATATTCTTGTTATGTCCTATAGTTTCTAGGATTTGGTTTGTTTGCCTCTGCGTTTTCCTTCGTTTTTCTATTAGTTGTACAGTTTCTGGCTCATGTTTAGTCTGTTTTATGTTTTTAACTCTGCTACAGATCTTTTTTGTGACTATTCTTATGTCATTAGTTATTTTGCATGTTGTTTCGTTTATATAGCTCACTTTGGTATGTTTCTTTTTGGAGTTCGAGCACCTCCATTGTTGAGAGTTTGGTTTTAATTAGGAGTTTTATTCGTTGCAGTTTTGTACTTATTTCTATACGAACCCGAACCATGCGATGATCGCTGCCAGTATCAAAATGGTTTAAGACGGTGATATCCTTACATATCCTTTTGTCATTAGTCTATCTTATTTTTTGTTCTACCATCTGGTCTAAACAACGACCACTTTCGTTGACACTTTTTATTATAGAATTTATTTAACAGAATAATCTCTCCTTAGAGAGGAAGTTAGATAGCATCTCTAAAAGTGCTTTCTAAGCTTTTGGTGTATCATAAGTCCTCGTTGAATTACTCTATAGCAGTGATGTTAAGATTAGTGGTACCAAGTCCTTGATGCTTTGTTATCATTTGTATAATACTTGGTACAATACAATTGCACATAGAGATTGTGTTTTGGACATGGTTTAAAATAATTCCCAGATAACGATGTTTCAAATCAGAATGCGCTAAGCTTATATAGCTAGGATGCTTAATGTGATGTCTATAAACCGATAAAGAATGTTTAGAAGTATTATAAAAATATGTCGTTTCTCTTGTTCTAAATCTAAAGCTAATTTCACAATTATTTGTTTCTATATTTTAACATTTAATCACAACAGGATTTTTTTAGAGCATTCGTTCACCAATTGGTTTATACAACTTCTACAAACACATCATTTTCGAAGATTCAAGGTGGTTAAAAGAATTAGAAGATACTTTAGCAAATTTAGAAGCTTTTCCACCCCAATCAATTTATAATTCTTCACAAGCTAATTCCTTAAACATGCTAGAAGAAGAAATAAAAACCCCTTTGGATAATTTTGAAGACGTCCCTTACATTTTAACAACAATTCAAACATTCGAAGAATTCTTTATACAATCGCCTTTTATAACTTCAAATAATATATTAACAGCTTTTAATTTAGACGATAGAGCAGGAGCTGGTGGGACGACAACAATCTTTCATAGCACCGAGGGTCTCAAAATAACGGTTGATGTTCAAAGGGTTTTTGGAACGAGAAATATTAATTTGAAAGTGCAAGGTGATCGACATGTTTTTATTCTTCACGCGAATCCGAAAAATCAGTTTTTATTTCATTTCGAATCGCCTAATGGGATAAGAATTGTTTTTGCAAAACCCAAAAATGAAGAAATTAAACCGAAAAGTTACGAAATTATAAAAAGGAAGGAGAATAAAAAAGTTTTCGCTGAAAAAGAAAGTTTCCTCAAAGAAACGAATTACATTAATTTCAAAAAACGATCCGAATTTGGCGAAAAAAGAAAACTAACAGACGATTCGTTCGAAAATATATTTTTTAACGTTTGTAACGAAAATATCAACGAATCAACATCAAGAAATTCATTAAGAGATGTTGAATCGGTTGATGATATCGCGTTAAAATCAACGTTTAGTTTAACAACGATCAGTAAACGTTCGATTCCCCCACCGATCGGTTTTGAGAAAGTTTTTAACGATTTACGGAAAATAAAAAGAAACACGATTCCTCATTTCAAAATTATTTCAACAGCTCTTCATAAAAGAAAATACGTTTCAGTTTTACGAAACAAAATCACTTTAAATTTTTTAAATCGTTCAATTCCAATCAAATTTATTCCCAAAATCGATGTTTCTAATAAAATTGAAATCTCAAAATGTTCAGGAATAAATTTACCTTTTGATACAGTAACATTAAATGATGAAATAAATAAAGAAATCGAAATTGGTGAAGAATCGATTCAAAATGACTTAAATGAAGAAACTAACGATATAAAACCAAATGGAAAAGAACCAGAAAAACAAGAAGATATAATCGAAAAATACGATGTGAGGATTACTTTACCATCAGGGTTACAAATATCAACAATTCCTGATCCTGATGATTCTAATAAATTATTAGTTGTACAAAAATATTTAATAAAAGGGGCTATGAACGATTCAATTGAAGATGAAGTTTCAAGAACGTTTACAAGACAAGGATTTATTAGAATTAAATATCAAAATGGTTCGATGAAAATGTTTGGATTAAATGGAAAAACGATTTCGGGGGAAATCGTTTCAATAAAACCCGAAAATGTTAAAAGAAAACCGAGCAAAATTTATTTCGAAAACTTGTATTACAACAAATGTATTAAATTACACAAAAATATTCATAAAAAAATTAATCGGTTTCAAAAAAGATTCATCAACAAACCAGGTTTAAGATATTTAAGATTAACCCTTAGTAAACGAGATAAATTTTTTAAAAGTCTTTTAAACGATTTCAAAAACACTCCTTATTTATTTGATTACGTTAAATTAACACCTCGGCAATTATTAACACCGATTATTTTTAAAATTCACAAAGATTCGTTTCAAGATCATTATAAATTTAATTTTACAACGAAGGATTCTTTTACGAGCATTAACAGCGATGGCCAACAAGTTACCTCGTTTCTTGATGGAACAATAATATCATCTTGGTATCAAATAGCACAAGAAATGATCGTAATTGAAACTGATGATTTAGACGGTGTTTTAGAAATCGATGATGACGATTATTCCTGCAACTTTTTAGTACCTAAAATAGGGGGTTGGATCGATGTTAGTTTATGTATTCAATTTCAACATCGTCAATACGCAACGGTGGTTTATCGATTAGATGGTGAGGAAGTTTCAATTTATCTTCCTGATAACATCGAGGTAAAAATAAAATCGGATGGGACTTATTTCCTTAATTTAAACGACACAATGTACGGTCAAATATCATCGGAAAAAATTAAAATTCGAAGCAATTTTTGCAAGAAATGTTACGATTGTTGCGAAACAAATCTTTATGTTAAACATTTATATAATAACAACGAAGATATCCCACCTTACGATATTCTTTTAGAAGCCAAAGACAATTTTAATAAATATTTTAAAGTTGAATATTGCGGGATGTGTTACCGAAACAAAAATTATCAAGATGGGGACACAACAACGTGTCAATCCCATCGAAAAGATACGATGGAAAAGTTTTATTCGTTCGATAGAAATTTTTCAGGCACAGCTTATTGGACTAATTCAATGTTTATGGATAGAATTTTATGCGCACGTGGTAAATACAAAAAAGAAAACGTTAAATATTATTTAGATGAGAATCAATCGATTCGAGCGTACGAAATTATTAGTTATTTTGTTCAACATTATTGCGATCGATTTTTAATGCAATATAGGAGATCAGATCCACCAGCTCTTTTAATGCCGAAATCAAAACCGCAATGTTTCGGCCCTATCGCTTATATCAAAAGGCGATTTGTTGAAATTCTCCCAGATTTAACCGCGATTATTCCCTTACTAAACGCGATTAATCAATGGAATGTACAAAGACCGTGGGAATTACACTTACCCACAGATGAAATGATCGATGGACCAATTCTGCCAAAAATATCAACCACCTCGAGCGAAAGCAGTTTAAATCTGAAATTAACCCCACGTTTTATTGAAACAGCTGTTGAACAATTTAAAGATCTTAACGTGTTAGCAAAAGATTTTCGAATTAATAGATACAGCAACGGCGACAGTTTTAGTGAAATTATAGATGATAATCAACCTGTGTGTAAATGCGAACAAGATAAATCGCAAGATATATCGTTCGACTCGGATATTGAAACGCAATTAAATACTTTTTATGAAAGATTTCCAGAAAAATCTTTTACCAAGCGAAAAGATACAACGCCTTGGTCGTCCATGGATGCAATGAGTAAAATGCTTGTTGTTCCAGTTAATTCGAAAATTTCCAATATTTCCAAACCTAAAAAGCATAAAGAAATTTTAGTTCTAAATGACGGTAATAAAAATAGTGTAAAACATCGATATAACGGACGAAAATTTGCAATAACTATTGTTCTAAAAGCATTTTTGTAATATGCTCCATTTTCCGAGTGTTACCAAGAACAATTTATTTTCGTATTTTCTCGATATTGACGCATTTGACAGCAAAAGTGAAAGAGAGCAATATTGCTAAGAATAAAATTTGCAATAACTATTGTTCCAAAAGTTTTTTTGTAATCTGCTCCGTTTCCCGAGTGTTACCATAAACAACCTGAAAAAGCAACAAATTCATCTAATATTCATATTTTTCTCGATATTGACGCATCTGACAGCATAAGTACAATGGAGCAATATTGCTGAGAATAAAATTTGCAATAACTATTGTTCTAAAAGGTTTTTTGTAATATGCTCCGTTTCCCAAGTGATACCATTGACAACTTGAAAAGCAACAAATTCATCCAATTTTCATATTTTCGTATTTTTGATAACATTGACGCGTTTGAGAGCAAAAGTGCAAGAGAACAATATTGCTAAGAATCAAATTTGCAGTGACTATTGTTCCAAAAGTTTTTCTGTAATATGCTCTGAATCCCGAGTGTTACCATTAACAACTTGTAAAACAACGAAATTCATCAAATTTTCATATTTTCGTATTTTTCTCGATATTGACGCATCTGAGAGCAAAAGTGCAATGGAGCAATATTGCTAAGAATCAAATTTGCAATAACTATTGTTCCAAAAGTTTTTTTGTAATCTACTGCGTTTCCCCAGTGTTACCATAAACAACCTAAAAAAGCAACAAATTCATCCAAGNTTTGCAACAACTATTGTTCCAAAAGTTTTTCTGTAATATACTCCGCTTCCCGAATGTTATCATTGACAACTTGAAAATTCAACAAATTCATCCAAATTTCATATTTTCATATTTTTCTTGATATTGACGAAATTGAGAGCAAAAGTGCAAGAGAACAATATTGCTAAGAATAAAATTTTCAACAACTATTGTTCCAAAAGTTTTTCTGTAATATACTCCGCTTCCCGAATGTTATCATTGACAACTTGAAAATTCAACAAATTCATCCAAATTTCATATTTTCATATTTTTCTTGATATTGACGAAATTGAGAGCAAAAGTGCAAGAGAGCAATATTGCTAAGAATAAAATTTGCAGTAATTATTGTTCTAAAAGTTTTTCTGTAATATGGTCTGAATCCCAGGCGTTACCATTAGCAACGTGAAAAAGCAACAAATTCATCCAATTTTTATATTTTCCTATTTTTCTCGATATTGACGCATCTGAGAGCAAATGTGCAATGGAGCAATATTACTGAGAATAAAATTTGCAATAACTGTTGTTCTAAAAGTTTTTTTGTAATCTGCTCCGTTTCCCAAGTGTTACCATAAACAACCTGAAAAAGCAACAAATTCATCTAATTTACATATTTTCGTATTTTTCTCGATATTGACGCATCTGAGAGCAGAAGTGCAATAGAGCAATATTGCTGAGAATACAGTTTGCAATAACTATTGTTCTAAAAGTTTTTTTGTAATATGCTCCGTTTCCCGAGTGCTACCATTGACAAGTTGAAAAGCAACTGTCATCCAATTTTCGTATTTTTCTCAATATTGACGCATTTGAGAGCAAAAGTGAAAGAGAGCAATATTGCTAAGAATAAAATTTGCAATAACTATTGTTCCAAAAGTTTTTTTGTAATAAGCTCTGAATCCCGGGCGTTACCACTGACAACTTGTAAAACAACGAAATTGATCAAACTTTCATATTTTCGTATTTTCTCGATATTGACGCATCTGAGAGCAAAAGTGAAAGAGAGCAATATTGCTGAAAATAAAATTTGCAGTAATTATTGTTCTAAAAGTTTTTCTGTAATATGCTCTGAATCAGAGGCGTTGCCATTAGCAACGTGAAAATGCAACAAATTAATCCAATCTTTATATTTTCGTATTTTTCTCGATATTGACGCATCTGAGAGCAAAAGTGAAAGAGATCAATGTTGCTAAGAATAATATTTGCTACAACTTTTGTTCAAAAAGTTTTCTTATGACATGTTTCGTTTCCCAAGTGTTACCATTAACTAGTAAAATATCGAAATTAGTCAAATTTTCATATTTTCCTATTTTTCTCGATATCTATACATTTAAGAGCAAAAATGAAAGAGAGCAATATTATTAAGAATATAATTTGCTACAACTTTTGTTCTAAAAGTTTTTTAGTAACATGCTCTTTATCATTAAGGCAATTTTCGCTTTTGACACCGCAAATCTAAATAGCTGGTTATCATTGCAGCCATACCATTTCCTCAGGTTCTTTAACTATAAGTTTTGTCTTATGGATCTCTTTCCTCTGATTTTTCCTTGCATAACTACTTGGAGGGTACTTAATACTTTCCCCTCTCATGATATGTCCCAAATATAACAGTTTCCTGTGTTTAATTGTGTCAATTACTTCTCCTTTCTCATCCGTCTTATCACTTATCACCACCTTAAAAGTACAAGAAATATATTATATATTTTTTTCCTTAAAAGTGTTATTGCCTATTTTTTTTGCATAAAACGCATAATTTAAAAAATATAATCCGTTATATCGAGGTTTTACTGTATAAATTGCAATTATTATTTTCTGTAACAAAAATTAAATTTTTTTCAGATTTAAATAACGATTCGTCATCTTTAGACTTTATAAAGCAAACAGAAAAAGGATCGAAACGAAAATCATTACCACCTATACAAGTTATACCATTTGAAAAAAATTTTAATAGTAAAAGTACTTCAATATTATTTCCTTTATTGCAACCAGGCATATTTGAATGGAGAAAAGCCGACCTAAACGAGTCATCATGTTCAGAAATTAGTGATACAAAAGATACTAAAGAAATGAATCAGAAATTAGCTAAAAAGAAGCAATACAACAAAAATAAATCCACAGAAACCCAACAACCTTTTGATGTATTAGGTTTAAATGCAACAAAAAATATAAGTGGAACTATTTTAGTAGCAAAAACAGGTAGTCAAGATAAAACACGTCAAGAGAAAACGAGTCAAGTTAAAATGAACGGATCTAAACAAGAAGTAATCGAAAAACAAGAAGGTTCTATTACGAATCAAAAATCGGAAAAATCTGTTTTGAAAATGACTAGTATGGATAAGATTTATAAAAAAGTAAGTGATTTAAAATGTTGTCCAGATATGGAAAAGCGATCGTATACAGAATGTAGAAAACCGAAATTAATTCAAAGTGAAGAAACAAGTACGTCTAAGTCTAGAATATTTAAAGAATTACCTTTGATTTTACCAATAAAGAAAATTAATGATTACGATTAAAACATATTTTGAAGAAAAATACTCATTTTATTTATGTGTTTTTAAATGACTATTTAAAGTAGATAATTGGGTGAATCTCTTAAAACAAATTTCACAACCATATAATTTTTCACCGGTATGAATTCGAACATGATTATTCAAAGAGCTTTTAACAGAAAACGATTTTCCACATTCTTTGCAAGAATACGGCTTTTCTCCTGTATGTATCCTCATATGAGTCACCAATCGAGAATTTTGACTAAATTGTTTACAACACACCTAAAAAAATATCTTTTTAATCATATTCATTTTTTCAACATTCATATTTACCTTACATTCAGCAACTTTTTCTTTTGAATGAACCCTCATATGAACTTTTAAACAACTCGACTGAACAAAACTTTTCCCACAAAGATTACAAGAATGTGGTTTACTTCCAGTATGTATTCTCAAATGTGTCGTTAATGTACCAGGTGCAGCAAAAGTTTTATTGCAATATTTACATTCATAGGGTCTTTTTCCACTATGCGTGATTAAATGTCCCTTTAAATGCCAATTTTGACCGAATTGTTTCCCACAAATATTACACATATATAAACGAGATTTAGTAGGATTGATTTTTTGTGTTTTTGAAACAGAATTATTTTGGTTGGGTATTTTAGTTTCGTTTAATTTCAATTCGGTTTTAAAAAATTTCTCTGACTTCAATGTAAGCTCCCTAAACGCATAAAATCGTTTTAACTCGTTTAAACAATTAAAACAAATTTGATGGGGTAAATCCTCATCTTCGATCACCTAAAAATAAAATTTTAGTCAATAATTAAACGAAAAATTATCTTTACATTTATTGAAGTACATAAAAGCAGCATTTCTTTGATATTATCGGTTTGGTCGTTATCAAATATGTTTATTAATGAAGAAGTTTTAATTGAACAAGTTCGGCAAAAATTCTTAACCTCCATGACAGCTTATTTATAGGTTATGTTTTAATGTTCGATTGAGTATTTCTCAAATTAAATTGTTATAAATACAATATTTAAAAGAAAATGTTTTGAAATATAAATAAATAGCTAATTTTATATCAATTAATTATGTTGGATCAATATTTGAAAATTAATTGCGATTAAAATGTGATTAATCGAACTCGTCTTATATAGGTTATGTTGCAATATCAATCTTGTAGTAATATAATATTAAAACCTATATAATCCAATGCAATGAGTAAACTTCTTGTTGTTCCAGCTAATTCGAAAATTTCCAATGTTTTCAAACCTAAAAAGCATAAAGAAATTTCAGTTCTAAATAATGACGGTAATACAAATATATATATAGACATATTTTCGTAATTTTCTTGATATTAACATATTTAAAAGCAAAAGTGCAAGAGAGCAACATTGTTAAGAATAAAATTAGCCACAACTTTCGTTTCAAAAGTTTTTTTCTAATATGCTTCCTTTCCCGAGTATTACCATTGACAACTTGAAAAAGCAACAAATTCGTCCAATTTTCATATTTTCGTATTTCTCTTGATATTGAAGCATCTGAGAGCAAAAGTGCAATAGAACAATATTGCTGAGAATAAAATTTGCAATAAGTATTGTTCTAAAAGTTTTTTTGTAATCTGCTCCGTTACCCGAGTGTTACTTTTGACAACTTGAAAAGCAACAAACTCATCCAATTTTCATATATTCGTATTTTTGTTAACATTGACGCATCTGAGAGCAAAAGTGCAAGAGAGCAATATTGCTAAGAATCAAATTTGCAACAACTATTGTTCCAAAAGTTTTTCTGTAATATGCACCGTTTCCCGAGTATTACCATTGACAATTTGAAAAAGCAACAAATTCATCCAATTTTCATATTTTTGTATTTTTCACGGTATTGATGCATCTGAAAGCAAAAGTGAAAGAGAGCAATATTACTAAGAATAAAATTAGCTACAACTTTCTTTCCCAAAGTATTTTTGTAATATGCTCCGTTTCCCGAATATTATCATTAATAACTTAAAAATTCACACAAATTTCATATTTTTGTATTTTTCTTGATATTGACGAAATTGAGAGCAAAAATGCAAGAGAGCAATATTGCCAAGAGTAAAATTTGCAATAACTATTATTCCAAAAGTTTTTTTGTAATATGCTCCGTTTCCCGAGTGTTACCTTTAACAACTTGAAAAAGCAACAAATTCATCCAATTTTCAAATATGTACACATTTCTCGATATTGACGCATCTGAGATGAAAAGTGGAATAGAGCAATATTATTAAGAATAAAATTTGCAAAAACTATTGTTCCAAAAAAAGTACATAAAAGCAGCAGATCTTTGATATTATCGGTTTCAAAAATTCTTAACCTCCATGACAACTTATTTATAGGTTATATTTAATGTTCGATTGAGTATTTTTCAAATAAAATTGTTATAAATACAATATTTAAAAGAAAATGTTTTAAAATATAAATAAATAGATAATTTTATATCAATTAATTATGTTGGATCAATATTTGAAAGTTAATTGCGATTAAAATGTGATTAATCGAACACGCCTTATCACATTGACGGTTAGTTGCTGTTATAGGTTATGTTACAATAACAATCTTGTAGTAATATAATACTAAAACTTGTATAATCCTTATAGAATTCGTTGAATATCAAAATGTCTTCAGATCCAGGTTCAAATAGTGAATCAGAAACCGAACACCGCAATAGATCAAGATCGGGGAGCCCCAACGACGACAAATCAGGTAGATCGAGAAGTCCCTCTGGCTCACGTTCAGGATCAGGTACCCCACAAAATAGATCTAGATCAAACACACCTGGTTCGAATAAATCTTGGGGCTCTAGAAAATCAGGGCGTTCACGATCAGGTTCTGGAGACTCGAACAAATCACGTTCACAAAGCAGATCACCAAAAAGTGGTAGATCAAGAAGTGGATCACCAAAAAGTGGTAGATCAAGAAGTGGATCGCCAAAAAGTGGAAGATCAAGAAGTGGATCACCAAAAAGTGGGCGCTCAAGAAGTGGATCACCAAAAAGTGGGCGCTCAAGGAGTGGATCACCAAAAAGTGGGCGCTCGAGGAGTGGATCACCTAAAAGTGGGCGCTCAAGGAGTGGAACACCAAAAAGCGGACGATCAAGAAGTGGAAGTCCAAAAAGTGGACGATCTAGAAGTGGGAGTCCAAAAAGTGGGCGATCTAGAAGTGGGAGTCCAAAAAGTGGACGATCTAGAACTGGAACTCCAAAAAGTGGAAGTCCCAAATCAATACGATCACCAAGTGGGTCACCTAAATCCGTGAGATCGCAAACTTTTAATAGATCTAGGTCCAAAAGTGGTTCAGTTAAAAGTAGGAGTAGATCAGGAAGTAGAGAATCAAATAGATCAAAATCTCGATCACCAGGAAGTCCCGGATCAAGAAGATCCCCATCAGGAAGTCCAAAATCGCATAGATCAGGATCTGCAGGATCACACAGATCTGGTTCTCAAGGTTCTAGAAGATCTAGCGTTAGATCAAGAAAATCTAGCGCAGGATCAGTTAAATCTAACACAGAAAGAACATCTAAATCAAGATCTCATTCACCAAAATTAACCGAAAAAGACGATAAAAACGATCCAGATAGTCCCGTTATTGAGAAGAAAAAAGAAATTAAAAGAAGTAATCTAATTGATTCTGAAAGTGAAGAGGAAGAAAAGAAAGAAGAAGCCGACGCTGCAGCTCTCTTTGGAGATGCAGACGACATCAGTAGTGAGGAAGAAAAAGAACCAGAAGAGAACCGCGAAGATTTACGTCGAAGCGACGAAGAACAAGATGAAAGAGATCGAGATAGAAGATCTGATGAAGAAAACGAACAACAACCAGTACGCGATGAAGAAGAGAAAGAACCGGAGGAGCCAATTCCCGAAACACGTATAGACGTAAACATCCCAAAGATCAGTTGCGATCTCGGAAGAGATATTCATTTCGTAAAACTTCCCAATTTCTTATCAGTCGAAACGAGGCCGTTTGATCCAGAAACTTATGAAGATGAAATTGACGAGGAGGAAACTCTGGATGAGGAGGGTCGGGCCAGATTAAAATTAAAAGTCGAAAATACGATTCGATGGCGGGAAGTTTTTGATAATGAAGGAAATATTGTGCAAGAATCTAATGCGAGATTTGTAAGATGGTCTGATGGGTCGCTTAGTTTACATTTGGGTTCGGAAATTTTCGATGTTTATAAACAACCTTTACAAGCAAGTTATGCTCACTATGTTGTAATAAAAAATTAATATTGTCGTTTTGTAGGGTGATCACAATCATTTATTCATTAGGCAAGGTACAGGGCTTCAAGGTCAGGCCGTTTTTCGTACGAAACTTAGCTTTAGGCCTCATTCAACTGAAAGTTTCACGCATAGAAAGATGACGTTATCTTTAGCTGATAGATCGCAAAAAACTTCTGGTATTAAGATTTTATCTCAAGTTGGAATTGATCCTGATCAAGATAGGAAAACATTATTGAAAGTAAGTTAATTTTTTTTGTCACATTTTACTTATACAATAGAACCATGATTATTTGTGCTCCATGGGACCAGAAGGGGCACAGATAATCCAAACACTTTTATTTTTTGCAGAATAAGAACAGAACGTAACTAAGATAACTTAGAACATATTTATGTATTCTGCGTAAGTTATTCTTTAAAAAGAATCTGTCATTTTGGTTTGAGTTGCACATGTGTAAAATGTCAACAAAGTCCGAAGATTCTTGTTACTCAAAATAGTCTAGTAGAACATTCGCAGCTTCTTCAGCCTCCCAGTTCGTTACTCGCTGCTTGTCTAATACCATGTTATCAATTTCTTCGTCTCCGCTCTCATTTTCGGCTGAATATGACTATCACACTGGATCAACTTTTCCATCTCATTATCATCAGTTTCCTTGAACTCATTGGCGTTTTGTACTAATGCAATTAGTTCAGATTTAGTTGTTTCTTCCTCGCCAGATGCCAAGACAATGCTTTCATCTTCCTCCAGTGACGTTATTAAGGCAAGCAAAAATATCCTCCAAAAATGATAGTTTAAGCGCTTAAAAAATTTTCTATAAAAATCAAAATATGCTGTTTAAAGGTCTCTGCCCACTACACCGTTCCATACTAGGACCGTAACAGGAACGTGTCAAGCACGTAAGAAAACGTTCTGAACACTACTATGCCCACTGCAAAGGACCAACAGCGTTCTATTCTCGTATGAAACGCGTATTTATGCCCGTATGCAACGCGTATTATGCCGGTGTATGCAAACTGTAGATGTCCCGTTCGGATCCCGTTTAGTGCAGCACCAGATCTGTTAGCTGTGTTGTACGTTTTTGCTGTTGCGCCTACCTGCGGATAGTATCAAAAAAGCGACGGTATGGCTATTAAAAAGTTATCTATCAGACAATTGGCAATGATTGCCATTATTTTGGACGAGGAAGGACGAGGAATTCACGATGCTCTAAAAGAACGAAAAGCTGAGGGAGAATACTGGACATTATTTAGACACTTAATTGATAATGAAAAAAAAATTTTTCAGTACTTTCGAATGTCATAATTTCAAATTTCCTTCCAGGCTCTCTCTTTAATTTGAGTATCCATATCAATTTTGGACGTTGAAGGTTATATAAAAATTCGTATTTACGAACACATTCTATTAGTTTTTCGTCCTCCATATTTAACAAGTGTGAACCTGCTGTAGTGTTCTAGCGCGAAAGGAATAGTAAAACAGATGTTTGCTGTTCGGGGCGCAAACGCAGAGCAAACACGGAGCATGTGCGGTAACCACGCGGTTGGGCCGCCTATGCACATCCTATACTACTGTTCTATTCCTCCCTGGGAATTGCTGTCGGGCCGGGCATGGCACGGTACGGTGTTAGCCGGTGCCGGAATAGTCCAGTGGGCATTGCCTCATAGTAATTCATACAAAAAATATTTTTTTGCATGTGTCGATACGGTTGCGGTCATGGTATGATACGGTGTAGTGGGCAAAGACCTTAAGTATGAAAATATGCTCTATACAAAATTTGAATTAAATATTATAAGATTGATATCTTTGAAATCTGTAGGTGAGGTTAAACAAAGTAAATGAAAAATGATATCTGTTTCTATACACGAGATATTTATTAGTTCGATTTATAAAAACTAAAAGGGGAAATATTGAAGAAAACGCAAAAGACAAATAGAAACAAATAGAAAATAAAACAGAAACAGATTTAGCTTAAATTTTTATTACAATATCTATACATTTAAAATCTTCGTTCCACTTCCATTGAAGTTATAGATAGAATTTGAAATGCTAGTCTTCACTGAGGTTATTTCTGTGGATCCGTTACTCAAACATGTAGAAATTTCTTTTAAAATAGAAAAACCATGATTTTTTGAAATAACCATTCTTTACTAACTAGTAGCTTCACTGTTTATGCCATTAATTAAGTCCTGAACTTATGTCACTAATTTCAACCGTTGTAGAAAGCGGAAATCCTGCTGTTTCCAGTGTTTTTATTGATCACCAAGGAAGCCATAATTTGATGCAATGAAAATCAAGTCTAATTTTATTGTATTGTCATTTAGTAGGTCCTTTGAAATGTTGATTCGCTTTATCAAGCACGAAAGAAAAATTGTTATTTAGCGATCAACTCATCATGATCCAAAATACCAATAATGACATTTGCCGCATTTCTTCCTGTTGCATCTGTTGTTTCGTCGATTGAAATCCACAAATTCGCATTTCTGTATGTGATCTATGGTATCTTTGTAAAGTTCTTAAACATATTTTGTACGAAGGGTATTTTCCGATGGTACTTTGTACGTGTATGATTCTAGGAACGATACTAATTTTTTGTTGCGCATTTTATATACAGGGTGTATCTGAATGACTGCAACAAACTTCAAGGGATGATTCTTTAGGAAAATTTTGGTTTAATTTTTTTTTCTTAAAACCCATAAACGCTTGGAAAATGAAATTTGGGGAATATGTTTAACTCATAATAGGGCACGTTTTGACCTTATTTGTACTTTCAACCTACCCTTCTAAACTACTAAACGTAACCACCCTCGTTCAATTTATGCCTAAATTTTTTTTATGAAGATAATAAATACAGTGGAAAAATTTCAGTTAGATAGATAGATAGCCATTTATTGTTACCAACAAAAGAAACAACTCTTATAAACTTTTTACAATTTAACAAATCAAAATTTAACAGAACAAAATCAAAATTTAGCAGAAAAAAATCAAAATTTAAGAAATCAAAATCATACGTTTGCAAATTAATATCAAAAATTTTACAAATTAAAATTTCATCTTCGCTACTTTTTTTTTTTGTGACTTTTTCGGTGTTAACCGTGGCATTTCCATAATGGGACTGAGTTCGTATGCTCTTGATATTAGTTTGTGTAAAGCCATACTTCCTTGTATATCTCCTTCATTCTCTTCCATTCTTGTCGGTCCCAAGCTACCCTGTGCCATGTTACTCCTCCACAACTCCTCTTAAACTCATCTTCCCAGCTAGCAGTTGGTCTTCCTTTTCTTCTCTTTTTGTCTATTGGGTACCATTCTAAGATTTTCTTGGTCCATCTCTCATCTTGTACTCTTATAATATGAGCCGGCTCGCCCAATTCCATTTTTGATCCAATACTATTCTTCCAATATCCTCGATGTTTGACTTTTCCCTTATCCATTCTTTTGTTTTTTTATCTTTCTTCATAATGCCAATCATCCTATGCATTGCCTAATCTTTTTAATTATTTTGTTTGTTAATATCCATGTCTCGCATCCATAAATGATGACAGGGAGGAGACACATTTCCCACAATTTTTTCTTTTTCTCCATTTTTATGTTTGATTTCCATATATTTTTGTATTTGTTAAACATTTGCCATCCCATTGCCATTCTCCGTGTTATTTCTGCTCCTGTGTTTTTAATTGTAATCTTTTGTCCTAGATATACGAAATTCTCTACTTTGTCGATTTCCTTTCCATTAACAATTATTTTATTTTTTTGTTCACAATTTACGTACATTGCTTTTGTCTTGCTCATATTTATCTCCAGACCAGTTTGCTTCCCTCTTCTCAATATTGTTTCCAACATTTTCCTTATTTCCGTTTCGTTTTTTCCCATAAATACTATGTCATCTGCAAACTTTAGTCTGTTCAACCATTGCCCATTTATTCTTATTCCCAGGTCTTTCCATTCTTCTTCTACAAACATTATTTCCAATACTGCATTGAATAGCTTTGCAGAAGTCACATCACCTTGCTTCAGTCCATTTCCTAGAGTTATCGTCCTTTTATCATTGTTAATTTCGATGTTTGTATGACCTGTAAGATTGTTTCTGTTCTTACATTGTCAAACGCTTTCTCAAAGTCTACAAATAATAAGAGCATTGGGAAGTCATAATCATTCGATTTTTTTATCAGTTTTTATCAGTGCTTCTTGTATCCTGTTTGGTCTTCAGAGGATGGTAAGTGTTGCTCTATTCTCCTTGTGATTATGGACATAAATATTTTATACATCACCGGGAGTAAACTTATTGGTCTGTAATTGTTGATATGTTCCCTATCGCCTTTTTTGTATATTAAGGCAACTTTAGATAGATAAAACTATTCTAAAACTTTTTTGTCTCTCTGATGTTCTTCGAAAATTTAATAATTTCTGAGAAAAAAAATAATTAAACAAACACTAACTGTTAAGCTGTAGGGTTGTTAATCGAAAGTTGGAATGAATTCTTAATGAAAAAATCTTGGTAGGATATGCAATCTTTGTCAGAAACATTTTTTTCGTTTAAATTTCAGTGGTTTTTTTACTATTATTATTGTTTTATTTAAAATTTTGAAACGTCGAGTGAACGAGCGTGAATGCGATAGAACTTTATTAAAAATTAATTTGAAAAATAATAATAATAGTTATTATAGTTTTCTTTACAGAACATTAAATTTATATCAAATTGAAACTTATTGCAAAATAAAATATTGAAAATATGCAATATATATTCGTATAGATAAAATAAGCAAAAGTGTGCTCTAACAAATACAACTCAAAATTCATAGTTTGGTCTGAAACAAATTTCTGTCTAGTTCATTCTTTTCTCGGACGTATGAAAAAAAAATATACGTTTGCATATTTTTGGTTGCCCTAGTTATCTTTCACTCTACTCCATGCATTTGCCACTGTGAAAATTGCATCGTCAACGATTTCCAAAACTTCACCAGATCAACTTCATCATTAATTTTATTGTTTCCGCAAAATGCGTTTCATTGTCTCAATGATACCCTGATCCATTGGTTGTGTAATTGATGTAACATTAGGTGTAAAGAAAAGAATAAAGAAATTTGCTTCATTGGGATGAGCGAGCATTGTCCAGAAGAGGAAGGGCCTTTTGAAGCAACTTTTCCTTCTTCAAGTACGACTTTACTTCGGGAATAAACTTGTTATGAAATCAATCTTGGAAGATGGCACAAGTTATCCAAGCAGCTTGTTGGTTGTAATAATGAACTGGAAGAGTGTGTGTATTCGTATTTTTAAAAGCACGTGGATTTTTTGACTTTCCTATCACAGTCAGTTTCAGTTCATGGCCGCCAGGCGCGTTGGCACAACACATCACTGTTATCATTATGTCATCACATCATCATTACTTGCAGCCAACGTTGTAAATTTGTGCGGGTTGTAGATTATGTTTCTTAATTATGTTCTCAACCTCATAAGAAAGCGCTACCATCACTTCTCCATCAGCACTGAGCTTTTCGCCTTAAATAGCAAGTTCACGAAACTAGCGACGTTTTTAAATCGGTGCAACCAACCACTTAATGCATTGAATAATTCATTAATTTTCAAATGTTCATGAAAAATTTCTGCTTGAAAAATTTCGAAGAAACCACATGGAAAGCGCTTCATCAAGTTGTTGAAAGATGAGCCCCTTCATTGATTTTCGTGTAGATATGTTTTTAAAAGAGTCAGACTGAGATATGAAATTTTGAAGTTTTACTTTGTTTTTGATATCTCGTACTGTTTATTTTCCAACTTCATAAATTCATGATAATGATGCGACACTTTCACCCGAAATACGCAACAACTAAGTCGGTACAACTACCTACAACTAAAGAGCCCAACCTCAAGCACCCATAAAAACAATTTACGTTGGCGCTGTCGAGATGTATCGCCGGAATTAATTAGACGGATAATCGGGGTTCTACTGTGTTTTTATATAAATTAATTTTTTAGAAAGAGGAAGAAAAACTGCGCCAAACTTCCCGCCCCAAACCAAAAAGAACTCGCGATCCAACCAGCAGTCGAAGTCACGTTACCAGTGCAACTTATAGAGAGGAAGAAGGAAGTGATGAAGACGGAGCTATTTCACTTAATGCTATTAAGAATAAATATAAATCAGGAAGTGTTATAAATACAACACCGCATAAAGGTAATTATTTGTTTTATGAAATTATTCTTTTATACATTCTTTATTTTTTTAAAGGTGGTGCTATTTATTCATCAGATGAGGAAGGTTCAGATTTTGAAGGAAAAAGGGGACGAAAATTGGATAGATCGAAAGCATTAAAAGACTCAGAATCAAGTGAAGATAGTGATTAAAAAAAATTGTATTTTTTAATTAAGAATAATACAATTAAAAAGATTTTTTTATTAAAAACTTCTTTAATTCCAATTTATTTCTAGTGATTTGAACTAGATTCTTTCGCATTTTGTAAAGATTGAGTAATATATAATTTTGCCAAAGATTGAGAACAAAATTGTGCAATATGCTGACTATGAGTAGCAATTTGTCCCGCAATAAGCATAGGATTTAACCTCGGTGGAACAGGGTGAGGTCTAAATAACTTATTGATATCTTCTTCTGGTAATGGAGCTTCATCTTTAGCGACTCGAGCGGCGTTTTCTTGAGCTCTCTTTTGCAAATAACGATGTTTATCTTGTTGTTGGCGGCTCAATAATTGTTGGTATCTATTAAATTTAATGGCTTCTTGATTCAATTCGTCAACGCGATCCATCAAGCATCTTAATTGGGATTCCAAAACCGAAGCAGTTCCTAAATCCAAAAATTTTGATCCCTCTTCTTCAGGAACCATCTCAGATAACTCAGACATCATAATATTAGTTAAAGCAGAGTTTCTAATAACAATGGGAACCTCGGTAAATAAAGTTTCATATCCAACTTTTAATTTTAATAATGCTTCAGCTGTAAATTCTCCTTCTTTATAAAGTTCAATAGCTTGAGGAGTTAAACGATAAGCTTTTAATGTTAAAAATCCTCTTGAAGACTTTTGGGTATCATAAATAACCACAACAGATTCTTCAATAGAAGTTTGATAATGATATTGAGACTCCAAAAGGGGTGAGCTCAAAAAATTCCCTACATCAGCACTTTGATACCAACCAACATGAAAATGATCGACATTCACTCTTCTTAAACGTCTCATCATTGCTAATTGATACTCATCTTCATCCATATTTTCATCGGGAGTTTTTGGAAATGGGAAACAATTGGTAATTTCCAATCGATTTTCAACCACCAAACCTAGCAGAGCACCTTGAGCTATATCCATGTTACCGGAGGCTTCTTCATGACAATGTTTCACCATTTTCATTACAGCCTAGGGTTGGGTTTATAACAGACATAAGGCGACTTAACCTCAAATTAATATCGATATACTTACTAAACCGTCCGCTTGAACGTAAGCTATCGTTGTATCATTATCGGGTACGCGGCGGGTTGTTCCAGCCGTTCTTGAAGTCATTTTTGATGAATTAAACTTTTATTCAGAAATAAACGTAAGAAAGTAAGACCGCACGACACTGGTTAAAAAGCTGTCAAAATGGAAGGAAAGCTTTTAGGGAATTTAAGAAATTAAGGTTGGTATTAAAAAAAAATAAATAAACCTAAAATTTAGATTTGATTTGTTTGAATTATTAATTTATAATAAATTTGATTAGTAAATAATTTTAAATTATTAAACTAAATAAGGATAATGGAACTAAAGGTCCGTTAAGTAAACATACTGTATAAGGTTATCCCCGCGCAAAGGCCTTGCTGTGACGTCATTGGAAGAATTAACATTTCTACGTTTTTATTTATACAGTGTATTTCACTTAAGAAGCGATATACAAAAATATAAAAAAAAGATAAAATTAAATTAAAAAAATATTAAAATATAAAGCGAAATATTAAGGTTTATAATTTTATTATTGTTAGGTTATCCAACTTGACTCGGTTACCATGGTGATTAAGATCCAAATATTGCAGGTGCTGGGTAATAAAATTCTTCCGTGGTATAAACCACCATCGAATTCAGTACTTGGTGGTCCCCTGACTGTAAAATGCCATTCAAAAAGGTTGTCTTCTAATGGACAAGCGTGGTATTCTTCTGTTGCTTCAGCTAATTCCATTGCCTCTCGCATAAGGCGTTTAACACCTAAATTATTGTTGAAATAAGTTATTTTGAAATATGTTAATGATAAAAATTAATGCAGTAATTGCTAAGTTTACTTACCCGGACTTTTTAAGTTATATTTGGTTTGTAATGAATCCATAATACTTTTCCTGTTAATATTTACGAAGAAAACTTGAATTTTGGATTACAAAAGGAACGAAAATCGTTTCTTTTTATTATTCAACTGACGTGTCGTTCGCAATGAATATAACTACCCAAAGTGAAGTACTTTACAATAAACAAACAAGACACGCACTTGACAGTTAATTGTTGTAAATTTTGACATTTCAAGGTTAAAAAAGTTTTTGTAAACACTAAATTAATTCTTTTAAATTTTTCGAAAAAAAATCATTATATGCATGGTAATTACACAAAATCACCAAAAATAGGTTTTATTTTATTATCAACAAATAAATTTATTTTAATTATGTAATATAAATGTAAGAAAAAGTCTATTAGAAAAAGATGCACTATTTATTCAACCAATCAAAACAATCCACACTACCATTTTTAAAGCACCATCTAACACAACATTGTAAAATCATTGATTGACATTTGACGTTTCAAACTGTTAAAAGATGATTTGAGGTTATGTGAAACGTGATTATTTTAAATTTTCAATAATAATGGACGAAAAGNGGGATGGCTTTAATTTTATTATTATATTCGTAATCTTCATAAAATAACCTTTAAAGTGAGTTCAAACTTGACGCATTTATCTCAAAAAACCAAAAAGTTCGAACTTTCAACTTTTAATTTTGACATATTTGTCAAGCTCATAAAAAATCCTTTAAAATGAGTCCAAACTCGACATATCTAACTTTAATATTAATGGAAATACAATCACTTCCGGTTTGATCAACGTCAATTTTGACATATTTGTCATCTTAAAGGATTTTTCACGACAATTACGAATATGTCAAAATTGACATTTGTAACTGAAAGTTGACCATAACTTTATTAATATTGAAGATAAATATGTCGTGTTTGTACTCATTTCAAAGGATTTTTAATGAAGATTGCAAATATGTCAAAATTGGGGTTGATATTTTAAATCTGAAGTTAGTTATCATATAATAGACAATTGGACAACTTCATGGTGTTCTTTCATGATGTATTCTTTATTAAATGTGTTAGATATCACTATGTTGTATATTTTTATTGCACTAAAACTAGAACTAACACTAGACCTAGAACTAGAATCATTCAGGTTTAGCCGCACGTCTCTAAAGACGGCTAAACCCGAATGATTCTAGTTCTCGGGAGAAGAAGAGTTACAGCATCAGCGGCGGAGTAGTTTAATGATGTACCACAACGGCTTAAGACTCAGAATGGTCTCGACTCCTTTACGGGAGAAGCAAGGAGTTAAACTGATTTTGAAATGTTTTTTTTTATTGTATTTTTATGTATGTAACTTCTTCTTGGGTTGTTGTTATATTTTTAGTGTTTATATATCTGTTATGGACTCTTATGTCTTTTTGGGAATGATAAATAAATTAAAAAAAAACAAAGTGTTGGGGTTCAATGGAGTAGTGTATGCGCACCGCACAGCTCTCGTTCCTGTTAGAGCTCTCCTACCCAATTCCGACTCTCACCTCCACGTGGTGAAACTGGAAACATGAGCAACCCTGCTGAAAATGCAGTAACCAACCTGCATGGCAAGCAAGGTTAGAGCGAACGAGAGCGGGAGAAATAAAACAACCTCACCTTACAGAAACAAAAACAGTTACGGTTTTGTAAGGTCAGAAAGATTTAGATGGGTTGGACACATTACCAGAATGCCCAAGGAAAGAGCTGCGAGCATAGTTTTTAGAACAAAGATGGCAGGCACAAGAAGTAGGGGCAGGCCCTGCGCGAGATGGAGAGATAGAGTGGATGATGATGCTGCCAGTGTTCTGAAGATTGAAACTTGGAGGAGGATCGCTGAACGTCGGATGAATTGGAAGAAAATAGTGAAAGAAGCCAAGGCCCACACCGGGTTGTAGCGCTAAAGGAAAAAGAAGAAGAAGATAGGATTAAATGTTGCATTTTACTTGTCAAAAAATGTTAATTTCTGTTTTATCAGTCTTTATTTTGCTTCCTTATCCATATAATCCTTACAAATGCGTGATTTAATGTTCCAAATGAATTATTACAAAAGTGAAAATCTTAGGTAAAAAATGAACGATAAAAGAGGAAATAATATACCAAGTGAACTGAATCAAAAAATATGCCTCCTTACCAAAATGATTCTTAAAAATTATTGTGCCATTAAAAACACTACTGCTTTTTTTAAATAAAATAAATCAGTATTGGAAGTATAATATGTAGTTAGTATTTACAAAGTACATGGTGACATTTCATATAAAAAGTGTCTTTATTTTTCATTAAAAAAATCGATTAAAATTTTAAAGACTTTGCGAACAGCGCAGCTGTTGCTTGGATTTTATCGCCATTAAATTGCCTTAACTCCGATATGACTTGATCACGTGGAAATCCCAACGCCATTAACTCTGTTACATCTGACTCTGTAAATTTATCGCCTGGATTGAGATCATTTATTGGTGTTAATTGTGGGGCAGCGTCCGTACTAGTTGAAGCTCCTGAAATCATTAAATTAAATTAGTTGTAGTTATAAAAATTGCCTAATAAAAACACGAATAAATCAAGAACAATTATATAAAGACGTATATAATGAGGATAAAGTCAATACAGAGAAATAACAAAAAGAAAATCATCTGTGATGGTGATGGTGTTTCTTAGAACTTCTAGGGTAACATCTTGTCGACATGTTACTACGTCGCGAAGACGAAGATCTTTCACTTCTCGCCTCATCTAAGTTAAAGACAATCAAGTTTTTTTTTTCACATTGAAAGCACAACTTACATTTTTTTAATACAGAAAGAATTCCATTTTATTATTTTTAATACCAATAAGCATCACCTAATTTTTTAAACATTCATTCTGTATTAAATTTTTGCGACATAAAAAAATAATACCTCTATTTGACGATTCCCTGCTTCGTTTTATAGCCTCTTGCACTTCATGGTCTTCAGCCATTTTTTTCGATTGAGCCATTAGATCTTCCTCTGAAATCGAACTTAAACGTGCACATTCTGGCAAATCACTTTCAGCTAAAAATTGTGTTTCCGTTCCCGTTGTTCCGATTCTTAAAACATTTTTTTTTAAATCTATAGAACACTAAAGAATAGATATAGAGAGAATTTGTTGAAAATTAATTGATTTAATTAATAATTACTTGATGGCGTTTTAACATATCTAGCCCAAGTAACATATCCATGGGTTGTTCCTCTAAAACGGAAAAACTAGTCGTCAAATAATCTTTATCAATTTGTATTTGAACCATGTGAATTCGACCGATAATTCTTTGCACCCCAACACCTTTCGCAATTCCTGCCCATCTAGTATCGACCAAACGCATAATATTACACCGTTCCGCGCAAGCACTCGACATAATTGTAGTTTGTGCACCTAATTAAAAAATAAACTTTCAAAAAGCGTTCTCATTTTTTTTAATTATCTTAATAAATTACCCGAATCAATAAATGCTTTCACCGGATGCCCATTTACTCTACAATTAATATAGAGCATGACCACCGTTCCAAATGATTCCGGGTTATATTCCATCGCAGCTTCCATATTCGCCTCAATATTTTTTTGTCGGATTTCCTCAGCGATTAATCTTTGAGCTTCCGTATCGAACGGATGAGCATTCATCATTCTTATACGTTGTCTTTCACGATCTTGACGAGCTTGAACTTGTTCGTGAAGAACAGATGCAAAAGTTTCTATTGAAATAAAAGAAAATTATATATTGATCTAATATTAGACCTAGAACTAGAAACATTCGGGTTTAGCCATCTTAAGAGACGTTTCTAGTCCTAGGTCTAGTGTTAATTCTACTTTTATTTCAATAAACAATCTAAACTCTATTTTTTAATTCGGAGGAGTGTTTTGCAAATTGAAGTGTCAAAAAGAAGAGTAGCTTTTGGTCAGTTTTAAGCAAAAATTACGTTAGGAAAATTCGAGATGTTGTCGGCCGCCTAGAAATATTCGGGTTTAGCCACACGTCTCTAAGGCCCACTACTACCACTCATAGTTAAAGTCTCTGATAGCGTTATCTATCGGATAGCTTAAAAATTGGTTACTACCACTGCATTTTTCTTATAGATACCGCTATCCAAGGGATAACTTTTAAAATATCTGTAACCCGTGGATTGGGTGTCGGATAACTTGCTATCTAAGGGATAACTGAGGATACCTAACCTCAAATAGGATTTATACTGACGTATAAAATTCGAGCGTTTTACTATTTCAGTTAAAATAAGAAAATTAATATAAACTTAAATAAAAAACTATCAATAATTAACATTAGATAAAATCATCATGGATAATTTCTTCGACATTGGAGATGAAGAACAAATTTTTGAAGAAATCAATGAATTATTTCCTGTAAGAAGCGAAAGGATAATAAGGAGTATTCAGATGTTGAATTTATGACGAGATTTCATCTCTCGAAAAAAAGTTTTCATCATCTTTTGAATCAAATAGAAGATGTAATAAAACCTCCATCTATGACGTAAATAATTTGTTGATTCCTATTATTTAATGTAAAATTCATCAAAATTTTAGTAATAATGCTGTGCAGTCGTGTTCACGGGAAATGCGCACTCAAGGTCAACCGCTGCTGTGAGATCCGACATGCCGCTGACTAAGCAGGACCGTCACAAGTCCCTTCTCCACGAGCTTCGTGTGCGCTCGGCTCAGCCCGTTTAGCCAGCGGCATGTCGAGTCTCACAACAGCGCTTGACCTTGAGTGCGCAATTCCAGTGAACACGACTGTACCTCCTTCAAACCGTTTATTGCTGACTCTTCGGTTTTATGCAATAGGTAACATGTTGCTATCCATAGCAGATTTTGCAAGAATGAGTGTACAATTGGCATCTTCAGTCGTTTATCATGTTAGTTGTGCCATTATTGTTTACCATCACATTTAAACATACAATGATTTGAATAATACGGGATATACATACTTGTTGCTTTCCTTGCCATGTAACTGCATCACTTTTTTGTTTTCTATTACGTTTTTATGTTTGATAACAAATTCAAGAAGATGTTCGCATTCTTCTTTGGTGAAATTGGTGGTTCGTCGCCTTTTCTCAGTCTCCATTTCCAAATTTTAATTTTAAGGTTAGAATATCGTCATAATACCTAATAGTAGGTGTTTTAACCACATAGAGCTGTCAATTTAACATAATAGATCAAAAAATCCCTAGATTCCTTGGTTATCTCAAGGATTTCTTAACTATGAGATAAATGGAGGTGGTAGTACGCACGACCCTGTTATCTACGAGATAAATTGTATCTTATAGATAGCTTAACTGACAGATAGCATTGGTTTGGTAGTAACGGGCCTATGGCTAAACGTGTTAGTTCTAGTTTTACACCAGCACTACAACTAACACATGACCTAGAACTAGAATCATTCGGGTTTAGCCGTCTTGAGGGACGTGCGGCTAGAATGTTTCTAGTTCTAGGTGTAGTGTTAGTTCTAGTTTTACACTAGCACTATTACCAGAACTTACACAAGACCTAGAACTAGAATCATTCGAGTTTAGCCGTCTTGAGAGACGTGTGGCTAAATCCGAATGTTTCTAGTTCTAGGTCATGTGTTAGTTCTAGTGTGTTCTAGTTCTAGTGGTTTAGCCGCACGTCTCTGAAGACGCACGGCTAAACCCGAAACTTTCTAGTTCTAGTTTTAGTGCAATACAAATATGCAACAATCTGGCGCTGAATGAATAACAACTAAAACGATAATTAATACTACTAACTCAGCACTAGCCCAAGAAAAAAAAAGAAACTCATTTGAAATAAAGAGCCAACAAGTCGCCCAGAAACTACATAAAATATCCGGAAATCAGAAAAGTCTGAAGACGCACGGATAAATCCGAATATTTCTAGTTCTAGTGTTAATTCTAGTTTTAGTTCAATAAAAATATACAACATAGTAATATCTTATGCTAACTAGCGCTACCTACCACTGCCACTAGAACTAACATTTGACCTACAACTAGAAACATTCGGGTTTAGCCACACGTCTCTCAAGACGGCTAAACGCGAATGATTCTAGTTTTAGGTCTTGTGTTACTTCTGGTGATAATGCTAGTATAAAACTAGAACTAACACTAGACCAAGAATTTTTTTATATAAAACTTCTTAGGTTGTGTTAAAAATCATAGCCTCTAAATAGTAAACAAATAATAAGCAATAATTTATTAATTTCGCGTGAATTTCTTTTATGACCCACTAGTGCGTCATGAGCACAGCGCACAAAGTTTGTTCTCAAGTGCGCATGACGCATCTATGCGTCATACAATATATTCGTCTTTGTTGTCATTGGCATACATAGTAATAACAAAAATAATTCTAAATAAAATACATGCTATAAAATTATCGGAAAAACTAATTGCGATGATAAAGTGCAAAACATTTTTCAATACATAAACCTGGTGCAAAATCAATGACAGGAGATTTTTCTGGTTTTGTGGCACGGGTAAAGAAGATCAACGAAACAATTGAATGGACACATTGCTGTATACATAGACAAGCATTGGCATGTAAGCGTATTCCTACTGAACTATCTACTACTTTAAATAATGCTGTAAAAATTGTAAACTTTATAAAATCGCGATCTACTAATTCCCGTCTATTTCATGCGCTTTGTGAAGACTTTGGAAGTCATCACGTTTCTTTATTACTTCACACGGAAGTTAGATGGCTTTCCCATGCAAAGTTTTGACACGCCTGTTTTAGTTAAAATCTGAAGTCCAAGTTTTTATTGACCATCCATTTCATTTATCTTCTTGTCTATCTGATATTCTTTGGCTGCAAAAGTTTGCGGTATTTAGCTGATTTATTTTGTAAATTAAATGAATTAAATTTGTTAAAAAAGTTTAACTTTTGGATCCAATGTCTGAGATGAATGAGTACAAATATTTTAGTTCTCTCAGCAGCTTTTTATCCGAAAATTCAGAATAATTGGATATGTAGTCCTTTCCAAAAAGATCTAAATTTGGAGATCTCTCTAACTTTACTGCAAAAACCAAAACTTATTGAGTTATCCTGTGATAGCTCCTTAAAAGCGATTTTTAAAGATCACTCTTTAATAGACTTTTGGCTCAGTATTGGAAATGAATACGCCATTTTGTTAGAAACAGCTATCAAAGTTTTATTACCTTATTGCACAACATATCTTTGTGAGAAAGGATTTTCCACATATACTTACTTGAAAGATAAATACAGAAACGGATTAAATGTAAGACTGAACCCGTCCGACATTGAGCCCAACTTTGAATTTCTGTGTTCTAGCAAACAGTCGCAAATATCTCATTACGAGTGTTCTGCCAATTTTGTGTTTTAATTTATAAGGCAAGTTCGCAAGATAAGAAAGGTTGGGAAACACTGGTCTAGATGACCAATGGACTTGTGTAAGCAACAGGTGCTGTTGACGACCGAAATGGTTAAGCAATAATGGAGCAATAAGTCTGTGTGGACTTGCCACTGCGCAGTTAGCTGCGCATGATGGCGCTATTTGATGTGTGGTGTCCGACCGCTCCCTAAGCCATCCTTTACCATTACCATCACCATTATTCACCACTTATGGTTACTTCAGGCCATCACCCCTCTACACAATGGCGATGATAGTGGTCCATGATAAGCCATAGTGAAGAGGGGCCATTAGAATACTGAGTCAGGATCGCACATAATAGAATGAGTACACTCATTCAGTACAGTTAATGGTAACACAATGACGCGTTTGCGCATCATGCGCACTTAACGTGTTAAAATCCTCGCTGATTTTAAAACTCCCGCCAAAAAATAGCTTTGAAAAATTACACTGTGACTTTTCATTTTACTCCTAAATTAAAAAAATGGAGTATAGCACTAAATAACAATTAAAACTAGAACTAACACTAGACCTAAAAAGATTCAGGTTGATAAAACTTCTAAAAACACACAGAAAACATAATAACAGCTGATTGTGACAGGAGATGTGACATATTAGTCTGACAGATGTCACTTTCAGGATTACAAAAGAACAAAGGATGTACCAGTTCTTTTAGTGTTTAAAATAAGTTTATATTAACAGAGCAATTTTTATTTTCATGACTCACCAACACTTCCACTTAATAAAGCATCAGCTAATCTAGGATTATTCTGTTTTAAAAGTGCAAGTTGATCAGGGTTAGCAAGAAACATATCTCTTATCATAACAGGATCATCTTCCGAAGTATTTCTAATGTCTCTAGGAGGTCTAGAAGGTTGTCGAACACTACCTCCTCCACCTGCAGATCCAGGAACATGAATATTACTAAAATCTAAAGTTGGAACTAAAAGATGAAAGATAACAATATAACCTTAAAAAAAGCTACTACAATTAAGTTACCGGGATTAGATTGACCATGAGAACCAGATTGAACCATGTGTTGCAATATAACAACGTCCCCATCCTTGATTCCTAATTCTTTCAAAGATTTCTTATTGTCCATTAAAGGGCGGCCGTTAAAAGCGATGACGGATTCGATTGCTGGAACGCCGCTTTCGACTTCGCAGAAAGCTTTAAAATTTTCTAACTCCAAGTCTTCGGAGACGTCAAGGACGAAGATGTCGTCGGTGAGGGTGGTTACGGTTACCTTCATGGTTAATTGGTGGGTTATTTTTCTTTCTTTGTGGAGAACTTAACAATCAGAATTTTGACGGCAACATTAAGATTTCGAGGTACGCGGTTTTAACGAGACAATACGATGACCGACGGCGGCAGTCAAAACACCATTGCATCCGCTGCCAACCGTCGACAGTTTGACACTAGTGTGCCGCCAAAAGCGGTGATGCAGCAGAAAAAATCCGTTGTTCTTCGTCGCCGGTATGAGCATCCCGGTTAAAAATAACGGGGGCGTTAAAATACGATTTTACTTTTTGGCGAAAACAAGTTCTTTTTTGTCGTCTGAGAAGGTTTTTTTTTGTTTAAGATCTAAATTTATACTTTGTAAAAAAAATAGGTTAAAAAATAAATTTGTTATGTAAATTTGGTTGCCTAATTATGTGTAATAAGAAAGAATTTTTTTAATCAAAAATTTAATATTAAGGATATTTGTAATCGTTATTAAGGTTGGTTTAAATAATTATATGCAATATTATATGTTTTTATCAAATTATTAAGTAATAAATCATTGATGTATTAACATTAAGTAGTTATTGATCAATACAGGAATCTTCAGTATGTTATATAAGTTGCCTACCTAAAACTAATATAAAAGCTAAATGAAATAATCTTAAAATGTTTTTGTATTTAAAAGCATAAAAACGAAATATTTTCGTCATTAAAACAATTCAAAATAACATAAATAATAATTAAGTGGTAATTTATAACTTCATTTCAATGCCAAAAACGTTCTAAAATGTCAAAAAGTGCCACTTTGACAGTTTAATCAAACGAAATAGAACATAAGCAATTAGTACAATTATTACATGACTAATAATAAAGAAATTAATTCATAATTATTGAATTTCATTTAAAAAATCACTTGAGTAAACATACTGTATAAGGTTATCCAACTTCATATGAACGCTGTTGTTATGAACGTATCCCCCCCGCAAAGGCCTTGCTGTGACGTCATTGGAAGAATGGACATTTCTAGGTTTTTAATTATACAGTGTATTTCACTTAAGAAGCAATATACAAAAATGTAAGAAAAAAGATAAAATAGAATTAAAAAAATATTAAAATATAAAGCGAAATATTAACGGTTATAATTTTATTATTGTTAGGTTATCCAACTTGACTCGGTTACCATGGTGATTGAGATCCAAATATTGCTGGTGCTTGTCAAAATTGAAATTGATTTAAGTTTTTTCGAGGAAAAAGTCTTATTTAATTGGTTTAAAAGGCTGTATTTAACTCAAAATTGGTTTATCTAGGGTATTATAAACAAGGTAAGTGGATTAAATCAAAAAGAGATATTTTTAATTTATTTCTCTTAATTAGAATCGATTCAAATTAACTACAATTAACGAATTTGTTATGAATGCGAGATAAATTGAAAATGAATTCGAATTGTTTTAAAATTAATAAAAATTAAGTTAGAATTAATAAAAAAATCGGAATAAAATTTTATTATTTTAAGGTTATCCAACATGACTCGGTTACCATGGTGATTAAGATCCAAATATTGCAGTTGCTTGTCAAAATTGACGTTGAATTTAAGTTTTTTTAATGAACCACACATAATTAATTGGATTTAAAGGTTGTATTTAATTCAAAATGGGTAAATGGATGAAATTATAAGCAAGGTAAGTGGATTAAGTCAAAAAGAAATATTTTTAGATCAATTAAAATGTACAAGAATTTAGGGTTAAATAACCATTAAAACTAGAACTAACACTAGAACTAGAAAGTATTTGGTTTAGCCGGGCGTCTTAGACAAGAACTTCTAAACCCAAATATTTCTAATTCTAGGCCTAGTATTAGTTCTAGTTTTACACTAGCACTATCACTAGAACGAATACAAGACAAAAAAAACTTTCAGTTGTCAATGTCAACGTTAATTTTATTATTATATTCGTAATCTTCATAAAATAACCTTTAAAGTGAGTTCAAACTTGACGCATTATCTCAAAAAACCAAAATGTTCGAACTTTCAAGTTTTAATTTTGACATATTTGTCAACTTCATAAAAAATCCTTTAAAATGAGTCCAAACTCGACATATTAAACTTTAACATTAATGAAAATACAATCACTTCCGGTTTGAAACGTCAACGTCAACTTTGACATATTTGTCATCTTCATTAAAAAACGTTTAAAATGAGTCCAAAGATGACGTACTTATCTCAAAAAACAAAAAAGTTAGAATAAAAAACGTTAAACCCGAACTTAGTAACAATGAAGATAGCAATTTAACTTTTTAAATATTTTACCAACCATAATTTTTGATTCTTTTTTATTATATTTGTGTTTTTGTGACAAATATTAAGATAAATTAAAAGAATTAAGAATATGTCAAAATGACATTGACATTTCAAACCGGAAGTTCTTATATCTCGAGTAATATTGGAATTAAACGTATCATGTTTGGGCTCATTTTAAAGGATTTTTCACGGCGATTACAAATATGTTAAAATTGACGTTGACATTTCTAACCGGAAGTTGACCATAACTTCATTAATATTGAAGATAAATATGTCGTGTTTGTACTCATTTTAAAGGATTTTTAATGAAGATTACAAATATGTCAAAATTGAGGTTGACATTTTAAATCTGAAGTTAGTTATCATATAATAGACAAATGGACAACTTCATGGTGTTTTTTTATGATGTATTCTTTATTAAAAAAACCATTAAAATGGGTCCAAACATGATGTTGCTAGATATCACTATGTTGTATATTTTTATTGCTTTAAAACTAGAACTAACACTAGACCTAGAACTAGAAAAATTCTAAACTTTCTAGTTCTAGGTCTAGTGTTAGTTCTAGTTTTAATTGTCACGTTAAATTGTTGTGTCTATTGTTACTGAAATAGAACTAACATTAGACCTAGAACTAGAATCATTTAGGTTTAGCCACAAGGCTTTATACCCCAATGTTTCTAGTTCTACAGGTGTCCGGAAATAACGTGTACAACGGAAGACCACATCTATATACAAAATTGCTTCGTTTAGTCGCTAGAGGGCTTTGAAAATTCATGATGGATAAAACGCAAAACGAAAAATACGAATACTGCTGTCAAGTTTAAGTGACAAACTGTTTTTGTTTTTAAAATTAATTATACTTAGCCAACTATTAAAAAAAAAAACGTTTTTAGTTACCTTGCTCACCCAACTGAAATTTTGTAAGAGAGAAAATAGTTTCTAAATTAAAGTAACTATTCAGAAAAAAAAATGGTAGTGTTTGTACAGGGGGTTAAAAAGATATGGATGCATAATTTATTGTGACAAAGTTTTTAAACACCCTATAATTTTTGAAATTAGGTTTTATTCCACAAATAGCTGTAGTCTACTGATACAAATGCATGACCAAGAAATGAATAAAATCCATCGAGGATTTTTCGACTTATTTAAAAAACATATTATTTTTAAAGCCCTCTAGCGGCTAAACTAAGCAATTTTGTATATAGATAAGTTGAGTTAAATCATCATATTTTTGGTCAATGTACTTTGGTCTTGCGTTGTATACGTCATTTCCGGACAGCCTGTATATCTAGTGTTCGGAATTCGAGATTATTAGTTAAATTTTCTTAATAAACAATTTATAAATTTTTTTTTTTTAATTTTGTGATGAAGAGTATATGATATACTTTTCCTCCAAAGTTGGATAACCTTACAACCAATACTCAACGAACCTTGCTAAGTTCATGGTAAATCGACGTTAACTCTGAACGTAGCCTTAGAATTGGGACAAAAATGTATTCTTTGCGTTTTTGACGTTTTGAATTTTTGACATTTTATTATAAATAAAACAAAATAGGCAACTTTTATCACATATCTGTAATATATATAGCCTAATTAATAAGATTTTTTTAAATTATTTAAAACAAATTCTCCAATATTTTTAATTATAAATAATTTTATACAAAATATAATTCTCCTATTATTTTTAATCCAACCCAACATTAACCTATTCATCGAATTCCACCCTCCCCGAGGGTATTATTGGATTCAAACAACTCTTCCGTACGTAATGTTAAAAAAATTAAAGACCCCCTAAGTTCAAAAAACCACAACTGCGCGCCCTACATTGAAAAGAACGCGTTACTCTTCTAAATCTAAATAAGCTCTCTCGTCGATCGGGTCTATAATCCGATGGTTCCAAGTGGACACCCAGGCGAAACGAGACCCCTCTTCATTGTCGCTAATAATTTTCTTTTTATTATTTCGATTCTGACACGCTAAATTGATTCTAAACATCTAGATAACACCACCGATCTTTCCTCCCTTGAAACCCCCATAGATCCGAAACTGATAACAACGACGATATCACTAAATAAAAACGAGAGTTCATAATACAACGTTGGGATTTTTTTGGTGTTGTTGCTGGAGCTTTTTGGATTAATCGTTATCGCTTTTTTGTTTGTTTTTTGCACCTGCGCAAGCTTATTTAACAAATAATTATTATTTAGTGTTGTATTAAAAAATTTTGTGCTAAAATAATGATTGATTGCAAATTAATGATTGGTTGCAAGTTAAGGTTGGATATCCTTTTTGGGTAATATATTTAACCTAAATTATTTAATACAGATCAAGCTAAATTTAATATTTAAAATTTTCAATTGCATTGTTTTCATAAATACTGAAATATAGAGACATAGTGGGTGGAGCTTTATTCAGCAAATAAGCGTTCGTGAGCGTTCCCCTAAAGCTTTGCTTGGTCGATGGTGGGGATGTTAAAATTCCAACTGAAGCACGAACTGTGGATCTTCAGTGAATAATCGTACGGTGGTGACACGTGCCAATTGTCCCGAGTCGCGTGTCGCTCGTTTGTAAATCATTTTTACTGTAAATAATCGTGTCAATTAATTTTGAATGAATAGTTGATAAAGAAATTGTATCAAAACAAAAAAATTTTAGTGCTCAATATTATTTTGTGTTGTAACAAGGTAAAATTGAGAAATTTGCGCTGGAATCCCACCGTATTTTGCGGCCGAAAATGTTCAACATGGACAATATCGACCTGGACGCAGTTAACAGGCAATTTTTTTTTGAATCCACCGGATTTCTCGGTGGAGGAGGTGGCCAAAGCGGTGGTGGTTCCAGTACTGGATCTACAAACAGTGGTGATCTGTTTCTTTATGATGAAAATAGTAGTGATTCCGTCGGATCCGGTTATTCTTTTAATAGCGACCAAGAAAATAGTTCTAGTTCTAAAGAGTAAATAAATATTTTTTTATTAAATGTCTTAAAATCATTATGATTAATTTTAGAGGTAGAATTCATCGACATAGGCGGCGCAATAAATGTCCTCAACAACAAATTCAACAAAGACAAGCGGCAAATCTTCGCGAAAGAAAACGAATGCAATCTATAAATGACGCTTTTGAAGGACTTAGAGCTCACATTCCCACTTTACCATACGAAAAACGATTATCTAAAGTAGATACTTTGAAATTAGCAATTGGATACATAAATTTTTTAAGTGAGTTGGTTAGAAGTGATCGAAATGCGAATACTGATTGTTTTAATGGAACGAATAGAAATAGTCAAAGAGATGAGCCGAAAAAGGTTATTATTAGAGGTGAGTTAAATTTTTTTATGAAACTTTGCCATATCGAATGTGTGTGTTTAAAGCTGCAATAATAAAGTCCCCTGTTTTTGATTGTAATTGGTTTCGGGGGTTGTGGGTTCATCCCTTGCCGTTTTTCAAACCCAGGTGACCTTTTTTTGTTGTGCAGGTGTGATTAAATCTACTTCCGGAATTCACAACTTTCAAAAATATCTAGTGTATAAGTATAGTTGTAACAAATTATTTTTTTTGTAACAAAATATGATTAATCAAAATAGATTAAAACAATTTGTGAAATGAAGTTGGTCAAAATATGTCATAAAAAGATACTAGTTGAAAAATGTATAATTATTATATTGTTAAAATACTAACTTTGAATCATAGAGTTGAGTTTATTCAAAAATTAAAATTTAGAGCAACAACTCATGTCTGGATTCACATACATACATTACACCGATTAAATCGTTAATTCTAGAACATTTTATGAGATGAGTTCTTGATCGAAATCAATTCTTAAGCACTAATGTGTTACTTGACAAATTCTTAGTCAATCATGCCGTGATAGAAGAGTTACTTCAGATTGAAGAGCAAACTCAACTTTGTGGTTGATTATTTGTGGTATATTTGATCAAACTCAAGTTCGATTTGGCGTGCAAAGCTTTAATTGAATGCTCGCAGAACTTGAAAAGATCAGCAATAAAATAGAGATCCTTTCCTTAGAAGATCCATTCTAGAACATAAGGAAACTATCATGATTGATTCATGGCTATGAAAACTGGTTTATGATAAAAAGGTAGAAAAGTCGAAAACAAGCGATGGAAATGAAATATTTAAGGTACACCCTTAGAGTTGGTAAAAGCCGATAGAGTGAGAAACGAAGAAATTAGAAGATAATAAAGAAAAGAGTTAGGCAGGCAATGATGGAGGGTAAAAATAAAAGTGGAAAACTGCGAGTGAGATATATCGTGAGAGAGATTTTGGCAACTCACGGTAAATCCTAAATGGAGGCAATAAAGTTGGTAGCTAACAGAGAGGTGTGGAAAAATTTTGTTTCAAACAGGCACAGTTAAAAAATAGAGAACTAGAGGGGAAAAACTAGTTTTTGCTCACAATATTTCACAAATCACACTTGAGTTCTTGTGCAAATCCAAGTTCGTTTGAGCACTCAAGCCTGATTGAATGATTTCTAGCTCATAGTAATTGTTATGCATGAGACTAATCGTGAATTGGTACACATTCTGAATCCTCAAACTTGAATTATGAATGAACTCCTGTTTTTGTTTGTATGATAAAAATTTTATCATGCAGTATGTCCCCGGATCGAGTTACAAAGAGGAAAATAGTTATTTATGTACCAAGTCGGCAAAGTGATGCTCGATAAAGACGTGTTGCATACAACATTTTATCGCCAACCTCAAAATTTAACGATATGAAGATATTATATTCTAACTTACCAATATTATGACATGTTAAACGATTTGTTTTGTTAATATACCTCGGTAAAGTTACACTATCTATCAAAGGGAAGTGGTAGTATAGTGGAGAAGGAAGTGCGCTTTGAAAAAAAAGGTACCAGGTTCAAATCCAGCTGTTCAACGGCATTTTTTTCAAATTGACAAAAATTGTCACATTGACAACTAGAAAAATTAATGACCCAATGTCACCAACTTGAACTGGTTCCATAAAATGTTACTAAAATCTCATTACAGCATCGGATGGTGTAACGAGTCTCATTACAGCACCCGTTTGAGTACTGTTATAGCTTTCATTACCGTCGCGAATTACAAAAAGTACTTTACCTGCCGCATATGCACAGTTTATTAGACAGTAGCACAAAGTATCACTTTACTGCCGCAAATGGATAGCATAAAGTATGGTTTTGCTGCCGGTTGGCGATAAAAAGATTTATTACTGATTTTTCAAACTTATCTCAGCATAAATAATGCGTCTGATATGTTCAAACCACTAAGGTCCATTACTACCATTTTTAGTTAAATTTATCTTATAGATAAACCCATCTACTAGCCAATCAGAACGCGTAAAATAGCCGTAACTGTGGTAATAATCCCTTAGATAGCTTAACCAGAAGATGGTAGTAACGAGCCTTAGGCACGGTTACGGCTATTTTGCGATTGGGTAATAGATGGGTTTATCTATACGATAAATTTAACTAAAAGATGGTAGTAATGGACCTAAATCGCACGAACTTTATATTCTAACTATAAAAGTTAACTAATTATTCCCATTTTTATGTAAAAATTATACTTTTCTTAAATTAAAAATTTTTCAAGTTCAATTTACGATGTGTAACAAAGTGTTGAATAATGAAGCCATTATTCCACAGTTCTGACACGACCTACTAATCAAAAAATAAAATATTAACAGAAATGACAGCTTTCTTATATTGAGGTTATGTCTGAAATGTCTGTACCATAAACAACCTGAAAAAGCAACAAATTCATCCAATTTTCATATTTTCGTAGTTTTCTCGATATCTAAGCATTTGAGAGCAAAAGTGCAAGAGACCAATATTGTTAAGGATAAAACTTACAACAACTATTGCTCCAAAAGTTTTTTTATAATATGCTTCGTATCACTAGTGTTACCATTAACAACTTGAAAAGCAACAAATTCATCCAATTTTCATATTTTCGTATTTTCGTTAACATTGACGCATCTGAGAGCAAAAGTGCAAGAGAGCAATATTACTAAGAATAAAACTTGCAACAACTATTGTTCCAAAAGTTTTTCTGTAACATATTCCGCTTCCCGAATGTTATCATTAATAACATTGAAAATTCAACAAATTTATCAAAATTTCATATTTTCGTATTTTTCTTGATATTGACGAAATTGAGACTAAAAGTGCAAGAGAGCAATATTGCTAAGAATAAAATTTGCAATAACTATTGTTCCAAAAGTTTTTTGTAATCTGCTCCGATTCCCGAGTGCTACCATTGACAACTTGAAAAAAATACCAATTCATCCAATTTTTATATTTTCGTATTTTTGTTAGCATTGACGCATCTGAGAGCAAAAGTGCAAGAGAGCAATATTGCTAAGAATAAGATTTGCAATAACTATTGTTCCAAAAGTTTTTTGTAATCTGCTCCGTTTCCCGAGTGTTACCATAAACAACCTGAAAATGCAACAAATTCATCCAATTATCGTATTTTTGTTAATATTGACACATCTGACAGCAAAAGTGCAAGAGAGCAATATTGGTAAGAATAAAATTTGCAACAACTATTGTTCCAAAAGTTTTTCTGTAATATGCGCCGTTTCCTGAATGTTACCATTAGTAAATTGAAATAGCAACAGTCTTCCAATTTTCGTATTTTTCTCGATATTGACGCATCTGAGAACAAAAGTAGAAGAGAGCAATATTGCTAAGAATAAAATTTGCAACAACTATTGTTCCAAAAGTTTTTCTGGAATATGCGCCGTTTCCCGAGTGTTACCATTAAAAACTTGAAATAGCAACAGTCATCCAATTTTCGTATTTTTCTCGATATTGACGCATTTGAGAGCAAAAGTGCAAGAGAGCAATATTGCTAAGAATAAAATTTGCAACAACTATTGTTCCACAAGTTTTTTTTATAACATGCTTTGTAGCACTAGTGTTACCATTAGCAACTTGAAATAGCAACAGTCATCCAATTTCATATTTTTCTCGATATTGACGCATCTGAGAGCAAAAGTGCAAGAGAGCAATATTGTTAAGAATAAAATTTGCAACAACTATTGTTCCATAAATTTTTTTATAACATGCTTCGTATCACTAGTGTCACCATTAGCAACTTGAAATAGCAACAGTCATCCAATTTTCGTATTTTTCTCGATATTGACGCATTTGAGAGCAAAAGTGCAAGAGAGCAATATTGCTAAGAATAAAATTTGCAACAACTATTGTTCCACAAGTTTTTTTATAACATGCTTTGTAGCACTAGTGTTACCATTAGCAACTTGAAATAGCAACAGTCATCCAATTTCATATTTTTCTCGATATTGACGCATCTGAGAGCAAAAGTGCAAGAGAGCAATATTGTTAAGAATAAAATTTGCAACAACTATTGTTCCATAAATTTTTTTATAACATGCTTCGTATCACTAGTGTCACCATTAGCAACTTGAAATAGCAACAGTCATCCAATTTTCGTATTTTGCTCGATATTGACGCATCTGAAAGCAAAAGTGCAATGGACCAATGTTGCTAAGAATAAAATTTACAATAACTATTGCTCCGAAATCTTTTTTATAACAAGCTTCAATTTTTATATTTTCGTATTTTTCTCGATATTGACGCATTTCAGAGCAAAAGTGAAAGAGAGCAATAATGCTAAGAACAATATAAGCTACAACTTTTGTTGTAAAAGTTTTTTTATAACATCCTCCGTTTCCCGAATGTTAACCACTACCATTAACAACTTGTAAAACAACGAAATTCATCCAATTTTCATATTTTCGTCTTGCTCCGATTCCGAAATGCTAAATTAGTTGAGTTAATAAAAAATAAAAATCAACCATATACAGGGTGATTTATAACATACAGAACATATAAAACCGCTGATATTCAGTAAAGAACAATTAAAATTAGCAATTAAAAACACCAGTTTTTGACCGATTTAACAAATTTTTAAATAACCATAACTGCCATATTACAAAGATTTTATTATTTATTGCTAATTATGCATTGTTTAAGTAACCCTGAAAAATTCGCAGTTTGAATTTAAACGTAGTCAATAATACTATATATCGTAAGAAATGCTTGGCCATTAATTCAACTTAAACGTTCTATATCTTTATGATTATTACGTTGTAGTCAAAACATTATTAAGAAAATATCTTCAATTTGGCCCCTAGTACCTACCCTTTTAATCTGCTCCGTATGTTATAAATCACCCTGTATGTACCTACAGTGTAAAGTCGTAAAATCTGTATTTATTATCCGATTTCGACAAATTTTTTTTTAAATTGTAGAGCGTAAGAAACTGTATCTTAGGTCAAAGAGTCATATTTTTTTTAAAAAACCAAGGCCTACTATTTCACTTTTTAGGTGAAAAAATGAAGATTTTGTCATGGTTTACTAGATCAGATGAAATAAATTCATAAAAAATGATGTTTTTCAATTATCTGCAACTGTTTTAATTTCTAACCATTTTTGATGAAACTTGGTACTTTCAAAAGGCGCTTAATGCAGTGGTGTACTCAGATTTTTTCTTAAAAATTTCTAAAATATCTTCATTTTTAGCACCTAAAAAGTGAAAAGTAGGCCTTGGCTTTTCTGAGAAAAATATGATTCTTTTTTTAAGGTCTACAATTAAAAAAAAAATTGTCGAAATCGGATAATAAATACAAATTTTACGAGGGTGCTCCGCTTTCAAATGGGTCACACTGTATATAAATTAATATCTAAAGTCTAAAGTCCTCCAGGTGACCCTAGATACCATTTGCGCTTGGTGTAAGGGAGAGAACCTCTCAATAAACCCGCAAAAGACAATTGTTGTGCCCTTCACTAGGAAGCGAAAGTTGGATGGACTAATCCGCCCAACTATCCAAGGTGAAGAAATTCCTTTCTCAAAGGAAGTCAAATATCTAGGAGTAATCCTAGACAAAACCCTGTCATGGANAAGTCATCCTATTTTCGTATTTTTCTTAATATTGACGCATCTGAGAGCAAAAGTGAAAGAGAGCAATATTGTTAAGAATAAAATTTGCAACAACTATTGTTCCATAAATTTTTTTATAACATGCTTCGTATCACTAGTGTCACCATTAGCAACTTGAAATAGCAACAGTCATCCAATTTTCGTATTTTTCTCGATATTGACGCATCTGAAAGCAAAAGTGCAATGGACCAATGTTGCTAAGAATAAAATTTACAATAACTATTGATCCGAAATCTTTTTTATAACAAGCTTCATTTCGCTAGTGTTACCATTACAAACTTGAAAAAAGCAACAAATTCACCCAATTTTTATATTTTCGTATTTTTCTCGATATTGACGCATTTCAGAGCAAAAGTGAAAGAGAGCAATAATGCTAAGAACAATATAAGCTACAACTTTTGTTTTAAAAGTTTTTTTATAACATGCTCCGTTTCCCGAATGTTAACCACTACCATTAACAACTTGTAAAACAACGAAATTCATCCAATTTTCATATTTTCGTCTTGCTCCGATTCCGAAATGCTAAATTAGTTGAGTTAATAAAAAATAAAAATCAACCATATACAGGGTGATTTATAACATACAGAACATATAGAACCGCTGATATTCAGTAAAGAACAATTAAAATACTGGATTGGTAGCAATAAAAACATGGTTTTTAAACACCAGTTTTTGAGCGATTTAACAAATTTTTAAATAACCGTAACTGCTATATTACAAAGATTTTATTATTGGTGCTAAATATGCATTGTTTAAGTAACCCCGAAATATTCGCAGTTTGATGTATCGTAAGAAATGCTCGGCCATTAATTTAACTTAAACGTTCTATATTTTTGTGATTATTACGTTGTAGTCAAAACATTATTAAGTAAATATCTTCAGTTTGGCCCCTAGTACCCACCCTTTTAATCTGCTTCGTATGTTATAAATCACCCTGTATGTACCTACAGTGTAAAGTCGTAAAATCTGTATTTATTACCCGATTTCGACAATTTTTTTTTTTAATTGTAGAACGTAAGAAACTGTATCTTAGGTCAAAGACTCATATTTTTTTTAAAAAAACACGGCCTACTATTTCACTTTTTAGGTGAAAAAAATGAAGATTTTGTCATGGTTTACTAGATCAGATCAAATAAGTTCATAAAAAATGATATTTTTCAATTATCTGCAACGGTTTTAATTTCTAACCATTTTTGATGAAACTTGGTACTTTCAAAAGGCACTTAATGCAGTGGTGTACTCAGATTTTTTTCTTAAAAATATCCTAATATGATTTCTTCATTTTTAGCACCTAAAAATTGAAAAATTAGGCCTTGGCTTTTCTAAGAAAAACATGATTCTTTTTTTAAGGTCTACAATTCAAAAAAAAATTGTCGAAATCGGATAATAAATACAAATTTTACGAGGGTGCTCCGCTTTCAAATGGGTCACACTGTATGTAAATTAATTTACAAAGCTTTATCAAACACAATTTCTAACATCATATTTAAACCTACCGATTTTTTACCCATATTTGGTCGACATAGGTTGGCAACGCAGCTTATAACCCCAAAAACCTTAATTTTTGGTTATTTTAAATAATTTTTTAGCATTTTAATCGCAATCTTGCTAAAAATTACAAATAGCGTATTGAGATCTGTATATGGTTTTTAATGTAGTTGTTGTTTACTTTTTTAGTTACAGCTGTATCGTAATAGATTTTGCGTAACGAATTATGACTAATGTAAACCCTCAAAAAGAATATTAAGGGTGAGTTTCACGCCGTCCGGTCGTATGTTTGATATCGCACCCCGTAATTTGCGAGCCATTGATAGTTCAACCCCTGACCCTGTCATAATCAATTTTATACGGGGAGTACTTGTGGTACAACCACACCGATATCACCATCACCTATACTCAACTCGAAATATCATTCAACAATAAGAACCGATCTCCATTCTCCGCTTCATTTCTCCCTCATTTCAATACAATCGTCCGACTATTATTGCTATTATCTATTGTTATTTTAACAATTAAACTTTAAATCGTATTAGTAAAGGGGATTTTTTTTTTGTTAATCTAAATTTATTCTATTTTGCGAATTGAATTTTATTTTATTTCTAGGTTCCGGAAGCGTTTATACGGCTCATTCTCTTTCGTGGTCACGACAAAAAGAACCCGGTTCTAATGGAATTATGTACGCTAAAGTTTGGACACCAGAAGACCCGAGGACCAATAAAACCAGTAGTTCTTCGACGTTTTTACAAAATTAATAAGAAATGTTATTTGTTGATTAATCTTAGAATACTCTTAAAAATTTTTTTCTAGTCATTACGAGACTAATCTAGTCATGGGAAGAATTATTTATTTTTTAAAAGATTATAATTAAGAATGTACAGATTATTTATTACTTTACTTATTATTAAATAAAAACTTATTAAAAAAAACATTAGTTGTGGTGGTTTTAATAAAAAATTATTGAAGGTAAATTTAACATTAACTTTTTTTGTTAAATTCTAACCAGTTGTTCATTTTCTCACCAAACATGGATCGTCACGCCCTCAACCTCTGGGGTTTCTTTACACTACCCAGTCGATATTTCCCTCCATTCGGATTGGCTACACCTGTGTGGTTCTCACGATGGAAACTCTCCAGCAGGATTATTATCCTGCTGAATACTACTTTTTTAGTACAACACGATCGTGCGTGTTTCATTTTAAACGAATACATTCAATAAATTATTTAAATAAATAAAATTTCATAAATATTAGACTCATTAATTAATCAAAAATTTTTTTTGTACTCTATAATCTAGAGTCTAGAGATGTGGGAAGATCAATTCCAGCTTTCATACCACCTTGTGGGTGGGCGTCCAAGAAGTTTCTTTGATCTTGGGCAATTTTTGCCACTCAACATAATCCCTCAAGGTGTAGAGTCCTCATTTCTGCTGCTCGAACGATTCTTTTTATTAAACAAGGGTTGATTATTTTTAACAAATTATAAAATTTGTTTTCACCCTATAAACGCACGTGTCCACATCATCACCTTCTCTCAAATAAAAATGTGTAATATGCTTTTAATGTACTCCTCTTCACCCTTCAACAAAAAAGGAAGGGGGATTATTAAGTGTTTCAACTACCCCCTGTATTGATACATATGTTTCAATGGTACACTGATCGCACGCCTTCAATCCAATTCCACCCTCTTCTCATCTACGTTTACAGATGATTTTTCCTCTCATGATCGTCCAAACAAGAACTAACTTATTAGTTTAGGAATCGTTTTTAAACATCGATGTGGTCCACTGGGAGAAATTTGAATCTGATTTAAGTGGTTTAAGTTGACGAAATTGATTTTGAATAAATAATATCAAGGAATATAAAAATCGTGTAGGTAATTATAAAACACGTGTACGGATAATTTGGGGGCATGACATGCAACCCCTTTTATTCGTTGAACCGTGGAAAATGTTGGTAATTATTTTGCGGAAAGAACGGCTGTGTTTACATTTTTCTGATTCCTTCTTTATCTTCATGTTTATCAAAAAGTAAAAAAAAACGTTTTCAATTTATTTTTATCCCCTCAAGAAAATCTAATAATTCATTTCTGAAATAATGATTCTTTCTCGTTCGCAATATGTCGTAAATTAAAACCATTTATTTGAAACGCGTTTTTAATTGACCACATTTAGTTATAATGTTGTTTATGATGGGAGGGTATCTCACCCTCTTTTTCAACTTCCGGTTTTTGAGAATTACTAATTTATCATTTATGACAGGTTCTGTTATAAAATTTATAATTTATTAGGGATGCATTTAAGAGTTTTTGCGACAAACTTTTACTTTTATTTTTCCATCTAGTTTATAAGCCGATATCTTCGTTGTTTTTATAGATAGCGGTCTTTTAAGAATATCACTAAAAAGCCTGATCTTTTCTTCATCTAAATCCGGGATTTGTCCGGTTATTATAGTGTTAAGGATAAAGAATAGTGAAAAAGTTCAGTTTTTAACAGAATTTAAAAAAGAAACAAAAATGCAATTTGGACCATCAACAATTGTTACGTATGACAATTTTATCTATAAGAAAACTCTGAAAGACTAGATTTTTTGAAACAAAAATGTTAAAAACAATTATTTATGTGGATATCTTAAATGCATTCAAATATGGCATAAATGCAATTATTTATTCGATTGTTCAGTTTTTACAATAATCAACCTATTTTGTGAACACTGTCCATTTTATTATAACTCTATTTAGAATATACCTAAATCTAATTTTAAGTATATTGCTAAATCTACGTAGATTGTAGCATTCTATTAAAAATATGTCGAACACTAATTTCGAGTGCATTGTAAAATCTGTATAGATTATTTTTGGATAAAATGGATTCTAAGTTCATCGTGAGTTTTAATAAATATAACCAAAATGCGCGATGAATGATTTTATTAATGTTTCGATGCTACAATGTTTCGATTGGAGAAAATACATATGAAAGAAAAGACATTAATTATAAGGACAAAGTGCATGTATGAAAATTTTACCGTCAGAATTATTAATGATGAAAATGATTATGTTGTCGATACATGTTGTAAAGAGAATTTAACATTAACCAACAATTATGTAACGGTTCAAGTATAAAAATAATCGTTATCTATATTAAAATCACGATTCACTCCGTACTCTGCTCTCAATTTTCTAAAAGTATAAAGATATTATGTATAGATTATAATTTCAACTCTACCAACATTTAATATGTAATCTGTGTTCACTCATTGTAGAGTCAATAATTCACCTCCTGGAAACATGTTAGATTTAAAATAGTTAGTTATTTTTTACCGTGTATAGTAATTATAAGTGGTTATTGCAGTTTTTGGGGTGAAAATGCTTGTGCAAATCTGCGATCTACTAAAGTTATATACCACTGTATAGAGCAGAAAATTTCCTATAAATTCAATAAGATCACCGAGTTTTGTCTGAATCATATAAAAAAGTTATGACACTATAAACATTTACATACTGTAATTATACGCGGTTTTTGCAGTTTTTGGAAGGTAGGAAAATACTTGTGCAAATCTGCGATCCACTAAAGTTATATACCTCTGTATAGAGCAAAAAATTTCCTATAAATTCAATATGGTCAAGGAGTTTTGTCCGTATCATATAAAAAAGTTATGACACCGTAAACATTTACATACTGTAATTATACGCAGTTTTTGCAGTTTTTGAAGGGAAAATACTAATGCAACCATGCGATCTACTAAAGTTACATACCATTATATAGAGCAGAAAATTTCCTATAGTTTCAATATAAAAATCGAGTTTTGTCTGAATCATATAAAAAAGTTATGACACCGTAAACACTTACATACTGTAATTATACGCGGTTTTTGCAGTTTTTGGAGGGAAAATACTTGTGCAACCATGCGATCTACTAAAGTTATATACCACTGTATAGAGCGGAAAATTTGCTATTGATTCAATATAGTTACAGAGTTTTGTCCATATCATATAAGAATGTTATAACGCCGTAAACATTTACATATAGTAATTATAAGCTGTTATTGCAGTTTTTGGGGTGAAAATGCTTGTGCAAATCTGCGAACTACTAAAGTTATATACCACTGTATAGAGCAGAAAATTTCCTATAGATTCAATATGATCACTGAGTTTTGTCTGAATCATATAAAAAAGTTATGACACTATAAACATTTACATACTGTAATTATACGCGGTTTTTGCAGTTTTTGGAAGGTAGGAAAATACTTGTGCAAATCTGCGATCCACTAAAGTTATATACCTCTGTATAGAGCAAAAAATTTCCTATAAATTCAATATGGTCACTGAGTTTTGTCCGTATCATATAAAAAAGTTATGACACCGTAAACATTTACATACTGTAATTATACGCAGTTTTTGCAGTTTTTGGAGGGAAAATACTAATGCAACCATGCGATCTACTAAAGTTACATACCACTGTATAGAGCGGAAAATTTGCTATTGATTCAATATAGTTACAGAGTTTTGTCCATATCATATAAGAATGTTAGAACGCCGTAAACATTTACATATAGTAATTATAAGCTGTTATTGCAGTTTTTGGGGTGAAAATGCTTGTGCAAATCTGCAATCTACTATAGTTATATACCACTGTATCGAGCAGAAAATTTCCTATAGATTCAATATGGTCACCGAGTTTTGTCTGAATCATATAAAAAAGTTATGACACTATAAATATTTGCATACTGTAATTGTATGCGTTTTTTGCAGTTTTCGAAGGGAAGAAAAATACTTGTGCAAATCTGCGATCCACTAAAGTTATATACCTCTGTATAGAGCAAAAAATTTCGTATAAATTCAATATGGTCAAGGAGTTTTGTCCGTATCATATAAAAAAGTTATGACACCGTAATCATTTACATACTGTAATTATACGCAGTTTTTGAAGGGAAAATATTTGTGCAACCATGCGATCTACTAAAGTTACATACCACTGTATAGAGCAGAAAATTTCCTATAGTTTCAATATAAAAATCGAGTTTTGTCTGAATCATATAAAAAAGTTATGACACCGTAAACACTTACATACTGTAATTATACGCGGTTTTTGCAGTTTTTGGAGGGAAAATACTTGTGCAACCATGCGATCTACTAAAGTTATACATATACCACTGTATAGAGCGGAAAATTTGCTATTGATTCAATATAGTTACAGAGTTTTGTCCATATCATATAAGAATGTTAGAACGCCGTAAACATTTACATATAGTAATTATAAGCTGTTATTGCAGTTTTTGGGGTGAAAATGCTTGTGCAAATCTGCAATCTACTATAGTTATATACCACTGTATCGAGCAGAAAATTTCCTATAGATTCAATATGGTCACCGAGTTTTGTCTGAATCATATAAAAAAGTTATGACACTATAAATATTTGCATACTGTAATTGTATGCGTTTTTTGCAGTTTTCGAAGGGAAGAAAAATACTTGTGCAAATCTGCGATCCACTAAAGTTATATACCTCTGTATAGAGCAAAAAATTTCCTATAAATTCAATATGGTCACTGAGTTTTGTCCGTATCATATGAAAAAGTTATGACACCGTAATCATTTACATACTGTAATTATACGCAGTTTTTGAAGGGAAAATATTTGTGCAACCATGCGATCTACTAAAGTTACATACCACTGTATAGAGCAGAAAATTTCCTATAGTTTCAATATAAAAATCGAGTTTTGTCTGAATCATATAAAAAAGTTATGACACCGTAAACACTTACATACTGTAATTATACGCGGTTTTTGCAGTTTTTGGAGGGAAAATACTTGTGCAACCATGCGATCTACTAAAGTTATACATATACCACTGTATAGAGCGGAAAATTTGCTATTGATTCAATATAGTTACAGAGTTTTGTCCATATCATATAAGAATGTTAGAACGCCGTAAACATTTACATATAGTAATTATGCGCAGTTATTGCAGTTTTTGGGGTGAAAATGCTTGTGCAAATCTGCGATCTACTAAAGTTATATACCACTGTATAGAGCAGAAAATTTCCTATAGATTCAATATGATCACCGAGTTTTGTCTGAATCATATAAAAAAGTTATGACACTATAAACATTTGCATACTGTAATTATACGCGTTTTTTGCAGTTTTCGAAGGGAAAGAAAATACTTGTGCAAATCTGCGATCCACTAAAGTTATATACCTCTGTATAGAGCAAAAAAATTCATATAAATTCAATATGGTCACGGAGTTTTGTCCATATCATATAACAAAGTTATGACGCCGTAAACATTTACATATAGTAATTATGCGCGATTATTGCAGTTTTTGAGGTGAAAATGCTTGTGCAAATCTACGATCTACTAAAGTTATATACCATTGTATAGAGCAGAAAATTTCCTAAAGATTCAATATACTCACCGAGTTTTGTATGAATCATATAAAAAAGTTATGACACTATAAACATTTACATACTGTAATTATACGCGATTTTTGCAGTTTTTGGAGGGAAGGAAAATACTTGTGCAACCATGCGATCTACTAAAGTTACATACCACTGTATAGAGCAGAAAATTTCCCATGGAATCTATGTGGTCATGGAGTTTTGTCCCTATTATATAAGAATGTTATGATCAGTGATGGGCGCTGGGTAAATACCTGACGGGTAGGTATTTAGAAAATGGGTATTTATCCGGGTATTTACCCCGGCCCAGAGTAAATAACCAAATCGTACGTATAAAAGTGATACAAGGCCATCATCTCATGGCCAAGATACACATCTGTCAACCCTCTCAATTTCATTATCCCCAATGTTGATGGTACACTGGGGAACAAGATTTGTCATAAATTTTGATTTCTTTACGTTAATATTTAGCCCGACTCTTGCACACACCTCCTTTAAGTCGTTCACCATTAGTTACATCTCTCCAAGCCTATCCAAAATAAGAACTATATCGTCCACGTAGCGTATAATACTTAGGTATTTGCTATCAATGTTGATGCTTTTTTGGATCAAATCCAGTTGTTTAAATGTATTCTCCAGGACTGTCATGAACCATTTGGGTTCAACATTGTATCGCTTTATTTTACTCACAATCAGTATGTTACTATTTCTACTCTCTTCAGTATTTTTATGCAATTTTACCGTCATTGTAGCATTCTTGTAGATGTTATAAACAAGTTTGGTGTATCGATAATCGACTCTGCATTCTTGAAGTGCTTGCAAAACTGCCAACAACTCAATTTAAATTAAATTTTATAAATACCTCTAAATACCCATCTTGGGTAAATACCCCCGGGTATATATCCAGGAAATTTACCCTTGAAAATAAATACCCGGGTATTTAACAACACTGGTTATGATGCTGTAAACTTGTCAACATTTCCATATAGCAATCATAGGTGGTTTTTGCAGTTTTTGGGAGGAATACAATAGAGTAAACTACGCTATTCTCTGTTTCTGTGTTAATTTGTGACAAATGTTTAATGATGTAATGATAATCATAAATTATGTTTTAACCCATAAGCAAATTTAGTATTTTAACATAGTTTTAAAATTTTTTTTATACCTATATTTATTTTTCTTCGTTCTCACGATTTGTGTTTAATAAAAATTATTTCTTTCTTCATCATTTTCAAAGCAGAGAAGGCTTATAAGTCCTTCAGAAAAATCTGTATTATTCCTTGATTTCTTGCTATGAAATGATGTTATAAATGAGTCTGAAGATATTAATAGTTTGTTTAAAATGTCTCTATTATTGTATATTTTTGACATTTTTCTGGAAAAGTTCTCTCTATACGTTCTAAGGTCTTTATTCCGAGATTCTTGCGCATCTTCTGAAAGTAGGCCAATCTGGATACTGAATGATTTTATTATTAAGTGGCCATGCACAAGAATTTTAGACAGGCATATAATACCAATTATATAATTGATTATATAATAGAATTGTGTCGTTTGTAATATTTTTAAATGCAGCAGCGTTCATTTCTTGATAATAATTTTTGTGAAATAGGCAGCTAATTTGGCATTTTAACGCGTCATTGAATTTCTTTTTTATTACTGTGTGATGGATAGATATTTTTTAACTAAAAAAATGCTTCGGACTTGTTTGGGAAGAAGGTCTCTTTTTTAAAGACGCACGGTTAAGCCCGAAAGCTTCTAGTTCTAGATCTAATAATAGAGTTAGTACTAATATTAATTCATAAAAAATGGTTATTCTGAAAAATTGTAAACGATTGATAGCATCAAAACTAACTTTCAAAATAAGAGTAAGCATTCAGAATGGCTTGACGTTTGTTTATGTTAAGGTGTATTCAGTACATGGCGACGTTCGCTGTTGATTTCGCCTATTTTAGATGAAGAAAAGATTAGGTTTTCTGGTGATATATTTAATATTTCGCTATCTCTAAAGACAACGAAGATATAGGCTTGTAAAGTATGTAGGTGGAATAACAAGGGTAAAATATTGTATCTTTGAGATTTAAAAAAAATACAGTTTAAATTTAAGTCTATATTGTATTTATATTACAAAAAAAAGTAAAACAAATATCGAATTAAAAAAAAAACAATAGTTAAAAAACTTAAAGAGACGTATTAGACAAAAAATAGTGTATAAAGAATTAAAAAATTGGAGACGTAAGTTTATCGTTTTTTTTGCTTATTTTTTCTTTTTAATTAATGTTTGTCATGATTTTTTGTAAATTCGTTAAACTCCGCGCTACATGCTAGTGATATTATAAAAGTACAAAAAATCCCAAAAATATTTGCAAGAAAAATAGGGATCATTGTCGATCTGTTTATTTTTTTTTTTACAAGTCTCTCGTATTTTTCCACTAAAAAATTACTATTGCTCACTCGATTTCGCCCAGTTTTCACACCTACCTACTTCTTTTTCTATTAATATTTACATTATACACTTAATTTAATCATTAACTAATATGGCTATCAGTTTAAACTGGCTTTTTCCTTTTATTATTTTAAAAGTAAATTAATTAACTACCTATACAAAGATTACAAAAAAAAATCCTTAAAAAAATAGCTCAAACTTAAAAGTCTTAAAAACAATATTAATAAAAACCTTAATTATTTTTCTTTTTAATAATTAATTAATAGTATTCCCAAAAAAAAACTACTTCCCTGAGTTGTAAAAACTAAAACTATATTTTTTTTAAATTTTTTATATTCGCTTAGAAATTACCGTTTATTACTCTTAATTCTAAAAGGTTTTTGTTTTAATCATGAGCAACTTTTTACGTTTTTCTTTTTTCTGAAATCATTTTTTTGTTTTGAGTGGTTTTAGGCACTGAATAAAGACCAAGAAAATTAATTACAACAAAAACAAAGATTAAGTACAACCTATTTTAGTTAGAACAAACAAAAAAACTTTCGTATCAAACCCAAAACAATTTTGACTAGATGTTATATATAGTTTTATTTTAATTATTTGAGAAATGGCAGTGACAGGCTAAAATTAAATTAATCTAAATTAACCCTTTAACACACTTATTTAGCAAAGATTATCTTTAAAATTGTATGTTCTGGGTTACTTTAATATTAAAAACATTTAGATAAAAAAAGTTAGGCTATGTTATAACAAAGCTATATAATATGATGTGAGTATTTACTTTTCCTGCATCTTAAAATCACTTAGTACTTTTCTCAGTAATTTTAATTTGAACTCAAATGAAATATCGCGAATTAATTTCCCAGAACACCTTAAAGTTAATAAATTAATAAAATTGAAGTGTGATAAAGGGTTAAATGAATTCTTTTAAACTATAAACGAACGACTTCAACAATTGGTACATTGGTTAAGTACATACAGAACACAAAACTTAAAGAAAAAAACTTATGGTAAAAAGGAAAAAAAGAATAAAGAAACAAAACAAAAAAGTCTTATATACACTTATTAAATACACAATGATTCTGCATAAAAAAGGAGAAAAAAATGTTGACCTTAATTTACATCGACTACTTTTATGTACACTGTAGGATTGTTTTAACGCAGGTCTAAAAGGCGTGTTATGCTAAAAATTTCGTTCTCTGTTTCTCAGCTGGGTTTATTCACTGATTGGTGGTGAACGTCTGCATCTCTTCTCATCAACATCTAATTAATTGATTAAAAAATTGTAAAAAAACATTAATTAATTAATTAACTCAATTACCTGTTGCGACACCGTTGATGAATTTTGATAAGAAATTTGAAACTGTTGTTGCGATCTTGAAGACGTTCGATTTGTAGTTTCACCTGAACCCTGCCTTATTAAACCACCAGATGAATAAGAAGATGGATTAGCAGCCGGTGAATGTCTAACAAAACCCAAAAATATCATTTTAATTCTTTTGCTTTTATTTAGTTTATTTTTACCGAACTGATTGTGGACTTGGTTGAGGAGGTTGTGCAGAAACAGGACGAACAGGCGAATACGGATCGGGGGGCAACCCATTTTCAATTGGGCCTCCCTGCGTCGACGAATGCGTGTAATTAGAGTGTCTTTGTCTTGAATTATCCACGGAGGGGGTTGATGAAACATGAGGATGAATGTTATTTGCTATAAAAATCATATTCGTTAAGAAAGTAAAAATAAATAATTAGTATAAATTAATTACTTGTATGACCATGATTGGTTTGGGCGGTTGGTTGAGTTACCAAAGGTAAAGCTAATCGAGCGTTTATAGCTAATAAATGATCTCTTCGTTGTACTAAGGCTGTGACGTGTTCTTCAAGACGCAAATTTTCAGCTCGTAATTGATGTAAACACGTTAATAATGAAGCAACTGAAATAATAAAAAAATTTGTTAAATTAAAATTAAGTGAATCTTCTAAAACAGGATTTCACAACCAGGGGGGCACTCCTCCTTAAGGGGGGCGTAGAGAGATATCAAGGGGGGAAATACGCTTTCTCTCTAAGTCTCACAAATAATAGTTATAGTGGTCGACGTCTTTTTACGAAGATTACTATACATACAAGAAGATTACTTAATTATATCAAAAGAAATAATCTCGGCCGACTTTGAAGATGTCGGCCGCCCCAAGTAAAAGCCGGTTTACGGTTTTTTTTTTTCTCAAAATTTATTTACACAGGAACATTTAAAATAAACTATGTAAAAAAAAACTCTAAAAATGAAACAAAATTCTATGTAATTCAAACAAATAATTCAGAAAAGCTTCTTTATGTTGCGCACGTTGTTGGTGAGCAATTTAAGATTTCCGTTGCTACTTTGCTTAAAGGTGTGGAACAATAAAGAGATTTCCACCATATAACAGAATGCAGTTTTCATATGAAACCATTAGAAAATAATAATTCTTTTGATTTATAATAGGCAATTTCAGTCATAACGTTTGCTACATTAGATCCATTAACCAGAAGCGCCGGTAATTTATTGATATATATAATAATAATAAACTGCCTTTATTTCCAGAATAAAGAGAACAAAATAATATATAGGAAATCCTAAGGTGAAGTTCAGAATGCGCCCATAACATGGTCCGCTTTTGCTCTTCCACTTAACCTTAAAAATAATTGCACTTTTATTCAATCGTAGTACATGCCTACTCCTAAAAACTAAAACTATTAATTGATTCTGCATGATTGACTTATAATCTATCTTAAATATGAGCAATTAAAATATGCATTCCACTTGCATTAAAATTAGATTGATCCACTAAACAAGCAAAGAAGAAGTCACTGTCGCTCAAATAAATGCCTAAACAATAACGTTCTGAAAGCATCCTCCCTTTTAGCTCTAATGGTGACGAGGATAGAATTATACAGCTTATAGGTACAGTAGCTAAACGCGCAACAAAACAGAGCGGATTAACAACATTTTTATTTCTAATATTTATACTGTGTAAATCCCCTCTAAACTGAATCTTTCTACACAAATCATTAAGCGAGCCGGTTGTGAGAACCTTATGATACAGCACTGAAGCCTGTAGAGTATAACGATTGTAACATTCAACCAACTTAACTCTTTAAGCTTTTAATAATCTCCGCCGACTTTGAATGAAGATGTCGGCCGCGTCAAGTATCACAAACAATACGTATGGCGGCCGACATTATTTCTTATATCTTACTATTAACCCAACCCAACCCAAGTATCACAAACACTACTTATGGCGGCCGACGTCTTCGAAGTCTGCCGAGATTATTTCATATATCCAGCTATTAACCCCAGTATCATGAACAATACTTGCTCCTTTAAAGCAGATTACTTATATCAAAGAAAGTCGGCTGCCATAAGTATTGTTCCTGATACTTGGGTTGGGTTGGATTAATAGCAACCCAAGTATCATACCCCAAGTATCATACACTACTTAAGGCGGCCGATGTCTTCGAAGTCGGCCGAGATTATTTCTTATATCTAGCTATTAACCCAACCCAACCCAAGTATCACAAACAATACTTATGGCGGCCGACGACGTCTTCGAAATTGTCAGAGATTATTTCTTTGATATAAGTAATCTGCTTTAAAAGGATAAGTATTGTTCATGATACTTGGGTTGGGTTGGGTTAATACCTGGATATAACAAATGATCTCGACCAACTTCGAAGACGTCGGTTGCCATAAGTATTATTCATGATACTTGGGTTGGGTTGGTATTTCGAAGACGTCAGCCACCCCAAGTGGCACAAACAATATTTATGGCGGCCGACGACTTCGAAGTCGGCCGAGATTATTTCTTATATCTAGCGATTAATTCAACCCAAGGATCAGAAACAATACTTATGGCGGCCGACGTCTTCGAAATCGTCCGAGATTATTTCTTTGATATAAGTAATCTGCTTTAAAAGAGTAACGGCCGGTTGTACTATATACCGATAAATCTACCTGATAACTATCCGGCCGAAAAACTTATCGGGAGGATAAAGATATTCGCTATTGTACAAACTGTTTTTGTCGGTAGGATTGCTATCGGTGAAATAAGAGTCGATTGGTAGTATTTTTCCCCAATATCTAGTAATTTGTGCCATAGGTTGGTAACGCTAATGTTTTTCTTTGAAATTTGAACTATGATTTTGACATAAATACAATTATTTAAAAAAAAATTTCACGACACACAATTCATGGGGGGGGATCTCAAATGAATGAAAATTGTAACCGTCGTCAACGCCATCCGATGTCACCGTCGATAACTAATTCTACACAAATTCAAATTTAAACAACCTTTAAGGTGGCTTATATTTCATTTTTTTTTTGTATTCATCTTTGATTAATTAAGTCAAATTAAGTGATGTCAAATATAAATGATATTGATAAATCAGTTAATTTTTTTAATAAGTGTAATTTATGAGTGTAATTTTGTAATTAANTGTGTAAAACAAATATAAATTAAATAGTTCAACAAATGTATTTGTTTCAAATATCAGAAATATGTTTTTTTTTAATTTTTAGTTATAATTTACAGGAAACTGTAAATTTAATTTCTTTGACAACACTAAAAAAAAATTTATTTTTAGCTTTATTCTAAAACAATAAGAAATAGACCTGTCAAACCCTATATTTTTGTAATCAGAAAATAATAACGAATTTAATAAGCGAATAATCAGCGGTTGTTTCCATTTAAAAAAACGAAAATTGTCATGATATCTCAAAATCTAAAACCGAAAACATTTTTTTGACAACGTCATCAAATTCTCTGTAAAAAAGTGTCCATATAATGTTTTAGTTATAATACTCCACCTATAATAATAACCAAGATAATTGCACTTGTTGGTTTTACAATATTTTCAATTTTGGCCTCTAGGGGAAAAACAAAAGACGATAGCGCTTTGAGGTTTTCGGCATTAGCAGTTTCTCGAAAAACGATATCATGACATATCTTGCTATTAATCCTACCCAACCCAAGTATCACGAAGTATACTTATGGCGGCCGACGTCTTTGAATTCGTCCGAGATTATTTCTTTGATATAAGTAATCTGCTTTAAAGAGTAAGTATTGTTCATGATACTTGGGTTGGGTTGGATTAATAGCTGGGTGTAAGAAATAATCTCGGCCGACTTCGAAGACGTCGGTTGCCATAAGTATTGCTCATGATACTTGGGTTGGGTTAATAGCTGGGTATAAGAAATAATCTCGAAGTCGGCCACCCCAAGTATCACAAATAATACTTATGGCGGTCGACGTCTTCGAAGTCGGCCGAGATTGTTTCTTATATCTAGCTATTAACCGTACCCAACCCAAGTATCACAAACACTACTTATGGCGGCCCGACGTCTTCGAAATCGTCCGAGATTATTTCTTTGATATAAGTAATCTGCTTTAAAAGAGTAAGTATTGTTCATGATACTTGGGTTGGGTTGGATTAATAGCTGGTTATAAAAAATAATCTCGGCCGACTTCGAAGACGTATAATACCTGCTTTAACAAAATCTTCATTTATTTCTTCAGGATCAACCTTTATTCCATTATATTCTTCTCAGCATGAACCATGAACTTTTTGTTTGCTTCTTTCTTCGCTTCCCCTACCATCTGAGTGTATTCCTTTTCATATTTTCTATATAGTTGATATGATTCTTCGTTTTGGTTAACTAGCGCCATGGTATAATGCATTTAAAGTAATTTCCATTTGTTTGATTTTCGGTGTCAACCAGTACTCATATTTATTGATGTCATTATAGTTTTTTATTTTGTTTCTCCTTTCAGGGAAGCATGCTTGGAAATATGTGAAGAACGCATAGTGGAAGGTATCTTTGCTGATACCTGATACTTGGGACTGCCGACATCTTCGAAGTAGGCCAAGATTATTTCTTATATCCAACTATTAACCCAACCCAAGTATCACGAACAATATTTATGACGGCCGACGTCGTAATAGCTGGACATAAGATATAATCTCGGCCGACTTCGAAGACATCGGCCAACCCAAGTATAACACACAATATTTATGGCGACCGACGTCTTTGAAGTACCCAACCCAACCCATGTATCACGTAGGTACAATACTTATGGCGACAAGGAGATTACCCCTTGTATCCAGGTATTAACCCAACCCAAGTATCCCAAGAAATATCAGTATTTCTTATATCAAAAGAAATAAAAATTTTACTAATGAAAAAATTAAAGGAAGGCATGAAAATTTTATTTATAATGCGGGGAGACTCGACGAATAAACCGTTGGGAAATCCTGTTCTAAAATATACTACTAGTAAATACAGGGTAGTTCAGGTTTTAATCGGGAAACTTTACTAAGATGTAGTACTTGCCAAAATAACACAAGTTTTTTATATCACCTTTTGTTTTCGAGCTATGAGCGATCAAAGTAGAGCCAAAAATTTACATTTTGTTTTGTATTTCGGCTGTAAGTAAACCGTAGAATTTGAAACTTTGTACGTATTTACTACTGGTTAAGACCTAATTTTCAAGCATACCTTAAACTTCCCTAGTACCCTCTAAGGCGATGAAATTCACAACCCCCTTTATTTTTTTTCTATAAAAACTTTTTAACGCTATGGAATATTAACATAAAAAAATATGGGTTGTAAAGCTCATTCTTTAGTGGTACTTTTTTGTCTCTTTAGTATTTTTCTTAAAGTTAATAGTTTCCGTGTAAAAAAATAAAATATCATGCCATGTACAGGATGGTTCAAATTCGATGTCCGAATAGGGTAACTCGGAAACTATAAAAGTTAGAAAAAAAGTAGCTTACATCTCATGATCTCGTTTTTCGAGAAACTGCTAATGCCGAAAACCTCATAGCGCTATCGTCTTTTGTTTTTCCGCTAGAGGCCAAAATTGGAAATATCGTAAAACCAGCAAGTGCAATTATCTTCGTTATTATTATAGGTGGAGTATTATAACTAAGACATTATATGGACACTTTTTTATAGAGAATTGGATGACGTAGTCAAAAAAATTTTTTCGGTTTTAGATTTTGAGATATTATCACAATTTTCGTTTTTTTAAATGGAAACAACCACTGATTATTCGCTTATTAAATTCGTTATTTTTTTCTGATTACAAAAATATAGGGTTCGACAGGTCTATTTCTTATTGTTTTAGAATAAAGCCAAAAATAAACTTTTTTTTTAAATTTCCATCTAGTGTCATCGACGAAATTAAATTTACAGTTTCCTGTAAATTATGGTACTANACTATACATGTAAAATTCTTTATATTCTATTTATGTTACCAAATTTTATTAGTTTTGTGAATAATAAATTATTATGTTGAAATTAGATCTTTCATTTAAAATATATTTATTTCCTTTTTTCAAAGCAATATTAATTGTGTTATTTTTAAATTTGGCGGTTAAAGTTAGCCCCAACGATCTGGCAACGTCGCTCGCTTCGCTTCGATGCGCAGCGAACAATGTTGCCAGATCGTTGGTTAGCCCAGTTTTACACCATTATCCTAGTGGAAGTTGGTTTTAATCTATGATTAGTACTCTGGGGTGACATCGGATGGCGCTGTACGCAAGGTACAATTTAATAAGGTAGAGTTGGCCATCTCTATCCTTCCTTGTCTCTGACACAATTGACAACGTATGTATAGGATGTTATAGGTTAACCTATGCAGTAATACTGTCTTATCGACACCCCTGAGTACCTGATAAGTTATCCTGTACCGTAAAACAAGGTGTATAGAGACTTCCATGTGAATCGGGACAAAGCTTTTTTTTATACAATATATTTTCTCTAAATGTTGCCCTTTACACCTCAGCCGCTTTAAATGAGAATAACGGCTGAATAACATGACCGTCCCTAATCAGCACATTTCCAGGCGAAAAGGGACAACGCAGTTTTTTTAAAAAAACTATCATTAAACATTTTCTTAAAAATGCCATTATTTGGGTATGAAAAGTACACACCATGTTCGGACTTTTGCCCCACAGAAACTAATATTAAAATAAAAAGTAAAGCCGCAACATCTTCATAAAGTTGGCGGACTGTCCCTATACACCACGTTGTTTTACGGTAGATAATCTCGTCAACAAAAATATCCGTACAATATAATACAGTACAAACTAACTTATCGGCCAGATAACGCTGTCGGGAAGTTTATCGGTATATTGTACAATCAGCCCTAAATATTATTCAGGATACATGGGTTGGGTTGGGTTAATAGCTGGATATATGAAATAATCTCGGCCGATTTTGAAGACGTCGGCCACCTCAAGTATCACAAACAATACTGAGTTTTATTTGAGCAACGTCGTATCTGTAATAGTGTCGTTTTTGATTTCTTGATCTCAACTATATTTTTTCTAAGAAACAACTCCCCTTTTTTAAAAAAAAACTTAATTTTTTCCGCTCGCTGATTGTAAGTTTAATTGACTTGCGAGAAGAAACTGGTTGTCGTTGTGTTAAGTTGCTGGTATTGAATTTTACTTTATAATTTTACTATACATTTCTGTTTTGATAGTTTTGGAGTTTTATTTGAGCAACGTCGTATCTGTAATAGTGTGTTTTTTTTTTATTTCTTGACTTCAATTATATTTTTTTAAAGAAACTTAACTTTTTCCACTCGCTGATTGTAAGTTTAACTGACTTGCGAGAATGATGATGTTATCGAGATCCAAAATTAGATGATGTACTTTCTTTAGTAAATTCTTGACGTTGTGCCTGATAACGAGATTATTTCTCGAAACATATAGCACCGATACAAATACAATAAATAATTTTTTTTTATTAATCCAACTATTAAGCTAACCCAACCCAAATATTATGAATAATACTTATGGCGGCCGACGTCTTTGAAGTCGGCTGAGATTATTTCTTATATCCAGCTATTAACACAAGCCAACCCAACCCAAGTATCATGAACAACACTTATGGCGACCAACATTTTCGAAGTCGGCCGAGATTATTTCTTATATCCAGCTATTAACCCAACCCAACCCAAGTATCATGAACAATACTTACTATCCGTGCAAAAAGTCAAGGTCCCTCACTTTAGAGATCGATATCTTCGCAACCGTTCGATAAAAAAAATTGCGACAAAGTTTGTTGTTGACTTTTTGCACGTATAGTAAGTATTGTTGATACTTGGGTTGGGTTGGGTTAATAGCTGGATATAAGAAATAATCTCAGCAGACTTTCAAGACATAAGTATTCTTCGTGATACTTGGAACGGCCAACGTCTTCAAAGTTGGCTGAGATAATTTCTTATATCAAAAGAAATAATAATTTTAATTATGAAAAAAATTAAGGGAGGCATGACAATTTTATTTATAACGCAAGGACGAACAAAAGGTTGGGAAACCCTGTTCTAAAATATAGAAAATACACACGAATCGGTTCCTATCAAAAGACGACGTTGTAAAAGAAAATTAATTAATAATATCCTTACTATCAAAATGTTGAGCTTGTTCCATTAAAAATTGTGAACCTTGTTCCCAATGTCTCTCAAGTAATTGTTCTAATGTTTGTGGTAAAGCTCCAGAATTTCCACCAAGCATTGAAGATAATCCACTACCGCCAGAAGCGGTACTCGATCCACCAGTACTATTTGAACGAACCTACACAATAAAAAATAATTTATTCACTAAACACAAATATCATTAAAAATTTAATACCGATGCTATAACTCGGTGTTGTAAAGGAGGTCCAACTAAGTTACAAGAAGCCTCATTTGGCGTAAATATACTATGGGCTTCCAACTCAGAATTTAGATGATCCGACATTTTCTGCGCCATGTTCGAATTAGGATTCAATTGGTTCCCCAACATATGCGGAGCATGTATTCCATTTTGAAAACTAAAATTAATTTATTATTAAAAACTATATTTTCTCAGTATTAATTCACTTACACTTTAACATTATCTTTAGAATCCTTAGGATTCGCCGTGGAGCACACAGATGCCGGAGCACTTTTCCTCCCCTTTTTCCTACCGTTCGAAGGCGCTGATCCAAGACTTTCCGAACTTGGCGAACTCGGCGGAGATTCTTTTATCGTACTCTGAGAAAGTCCACTAAATGAACTCGCTGCGTGTTGCGCAGTTAAATCGAGATTCGATTGCGACCTACTCGCCCTTTTCGTCGTCATCGTCGAATTCGTTGCTAAACTTGTACCTAACGTGTGAGAACCACGTTTTCTTCGTGGTTTTTCCTTTTCCGTCGATTCAGAACGTAATCTTTTCGCTGGAACTTCCGGAATTGGCGTTATCCTTTCAAGGTCTACTTGCAAAGTACTGTTTGAAGGTATTTGCTTTTCATACGTTATTTTTAAACCTCCACCACTCATTTCTGATGTAATAACTCCGCTTTGGTTATTATTAGCTCCAGGCATTATCCCTAGAAAAATTTTAAATTTGGTACATCATGGAAATTGAGATTATTAAACTAACCAGTTGCTGGAGGGCTGGAAGTAACGCTTGGGCTACGTTCTTGGAGACCTAAAAACGGTGATGAAGCCGCTGAAACCGACTTAACTTGATTATTAACAATATGCGCGTGCGGACTGAGACTAGCGCTGTGTAAAGGAACTGATACCACCAAAGAATTAACAGCCGGTTGACTTAAAGGTGCTGATTGAATGATCGACGGTGTCGAAACTGTCGTCGAAATTCGCGTGGGACTCGTCGATGTAGTTATTGGCACTGGTTCCGGTAACACTGGTGTTGGAGAATTGTTGGTTATCGTTGGAGTAACGATTGTGGGAGTCGTTGATTGCTGATGAATTATTGAAGGGTGATTTATTGTATCGGTTTTAACCTGAAATTTTTATTAAAACAAAATTTAAATTAACATTGTAAAAGAAGATACTTCCTCTGTCCGAAAATAATTGCTACATTTCAAAGAAACGCAAGAAATAAAGATTTAGGAAGCAAAACTATATTACTTATTTAAATTGAAAATATAAAAAAACAATAATTTAAACTATTTATTTGTAATACTTAATTACTTCTATTATTTAAATATTCTTGAGCCATTTTAATAACATTTAATAGACAATAAAGTCCAATTTGAATGATTGCGTCTTAATTTCATTTTGTTTAGGTGTTTTAATTTATAACTATTACACCCTTTATGCAATAATGTACACTCCATTGCTTTATGCAGTGAAATAAATACATTATCTAAAGTTTCTCTGCTTATACTCCTGTAGGATTTTTTCACTGCTTCAATTAATTCAGCGATATTTCTTTATGGTAGTCGATGCTGAAGTAATTGAATGGAATTGAAAAAACCTAAATCCAACACATTCAAATCGGGACTGTTGGGTCGCAACCACATTTTAATAGTTAGTGAAGAATCGTTTCTGTACAAATCTGGCTTTGCATTATTTTGTTGAATATACCGGGTGTCCCTCAAAAGTGGCTCACCCCCATATTTTTCTTTATTATTGGTGATATAAGAAAACCATTTGGAATGCATAGTTAGGTCGCTAAAACAGATTATTACGACATGAAATCATTCTTTTTGTACTTCCGGTTATACCGGATGTGAGTACTAATTTCGCTACTTTTTTAAATCTATAATTTTTTTTTCTTCAGTAGGGTTGATAGTATAGTTTTACATAACTTTTACTTGAAAAAATTTTCACGATCGCTTATAATTTTTGAAAAAAAAATTATTTTCGTTATTTTATAACGTTTTAGTACCTTCGGAAAATGTATTACAACTTTTGACGCATAGTAGCTAGGTTAATAGTATAAACCACGTTATGTCCCTCTTGATTTGCTATTTCTCGAGCAGTGATCACTGCTATGCTTTAGTCAGTGGTTCTTTTTTAATAATGGTGTAAATTAACAGTTGTATTAAATTAGTTTTAAAAGAAAAACGCGATCAAACAATTAAGTTTAATTCAATTATTTTTGATTTTTTATTTTTTTCTTTATTTTTTGTTCTTTTACACTAAATGTTCTGTAGCTGATAGTAACTTACAATGTCCATTGTACATTATAATTTGGATTGTTTACTTTATTTTGGTTAAAACCTCTCAGATCACCTGACCTCACACCTTTAGATTCTTTTTATGGGGCAAAATCAAAAATGAGCTGTATAATACACCAGTAAGGTCTCGTGAGGTATTAGAAAATAAATCGAGTTAGAAATTGTATTACCTAAATATCTCCGCAGGAATAACGTCGAGTCGTTAGATCGACAATACGCAAGATACAATTATGTCAAAATCGAGGCGGGAGCATTTTGAAAATTTAGAAAATTAGTTTTTTTGAACTTACAATTGAATTAAATTTAATTGTTGGATAGCGTTTTTCTTTTAAAACTAATTTAATACAACTGTTAATTTACACCATTATTAAAAAAGAACCACTAACTAAAGCATAGCAGTGATCACTGCTCGAGGAATAGCAAATCAAGAGGGACATAACGTAGTTTGTACTATTAACCTAGCTACTATGCGTCAAAAGTTGTAATACATTTTCCGAAGGTACTAAAACGTTAAAAAATAACGAAAATAATTTTTTTTTTCAAAAATTATAAGCGATCGTGAAAATTTTTTCAAGTAAAAGTTATGTGAAATTATACTGTCTACCCAACTGAAGAAAAAAAAATTATAGATTTAAAAAAATAGCGAAATTAGTACTCACATCCGGTATAACCGGAAGTACAAAAAGAATGATTTCATGTCGTAATAATCCGTTTTAGCGACCTAACTATGCATTCCAAATGGTTTTCTTATATCACCAATAATAAAGAAAAATATGGGGGTGAGCCACTTTTGAGGGACACCCGGTATATTGTGTTTTTCTTAGAACCAACACGCCACTTGTCCCGTATTGCAGGAATTAAATTATGAAGAATCATTTTCCTTATTTCTTCTTTGTTAACAACTTCCACAGCTGTGGTTACGAAAGTTCCCTTTGTTCGATTCTTGCTGTTTCTCTTAGCTGGAGATGAAGATGCAAATGACCAAATTCCTAACTTTCCATGAAAATACACTTTTCTATGAAAATCCCAGCATAGACGAGCAACTGCCGCCATAAACATTACTTTTGTAATAATTTTACTCTTACAAGGTCTATAAGATGTTCTTCTTCAGGAGTTATCTAAAAGCTTCTTGTAGTTTTGGTTTTATAGAACCATTTTTTATCAATATGTATACAGGGTGTCTCAGCGAGGCGTTTCTGGGGTTCTGGCGAAAATAAAAATTTGAGAATTCAGATTTAAGTATTATCAACTACGATCTCTTCGACTAAAATATTTTCAGATTTCTTGCACTTCCGATTATACCAGAAGTCGCCACCTACTTTATTTTTTTAAATGGAACACCTGTATATTTTTACATATTTGGATTTGTCTGTTTTCAAGGTTTATAAATAACTTTACTTTTTGCAATTTGATTCGACCGTTCTCGATTTATTCGAATTTTTCTAGAAAAATCTGCTCCAGCAGACATTTGTTCAAAAAATCAGATATCAATTTAGGATTTACAACATGCTTAAGCAACATGATGGAGTATGTTTTGGTGCCGAGAACGGCTGTCTAGAACGTTTGGTCACTTTACTATGGCACGTTAACTTTTCAAAATTTAGAAGTACCATAACTTCATTTTTTAAAATGGTCGTCTTCGGTGTCTCATTCTACATCTTTTATATCCCATATGTCCCATATCTAACATTAATAGTTTGGGAGATAATTAGGATTTTTTGAAAAATGCACACGTATATGGATATTTAGCCTAGTGTGCCATAAAAAACAAGCCTTCTCAATGAGTTCTTGTCAAAGACTCACTTGTTTACGTCACTTGATGCATGTGAGCTAATAATTATCTGTTAGTTCCCTTAATATTAGTACTGAAACGAGTTAAAATCGATAACAATAACGAAAGTAACATTTACACAAATCAAGAAATTCTTAATTTATTTTTTATGCATGAAAAGCGCGGCAAAGTTCGTAGTATGATTCCCAGATCTTCTTTGGCAGCTCGAATTGAGGTGTTGGGACTGGGCTTGAAATAAGCCAAGGTATTCACCTCTTCCGTTGCATTATCTACTACATTTTTTGGTCAGTTTAACACGTGATTAATTCGTCCAAAATGCAAAAAATTTGCTTCTATTCTTCTAAATTTACCTTTTGTCATCGGAGGTAAATGTGGATAATTTTCATTAAACATTCTGCAAGTTCTACTAAGAACTTTGTCGCACTTTTCGTGCACAAAAAATAAATTATGGATTTCTTCATTTGTATAAACATTATTTACGTTATTAATATCCATTTTAACTGGTTTTAGACTCACAAGCATCAAACAACCTAAATTAGACTTTGACGTTTATCAATAAGTCATTAAACATTTGTTTTCCATGGCACACTAGGTTAATATCCATATGATATGTGAGCATTTTTCAAAAAACCCTAATTATTTCTCAAACTATTAATGTTAGGCATAGGACATATGGAATATAAAAGATGTAAAATGAGACGCCGAAGACGACTAAGTAATAAAATATGGGGGGTGCCATTTAAAAAAATGAAGTTATGGTGCTTCCAAATTTCGAAAAGTTAACGTATCATAGTAAAGTGACCAAACGATCTAGACAGCCGTTCTCGGCACCAAAACATACTCCATCATGTTGTTTAAGCATGTTCTGAATCCTAAATTGATATCTCAAAAATTGAGTGTTCTATGATTTTTTGAACAAATGTCCGCTGGAGCAAATTTTTCTAGAAAAATTCGAATAACTCGAGAATTGCTGGTTCAAATTGCAAAAGGAAAAGTTATTTATAAACCTTCAAAACAGACAAATCCAAATATGTAAAAATATACAGGGTGTTCCATTTAAAAAAATAAAGTAGGTGGCGACTTCCGGTATAACCGGAAGTGCTAGAAATCTGAAAATATTTTAGGCGAAGAGAACGTAATTGATAAACTTAAACTGAATTCTCAAATATTTATTTTGGCCAGAACCCCAGAAACGTCTAATGACCGGTCTCGCTGAGACACCTGTATAATTCAGCAAATCTTCGAAATACCCTGACGGTAATAAAAACTTTAAACAAAATTCAATTCGTCGCTTTTTATCTTCTTCAGTTAACAGTGGTTTAACAAAACTAGTGATTCTTTTTATTTCCTTTCCTTTCTTTAATCTGTCATGCAATGTACAGGGTGGGCAAATTTGGGTGTTATTATAGGCTATCTCATAAACTATAAGAGATACAAAAAAAGTATCGAGGTGTCATGTCTCGGTCTCTTTTTCCGAGACTAATCCAATCCCGCAAAGACCAAATCTCTATCTTCTTTTGTTTTTAAGTTATAGCCAAAAAATCAAATTTTAGCGATTTAAAAAAATGCTCATATTTCGTTTATTTTTGAAATTAGAGAAATGGGGTTGATACGTTCTTAAGGCACTTTTTAAGTAGAATATACTGACGTTGAAAAATTTTAAAAATATTTGATGATTTTTGAGATACAGCACAAAGTTGTGTTTTTTTAAATACAAGTTATACTTGATTATGATGTTAATGAAAAGAGCATATTTTTAGCTTTCCAATGATGTAACGCATGTATGGTTCAAAATTTTGATTATAGTAGGCGGGTTCGGACAGTAATTACTACTTAATTGCTATATGGTTTTGCATGAATACGACAGAAAGTTGCTCTTGTACCATTATGCAGGATAAAGTTGGTTTTGTACCAACGAATAAAAACTTTGAATAGTTGATTTAAATTTCTCAATGTCTTATCCCTGACATTGTTCACCAATAAAAAATGATTTGTATAGTAGACGCCACGAGAGCTGGCAGTAAATCATCGTTTTCCGCTCTTGCAAATGCTATACGTAGTTCACAAACCGCTAAAGAGTAATTTGTGTTAGAAAGAGATAGCATTAGTTTAATATGTCTGCTGTATAATTCAAATAGACACGTCGAAAAAGTACGTCTGTTCTTCTAAGGGATGTAACTCTATAATTATAACCTCAAATCGAAACGTCTTGTGAGCGTTGTCATGAATCGTTAGTGTTTTCACAAGCCGAAAATGAAATAAATTAATAATTAATGAATAAATTATGAATCACTACTTAAATAAAACTTACTTAATCCCTTGCAAAAATAATAACCTTTTAAAGTATTTGTTAAATAAATAAATAATTACATAAATTTTAGTATAAATTAATATTAACGATTTTTTGCTGCTTAACCTCTCCTAAATTTGACAATGTTTGACATATAACCTCCATTACTAACCTAACATACATTTAAATGTATGTGGTAAAATAATCTAAGTCGTCCGTCCATATCTTGATTCATACCATTTTTAAACGTCAAGTCACTGCCAGCTCTCGTGGTTTCTACTATAGATAAAGTTTGTTTATTAAAAATACAAGAAACGTATTAATTAATGAATAATTAAATATGAACAACAACTTCAGGAACTAAACAGTCACAGACTGTGTCATCTTCTTCTACTAAACTTATTGGTTGTAAGGTGAATGAAATTTTCGGTAGTATCGTCCCAGTTTTCCCCAATCATGAGATTTAGAATTTTTTTCATATTAGCAACCTTTTCTTTTGAAATTGGGTGAGATAGAGGTAAACTGGGCAGCGGACTTTCCATTGAAACGATGTTTATATGGGATATGGAGCCTTATCTATTATTTTCAAAGAATCATTTTTTAATTTTATCGCTTTATGTATTTAAAGATAATGAGGAATTTCGAAAAACTCATGAATGAAATGATCAGTAAACTCACGTTACTATAGTAACTAAGTGGCATTTAACGTTTTCCTCGCCTACTATAATTAAAATTTTGAATATTAATCTTTAATATTTTAGAATTAAAAAATAACGCTTATTTTCCCCAAATACACCATGCGTGCAATACATCATTGGAAAGCTAAAAATATGCTCTTTTCAGTAACACCATAATCTACTACATTTGTAGTCTACTATACCACGAAAATGTAATTTAGACGGCCTATACGAACGAAAGTCGACGCATCTCTTTTTTTTCTGACTGTACTTTTTGACACATCTTTTTTTAAGGGAATCAACATTAATGACAGAATTGTTACATTAATGCGCCTCGTTTAAGTTTTCCTTGACTGACATTTTGTAATAAATAATGTACGATTTGCTTACGTTGGTCGTTGTTAAACTTTCTACACTTTTTGCCACCTGTTTGAATGAATTCCGAAATATTTTTGTCCATTTTGAATGTATAGCGTTAAATCGCTCAACAAGTCAAATTTGACATAAGGAAACTAATTATCAGAAAACAAGTGCAATAGCTAAGTCGGTTTTGGTCATGGCACACTTTGATTGTTAAATTGTCTACCTTATGTATCTAGATAAATCGCTTGTGCATTTCATATTTACAATAACTTTTACATTAAACTGAAATGTAGCAACTATTATCAGACAGAGGAAGTAAACATATTAACTTATTTACTAAAAATCACCTTTTTAAGTTTATCATTATTTTCTATACAACTCAAATTATCCTTCTTTTCACTACTTGTCACAACCACAGTACTAGTTTCTGTTACAGTAGCAACCCCGACCACTACATTAACACTATCACTACTTCCAGTAACAACAGAAATAGGAGTTGGAGTTCTAGAATTCGCTTTCCGTTTTTTCCCTTTACTTTTTTCGTGTTCTTTAATTTCCTTTAAATCGTCCCCGTCTTTAATATCCCTTTTTTCACCACTTTTACCGTCAACTGGTTCACTTATAGCACTTGTATCGTCCGTCACGGAATTATTCTTAACACTTTTAACACTTGCGCTACTCGATTTCGATACTTTTTCCGAGCTTGTTTTGCTGCTGGAGCTATGAATAACCTTTTGGTGGCTCGATGATTTTGAAGATGAGCTCGATTTCGATGAGGAAGTCGATGTTTTGCTACTTGAAGATGATTTTCTTTTCGAAGAGGTTGATGTTGAGTTATTACTTTGGGTGGGTTGAATTGGTTTCGCTGTGGTGGAATTTTCCTGTTCGCGTTCCGAACTTGAATCGGAATGATGATTTTCCGCAGAGACCGGTTTATATGGGGGTATTGTTTTTACGTTACCACCTTTTTTCTAACAACAAGAAAAAATAAATTTGAACAAAATAAAATTGTTTTTAAAATAAATTCTCTTACCAATTTACTATAATGATGCTGACAATAACCACAATACTTGACATTATCTAGATAATTTCCTGCTTCCTCGCAGAGAAGTCCAAGTCCTTGGGCGCAAGTTACATGAAATTGTTGCTTGCAACCAGATTTATTGCACTGCATGCAAGCTCCTACTGAAGCTTGGGATGCTTTTCCGCTTTCTTCACAAATATAACAAGACTATAAGCATACACGGGAATTATTAGTAGTTATTGATTAAAAAAATTAGTGAGGATTAAAAAAAGAACCTTATTAAATCGTTCAGCAGGTATCATCTGCAATTGAATCGGTTCCATTGTAGTCACGTTTCCAAATCGCACCTCTGGTATATACAGGGCGCAAACTACGTGAGCCCACGCAGAAGTATCGGTGCGTTTTAATGCACCATATTTGCTTGGACAAAGTTCGCATTTCTAAATAATTAAAAAACAAACATTTTTAATCGACTAATTTCAATTTTGATTTTAGTATTTGAGGTTATTAATGAACTTACTACTTTAACAGATCGTTCTTGACTCTCACATTTACGACAATACCACGGTCCCGTTGGAACAGTCACAATTCCGTAACAAGCTAAAAAAATCGAAAAGAACTCAATTTTCAATTATATGGATTATTATATTACTTAAGTACAAGGTGGTTCAAATTCGATGTCCGAATAGGCTATCTCGGAAACCATAAGAGTTAGAAAAAAAGTAGCTTACATGCCAAAAAACCTGCCAAAAAAATAAACTTTTTTTTAGTGTTGTCAAAGAAATTAAATTTACAGTTTCCTGTAAATTATATCTAAAAATTAAAAAGATATATTTCTTATATTTAAAACAAGTGCATTTGTTGAACTATTTAATTTATATTTGTTTTACACAAAAGTTGGAATAGATTGCATTATTTCACATTTTTTATTAATATTTAATATTATTATTAAATGACTTAATAAATTATTGATAGAGGGCGCTCATATATATTTTTAATTCAAATAAACATAGCAATATTTGTTTGTATTCAAAAATTTTCTGAAGTGTCAAATTAAAAATCCTATTTTTTAAGATGGATACGAAAAGTTTAACATGTTAGAATGTTACATATTAGAAAATAAAGTAAATTTTATATAAATTTTTAGTAGAATAATTTTTAATTAAAGTACCGTAATTTACAGGAAACTGTAAATTTAATTTCTTTGACGACGCTAAAAAAAAAGTTTATTTTTAGTTTTATTCTAAAACAATAAGAAATAGACCTATCTAACCGCATATTTTTGTAATCAGAAAAAATAACTAATTTACTAATTATTAATTTAATAAGCGAAGTTGTTTCCATTTAAAAAAACGAAAATTGTCATAATATCACAAAATCTAAAACTGAAAAATTTTTTTTGACTACGTCATCTAATTCTCTGTAAAAAAGTGTCCATATAATGTCTTAGTTATAATACTCCACCTATAATAATAACCAAGATAATTGCATTTGCTGGTTTTACGATATTTTCAATTTTGGCCTCTAGGGAAAAAACAAAAGACGATAGCGCTTTGAGGTTTTCGGCATTAGTAGTTTTTCGAAAAACGAAATCGTGACATGTAAGCTACTTTTTTTCTAACTCGTATAGTTTCCGAGATAGCCTATTCGGACATCGAATTTGAACCACCCTGTACATACAACGAATTGATGTTAATGATTTAATTTTAGTACAATTTTATAGATTAACGTAATTTCTATACAATTTTTTATTAAAACTAAGGCACTTGGCCTCATATGGTGTTCCCCAAAGATATATTATAATCTCTTAGCTGCACATCTTATTATTTAATGAGGGGTTGAATCTCAAACTTGTAAGCATACCACACGATTTTGAGAAGAAACAAAAACTTCTACGGGTGTCCCGCAACGATTTGTACAATCATTAATTCTATTTTTTTTATAATAATTAACCCCTTCATGTGGAATTAGAAGAAGCAGGTTTGAGAAACGTTGATGAAAATGCCTTAACCAGCATTAGAAAGATTTCTGTACAAGAAAACAACCGTTCAATGCAAGGGAGCAGTTGTTTTATCCGTATCACTACAACACTTTTCAAGCTTTTACAGAAAATTATAATAATAATAATGCATCTTTTTTTACAAAATGAGCTTACTGAGGCATTTGATTGTGCATTTTTTTCTCATTTTTAGATGCGAATGATGTAATTTCTGATTACACCAATGCCTACTTCTAAGTCGCGGCGGAGATCAGTGTAATGCACTCACTATGCAGTTTAATATGTACAGGGTGTCCAAATTTCGATGGGTTTGCAGGGTATCTCAGTTATTATGAAAGATAGAAAGTTGCGGCTTTCGCGCGACTTTTTGTGAAACTTACAATAGCGCAAACCACATTTTCATAGCCCTCTTCGTTTTTGATATACAAGGAGTGTTTGAAATTTACGATTTTCAGACACCTCCTGTATCTCGGCTATCTGGAAACTTAGAAAAAAAGTAAAAACGGGTTCTAATAGACTTTTTAGTGTTGTCAGTGTATGCGTATGGGCTACAGCTACAATAGATTGTATGATTTCGCTTTTTGAACGTTTCAGATTCCGTCCATCTCATCTCTTGGGATGGAAGGGCGATGACGTCGATATTTGTCAGTATTATTTCCACTTAGACACTTTTAACTTCACTGGAGTCCTACAGTCAATCATAATAACAACTTTTCTGGTACATTGTGGTAGCTAGTTTTTTCATAGATTAATATTTCTTAATATTTGTGATTCACGATTTATTCTGCCATTCCACAGAGTATCTTTTGGGCACTGAAGATTTTCCAACAACAAGAAATACATCTATAGAAATGGATGGCAGAAACTGAATGGATGACTACACAGAAAAATTAGCCCAAGTACAAGACAAAATATATTTAATCAGGTAACTGATTATTAAATAAATTGATAGTAATCTTTGATAGCAAATTTTCAATTTTATAAAACTTCCTAATAAAATACCTTTGAAAATATGATGTGACTTTGAATTTTCCTCGAGTTTTATAATAATTCAACATATATAAGTGACCAAGACATCCACTTTTGCTTTTACTCTTCTAAGTGAAATAAATCATCAAAAATATTTGAAACCATTCTTGCGTAATTCGTGATTTTCTTATTTTTTGGTGGGTGTTCAAATTTGATATATCAGCGTCTTAATTACTAAATGTTCCTCCTATTATGAGCAGAATATCTTTCATAAATGAGAAATTAATAATTTTCAAATTTATATTAAATTGAGGTTATGTTTTGATTCTTAAATTGTGCCAATACTACCAACTCAAATGTGGCTAAAAATAAAACAGTAAACTTTGAGTTTCAATATACTTCAAAATAAAGTTAATAAAAATACAATACAAGTATTATTTTAAACAATATTTTAAATTAAATAGATTTTTACATATTTTTATTGTAAATTATTATAAGCTTTAAAAAAACACCCCTGTATAACTTAGACTTAACAATGTTTATAGATAGGTAATAAAAATCATTTAAAATAGTTACCTTGGTGTACAGCAACAGTGCACGATTGTCCATCACAGTAAACAAGCGGATTTTCAGGCCATCCTCTATCATCAGAACAAACACAACACCCTCCTACCATCTCCTTCATAATGCAGAACCCAACTCTTTGCTAAACTAGCGAACAGACACCATCCCAACCTAACATTGTACCCATGGCACCAAGAAAAACCCGAAAAAACGAGAACATCTCGGAATTTAACTTTAAAGCCATCCTACTCATCCGAGCGAGTGAAAACGATAAATGAAGAGGTGATGTTGATCACCTCACTGTAAACCCTCATCATTACATAATTTTAGTCCAAAATTTACGAGATATTACAAGTTCTTCCTCACATCCCTCCAATAATACAGCTGTCCAAAACAAATCGCTTTACCCTCGCATAAACAAATGCTACGCGATCGGCATTTATTTATTTACACTATTTCCATCGGTATTGGCGTCACGTTGGCTTCGTCGATGGTGGCTTTGTTGTAGTTAGATTGGAAGTCGCTGGTGGATGTTCGTGGGGCCTTGTGGGGCCGAAATATGATGGAGTTGTCGACAACGGGGTCACATTACACACAGGTATACGAGAAAAACGCGCCGTAAACACATTTTACGAGAGGGAAACCATTTTGTTTTTTGTAATATTTTGCCTCGTACCGAACGCGACGCATGCGCACCTCGTCGCCTCCGAGTGGGCATTAGAATGAAATTTTTTTGAAATTTCTCCCCCGACAGACACGGAAACGGTTTCTTTAACTCCTTAACACCATCAATTGCCTAATTATGTAACTTCGTTTATAAACTAGGTCAACGGCGAACTCGTGAAGTCGTTTCATTCAATTTACAAACATAGAATCCCGCGCCTCGGTTGCATAGTCAAAGTGGATCAAGGATAAGGGATCATCGAATAGAAGAGAAACGCACTTCGATTTAGTAAGACGCAGGATGAATTTCTTAAAGGAAATGTGTTTATTTATACGTGTCGGTTTTAGTATCGAAGTAATACATTTTTATGTCAAAATAAGTAAACATTCATTTTAAAACGGCCACTTAAAACTTAATGTGTTTATGATAGTTTTGTTGCATAATTGTTTATATATTAAAAGCAAAATTTATCTATTTATATTTTTTTAGGTGCTTAAAAGGTTATTTGATAAAGATTAATAAAAGCGCGGGATTTTACTGGTTTTATATAGGCAACCTAATATACTCCTGCCTATATTTTAATCCCAAGGTCCGATGAGTAAACATACTGTATAAGGTTATCCAACTTGACTCGGTTACCATGGTGATTAAGATCCAAATATTGCAGGTGCTTGTCAAAATTGAAATTGAATTTAAGTTTTTTCGAGGAAAAAGTCTTATTTAATTGGTTTAAAAGGCTGTGTTTAACTCAAAATTGGTTTATGTAGGGTATTATAAACAAGGTAAGCGGATTAAATCAAAAAAAGATATTTTTAATTTATTTCTCTCAATTAGAATCGATTAATTAACTACAATGAACGAATTTGTTATGAATGCGAGATAATCGTAAAGAATTCGAATTGTTTTAAAATTAATAAAAATTAGGTTAGAATTGATAAAAAAATCGGAATAAAATTTTATTATTTTAAGGTTATCCAACTTGACTCGGTTACCATGGTGATTAAGATCCAAATATTGCAGTGTTGCTTGTCAAAATTTGACGTTGAATTTAAGTTTTTTTAATGAAAAACACATAATTAATTGTATTTAAAGGTTGAATTTAATTCAAAATGGATAAATGGATGAAATTATAAGCAAGGTAAGTGGATTAAATCAAAAAAAAAATTTTTAGATCAATTAAAATGTACAAGAATTTAGGGTCAAATAACAATTAAAACTAGAAAGTTTTAGGTTTAGCCGGGCGTCTTATCGTTAGACAAGAACCGAAAAGTCTAAAGACGCACGGCTAAACTCGAATATTTCTAAGGCTAGTGTTAGTTCTAGTTTTACACTAGCAACAGTCGGGTTTAGTCGTGAAAAAAACTTTTAGTTGTCAATGTCAACTTTAATTTTATTATTATATTCGTTATTTTCATAAAATTGCCTTTAAAGTGAGTCCAAACTTGACGCTTTTATCTCAAAAAACCAAAAAGTTCGAACTTTCAACTTTTAATTTTGACATACTTGTTAACTTCAAACAAAATCTTTTAAAATGAGTCCAAACTCGACATATTTAACTTTAATATTTATGTGAAAGAGAGGAGAAATGGTTACATAAACGCAAGAAGAGAATACAAAACAATAGAGTGCATGAAGAGATAAAAGCCGTCAACATGGAATGAGAGTATAGGAAGTTCTATAAAGGGCTGAACATGAAAAGAGACCCTTTTAGCCCATAAATGAAACAGATTAAGGACGCTGATGGAAAACTGATTACTGAGAAGAGTGAGATAGTGAGAAGATGGTCACTTCAACACACTGCTGTGCTCTGACAGTGAGCAACAAGAATACGCGCAGCCAAATACAAATCAAGGCACTCACCCACCCTCAGTCGAAGAAGTGGAAGAATCGCCGAGATCTGGCGGTATGCCGTCAAGACTTCTTTAACACAGCGGCCAGAAGATTACGTCACACTTCCACGAACTGCTGACACAAATATGGCATGAACACAAGATGCCAGAAGAATGAAACACTGGAATTATATGACCCGGTACACAAAAAGGGAGATGTATACGATTACGCTAACTATAGAAGAATATAGAAATTAGTCGAAAGTTTAAGGTCCTGTCGGTAATACTTAACAAACGACTGATATCCTACGTAGAAAACACATTGGGATCAAAAAGGATTTAAAAGGAATTGCTCGACAATTGATCATATTTCGTCTATAGGACAGATACTTGAAAAGACATATGAAATTGATATTGACTGTCATTATATTTTCACATAGACACGGTTGATAGAGTAAAATTATACTCGGAATGTGTAATCAGAGCCCAGACAACTGTCAAAACCTTTCAACATGAGCAGAGGATTACCTTGCCTATCTGCGACTATTTAACCTTGCCCTTGAAAAGTTGATACGTGAATCACAGGTGAACCTGAGTGAGACGATATAGTGATTATAGGAATCTCGCAGCAATATGTAAAGAAGGCATTCACCAAATTTATCCAAGCAGACAAATTGTAAACTATACAAAACATTAATACGATTGGTATTAACATATGCATGAGAAACTTGGGTGCTTGCCAAACGAGAGGAAGAGGCACTATGTTTGAAAGAAGAAGACTAGTTCGAGCTGTTGGTGGGCGTGGGCATATAATAGATTTTGGCAGACAAATAATCTGTATAAGAATGAGGAAATCGATAGGAAAGGTGTTTCAGAAACCTAATCTGAATTCTCTCTATTCTATTAACATAATCATAGTGAAGATTCCAAACAGTGCTTCTGAAATATAAAATACTATTGATGAAGGCATTATACTTAGAAATTATAGTCACTGCGTTAGTAAAAGATTCGGACGAACGCATTACAAATTCCAGCATCCTATTAGCTCTAGCTACAACTTCATCAACGTGTTGATCAAGAAGTAATTTATTATCTAAAATGATACCTAAGTCTTTAATGGAGTCGACGCGATGCATAACACCAGACCTGTGCTCATAATTGAATTTAATGAATTGTTTTTTCTTAGTAAAGGTTATAGTATGACATTTTGATATATTTAAATGTATATTATTATTTTCGCAGTAATCATAAAATATATTCAGATGAAGAGTAATGCAATCTGAGAGATTACTAATTGGAGAAAAAATTTTAAGTTCATCAGCATACATGAGATATCTGCAGTTAGGAAAAGATTTAGCTATATCTTCTATGTAGATTGTAAATAAAAGTGGTCCCAAATGACTGCCTTGAGGTATCTAGGCTGGTCATGATTACTTGAGTTCCGTTGGAGATATAAGAGGTAAACCACTTCAACAAGACACCAGCGACTCCTATGAGTTCCAGCTTTAAGAGTAATAAATTGTGATCAACCTTATCGAAAGCTTTGCTGAAGTCGATGTAAATTGCATTCACCTTGACGTTCTTATCAAGAGTTGAACAGATTGGTCTCAACAGAACGGCATGACGTAATTTGAAAAAATAGTCTATTTTAAATAAGTTTTTCCAAAACTTTTTTGCTATATTTGTTTATAATAGGTAAGTATTAAAATAAAAATAATTATTTTGTATATTTGTTATAAATCTTATTAATTAAAAAAATTTCTTTTAAATAATCTAGATTTATAAGGAATTGAAGAAATACTGAATAGGGTGAATTCGCCTCGATTTAATTAAAAGGCCGTTGAACCCCGTCAGAACCACCCCCGTCAAATACAGACATGCACACACACATCCATACATTGTAAGTATACGCAACCTCTGCCCAAACAGATTCCACCCTCTTCATGGCTCACGGGGGTTGGTAAGTCACCCGGGTATAGTTATGCAGGGGTTGCGAGAACGGTGGCGCTGTAAGGGGGGGTTCGTAGCAGCAGGAATCTCCCTGGACTTGCGCTTACGTGTCCTGCCCGACGAAAACTACTCGCGAGTTTCAGTACGTTTTTTTATCTCATGATAACCACATCATCGTTCACTCAAAAAATTATATAAAATGAAGAATGAACATTTTAGCAGGTACAAACAAATTCTTGAAATGAGGTGAGTTAAATGTATTATTTTTTTTCGTGTTGAATTGGGTTGGTTAAAAAAATAAAAAGGGGGTGGCGATTTTGCCCGAAACTGCCACCATTTTGGTGTAGTAAATATCAGTTATGATTAAAATTAATTTATATCTTTTGATTAATCATTTGTGTCTAAAATTACAAAAAGTATTTAACAAATTTTTTTTGTTTAACATTCTTATCTTTTGTACGGTTGAGATAACCCGAAAAAAGGAGATAATAAACTAGTTATTATTGATCGTAATGACTCAGTTATCTTATTAATTAAATTTTGATTTTAGTTCTAAAAATGTTAAACAACAAAAAGATCCTTAACCCAATTAACTTAAAATGGAAGAAAACGAAACAACACTCCCTTTACAAAATGGATGTGATGACCAATGGATTTGGAACCGTTGGGAACGAAGTCCGGATGTAAAATTTTTTGGTCGAACTTATCGCACGGCTCATTTCCACATAAATTGGAGCGCAGGAACAGCAGGAGTACGCGGCACAAGAATATTAAACAACGGTAGATATTTTTGGGAATTAAGAATAACTCAAAGAATTTTCGGTACAAGCATGATGTTCGGAATTGGAACGAAAAAATCAAAACTCCACGCGAATTCTTTTACGAACCTTTTCGGACAAGACGATCAAAGTTGGGCTTTATCGCACAAAGGACTCCTTTGGCATTCAGGAAAAACTTATTCTTATACAAAACCGTTTCAAGAAAATCAATCAACGCGGATCGGAATTTTATTTGATGGCATCGCGGGTACTTTAACTTATTATAAAGACGGTGAGTGTCTCGGCGTTGCTTTTAGCGGATTAAATGAAATTAAAGAACCTTTATATCCGGTTATTTGTTCGTCGGCGGCAAGAACCGCCATGACTTTGTCATCAATGAAACGAGAATTCGTAAACTTGCAGGATCGTTGTAGGGCGGTTATTGTTAAAAAATTACGATGTAGAAGCTCTATTGATAAACTTATGGTTCCGGCGGGTGTTAAATGTTATTTGGCGGAGGCTATTGTGGATGAGATTCAACCGTTTAAACCTATGTACAGAAATATTTGTAATAGTATTGGATCACTTTAACACGTTCGCTATCACTATGCAAAGGAGTAACTCTCACAGACCAATGATATATTTTTGAATAATATTACACAAAATTAATTCTATTATGAGATTTTTTTTTGCTATGGCTCATATGTGGGATATAGGTCTATTTCAAAATACATAAAATAAAGTTATACATTATGATACGCAGAAAAATATTTTATGCAGGATGTCAATGGATTATTTTTTTTATTTGTACACTAGTCATAAATATACCATATTCTCTTCTCTAAGATGCAAAGAACACAACACTGGTAATACTCAAACTTGCTAGAAAAGAATGAAAATTGAGTGGTTAGGCTCCAGGCTTCTACAATAAATCAGGAATTGCATTGTTGTGACTTTATAACGAAATGAGAAATTACATGGGGTATATTTGAGATATAAAAAATAGTCTGGAATCACACTAAATATATTACAGGTTCTAGACTTTGTGAATTACACTGTCAAGATTGCAGATTAAACAAAAAATTATAGAATTACACTGGTGGGACTACAGACACCAAGGAAAAGTGTGGAATTATAAGGAGCAATCTTCACGGTGGAAAAATCTATGGCCAAACTCCAGATTTGAAGGAAAATGTCTGGAATCACATAACCCACTCTTTAAGTTGCAAGAAAAATTTGCAAAAAATTGCATTGCATCACTTTCAAATACAAGTAGAGGTCTTGAATCAGATTACATAGGTTACATATTTTTTGTTTCTACTTTTTGTTGATTTGCTATTAGTGCAGTAATAATTTCATTTCTAAATAGTAGGTAGGGTGTGTTTTGCCATGGATGATTTTATTTCTAAACATAATATTTCAAAATTTATCAGTTATTAATCAAATCTCTTGATTTAACTCGATTCTGCAATGTTTTGATTGACAAAATTTGCAAAATACTTCATTTTGTGGGGAACCTTTTTATCATTAGAGGCCACTTTTCAATTAGCCAGTAATAATGGAAGCCGGATAAGTTGATACATCTATAAATGTGATTTTTGTCAAATTATACTTTTTGCATAGCTTTATTGCATTGGTACGCAAAAAAGAACAAACAAAAAAAAAATACTCCAGTAATAGTTGAACCAATTGGAACCACGATCATGACCTGATTGAGGAATAAAAGATTAATTGAACACCACTAGAAATGCTCAGTGGGTAGATTGAATAGCTCGCTGAGTATCAGTGCCGGTCCTAAGCTTTTAATATATTCTTATATTAAAGAATCCGGAACAGCTACATATTCATCAAATATTTTATTTTCACATGTCTGCTTGTTCAACATTTTTGCTTACCCTGGAAAATGTTTTGCAGATATATCTGAATGCAAAAGCAATGTTTTAAAAAATGTTAATTTTGCAGATAAATATTTAAATTGTGTTGCTTTCGCATGATATCAGACAAAAATGCAAAGTTTCAGCAAAATGCTTCTTGTCATAGATAACATAGTTTTCCTTATTCTTGATAAAAGTTTAAAATTTGTCGTCACAATCAACACTGTACGTTTCCTCGTCTAGAGTTTGCATCTGCCAAAATTTACGATGCAATACATTTACGCGAATATAGTTAACAATGGCAGTAGCTCTATGCAGATATGATGAATTTTGCGGAAAGTTTTTGCTAATGCAAAATGATGTTAATTTTGTAAAGTTTGGGTTATCATTTTATAATAAGGCAATGAAGCTTACTTTTTTATCTCTCATGAAAGGTAATCGATGCAGACACTAACTAAATTATTGGCGTTTAATTGTTCTTCCAAGTAGTGCAAGAAGTTCTTCGTAACACAGAAAATCTTTCGTTTCAACGCGAATTAAATATACAGGGTGTGTCAAATGTCTGGAATATAGCCAACAACTTCGCCATTTGTAGTTTTAAAGAAAAATGTTTCAAATACAAGTTTCTTTATTAATCATGGCGCATTTTTTGGCGACATTTGCTTGTTTGTATTGTTTTTTGTTTCGTTGCTATGGCAACCAACATTGTTATTTTAAATGGGATGTTTTTTTTTGCATAGTTTGATAGAGGATAAATCCCTCTATGCGATGAACATATCAAATCATATGGTTTTATAAGAAAAAAACCGAGAAAGAATGCGTTTTCTGAAGATATTATCAGCAAATTACAATCAAAGTAGGCGCCGAAATAACGCCGTTGACAGCTTTAAATGTCAAAAAAATGATTGTGTATCCGGGTAAATATTATTGAACAGTGTACAAACTTCACTTCGAGTGCGTTTTCTATCACCGTACCCATACATCATTAATACTTGGTTTCTTTGTTCGCTTAATTGCGCCATATTTGTTTAAACTGTCAATTTTTTGACATTTAAAGCTGTCAACGGTGTTATTTTGGCGCCTGCTTTGATTGTAATTTGCTATTTAATATTTTTAGAGAACGCATTTTTTCCAGTATCAAAATATGCAAAAAAAGAACATATGCATCCCATTTAAAATAACAATGTTGGTTGCCATAGCAACGAAACAAAAAACAATCTAAACAAGCAAATATCGCCGTAAAATGCGCCACAATTAATAGAGAATTTTTTATTTGAAACATTTTCCTTTAAAACCATAAATGGCGAAGTTATTGACTATATTCCAGATATTTTACACACCCTGTATAGCTTGAGACAGTAACAAGCCTGCAAAAATGTTACAGAAAATGGTAGTAGTGTTGTTGTTATCATTTTGCATTAAGAGATGCTGTAACATTTGAAACATTTTTTTTTAAAACCACAAATGGCGAAGTTATTGACTATATTAGACATTTTGCCCACCCTGTATATCTTGAGACAGTAACAAGCCTGCAAAAATGTTACAGAAAATGATAGTAGTGTTATTGTTTTGCATTAAGAGATGCTGTAACATTTGAAACATTTTTCTTTAAAACCACAAATAGCGAAGTTATTGACTATATTCCAGACATTTTACACACCCTGTATAACTTGAGACAGTAACAAGCCTGCAAAAATGGTACAGAAAATGGTAGTAGTGTTATCGTTTTGCATTAAGAGATGGTGTAACATTTGAAATATTTGATATAATCAGTATTCATTGAATTTGTGCTGTAATGTTACTAATTTTATGCATACGGTTTGATAGGTCATCATTTTCATTGTAGAAACATATGCATCGAAGTCTGTACATTACCCATTCTAATGTACAATGAGTATACCGACATCATCGTCTCAAATATCAGCCGTTGGTCTGTTAGAGATAACCATATGGCTCAAATATGAGGTTGGTAGCGAACGTGTTGATAAAAAAAGTTGGGGTAAATTTTTTAAACGTAGAATTAAATATGAAATAAATCGTTGTTTTCTTGGATAGGTACATTGGTCCAGTTTTGATGATTTGTGGATCTATTAGATAGCAGGATGGTATTTCTTATATCAATTATTTCACATCTCTATTTAAATCAGTTCTCAATGTCAAAACAAAATTCCTTTAAAATGGAAAAACTCATTGACAGCACTCATAAAGTACACTATATAATAACAAGCTTTGGCAGCTAATAATTGGTATATAAAACTATTCTTACTTTTCATTGATAGATGTACCGAACAAATTCATTTTTTTGTAATAAATTTAACAACAAAAATACACCCTGTTATTTAGATGCCCACAAAATTATCACACAATGAGTCGATAAACTTAAGTATCTATCTAAATAATAGTAAAATTAAACATAAAATTGTTAGTTATTAAGAAAGAAAAGCCGTGAATTCAAATCACATGCCATATTACAATTTAGAATTAAAATTTGTATAGAAAATTTATTTATAAAATTTGACTTGCTAAATGAAACATCAAATTTTGTTTTATTTAGCAAGTATTAAAAATAACACATTAATGTGTTTCTAGTCAAAATGTATTCTAGTCGTTTTTAACAACGGTAAATAGTTACCATTAAAAGACTGTAAATAGAACAAATATTTTTATATAGTAAAACCTCGATTTAACGGATTAATACGACAAAGGAAGTGTATGTTATAGTCAAAAGTCCATTTTATGAAACCCGAAACTTTCTAGGTCTAGTGTTAGTTTTAGTTCAATGAAAAGTATACTAGCGTCCTTGATTTATACATCATATAGACAACTCAGGGAATACCCCGAGTTTGTCTGTGAACATGGAATAGAGCAACTTGGGGAATACCCCAATTTGGATTCTATCAAGGAGCGATAACTTTTATATTTAAATATATTGATGTATTAAATAGATAATAATTATATCAAGGTTTTACTATATTAAATAATTATCGAGAAATTGTAATATAATTTAAAAAAATTTAGTTTAATTTATTATTAATGCACATACATCTCAATTATAAGAAAAAAATTTGGCCAATATGTGCAATACGAACTGTAAATATTAAAAAATAATTTATAACATAGAAAATATTGAAATGAAGCCTAAGTAAATGTATAGATTAATTAAAAGGAAATAAAACAATAAATTATTTTTATAAACATATTTAAAATTTTCTTTAGATTAGTAGCAAAATACAAAATAATTTTAATCAATATTTAATTTATAATCAAGACTCTAAATCTTTGGCAGGATCGAATTTTAACATTTCCGGATTTTTATCAACTCCCAATTCAACTTTAGCTTTTCTAGCACCTTCCTTAACATTTTCTAAATGAAGAAGATTATCGTCGGTGAATAAAGCGCACCTAAAACAAACAAAATTAACACAAAAACACCAAATAAACATCTAAATTTACTTATTGTCGCCGAAATGATCATAATTATTAATAGCAACATTACACAGATAACACATTTTAGCTCCACAACTACATTGAATCTTATTACACCCAGAACTTTTAATATATTGTTTACCACATTGATAACATTTTCTAACAAGTGCTTCAGTCATCTTATTTTCAATAAAAGTTCTTATTTGAACATCCTTATCATATTCAATTTCATTGCACCGTAATGGAATATGAGATTCATGTTTACATTCTCTACATGAATCTTGCTTGCATGCAGTACAAGAAAATATTTTATCATCAGGATTTGGAATATAAGCAAATTTATAACAGAGGCAACAAAATTCAAGGCCATCAATTTTAGCTTTTTCAATTTCGTGAAGTTGTTTTTTCTGCCAAAAACGTTCGAACGTTTTTCGATCCAAAACCATTTGTAAAGTGGTCAAACTATAATCGCCACCGCAATTCATCAAACACCCCATTTCTAATTTTTCTTCATTAATTGCAAGTTGAATTGCTTGTCGAATACAATCGCGACAAAAAATGCATTCATTACTACAAATATAACATTCCTCAGGGACTAATTCATCGAAATAACAGATCGAACACGTTTGTAATAACCCTAATTTTCGCGATTTTTCGATATTTTCTTTTTGTACTTTGATTACTCGACGTATTTCTTTCGCATTTTTAACGAAAGCGATTTCTTTAAGGAGAAGTATATTTGTTTTTAAATCGTCGTCTTGAGGTATAATCAATCTGGCTTCTTTAAAAGCAGGTGGTACTTTCCATAATTGATTTGCAGTTTTTACAACATCATAATTATAACTTGTAAAGATCCTTTTTATATCGCGTTTACGTTGTTTTGAGAAGTGATTGTAAAGAAATGTTAGTGCAAAATCTTTTTCTTGATTTAAAATGTCTTCAGCTTTGTTTTCTTTGTCTGTTTCGTTAATTAACAAAGAGTGGCTTCTATTTTGGGCTTCAAAATATGTAAAAGGATCTGGAAATTCTTTCAAGAACTCATAAAGATGGAAATTTGATGTGTAATGTTGGCGTTCTAATTTTTCTTCTTTTCTTTTTAAGTATTCTTCTACTGTAGGATAATTTTTATTGTCAAGGGCGTTATCAATGAAATTTTGTAAATCTTCTTCGCAGTGTAATTCTTTTGATTTTTCTTCTAAATAGGAGGGGTCAGCATTTGGCAAAACATCAGTTAATTTTTGAAATGTAAACACATCTTGTTCTATATTAAAACAATTTTTTAGCTTGTTTAAATTCATTTTTGAGTAGGTACTTACTTTTTTTTGAACTACTTGCTAAATCCCAGTTAATTCCAGTAGCCTCATCCAAAAGTTCATCTGGTTCACTATTCTTTGTCAGTATAATATCTTCTTTGTCTGGATTTCCAGTAAAGGAAAGCAAATTGATCATAGTTTCTAACATTTCATCATCAGCACCACCACCATTTTCTTCAACAATCCTTATAATATTATCTATAGTTTCTGCAGATTTATTAGAGAATATTTCACAGAGTATCTCACGGTAAGCCATCTTAGCTTGAATCTGTACTAAATGCAACTGATTGGTATGGTTATAATAAAGAAGTGGGGACTTCCCACAATGAACATAAACAAACAGATAACGTTAAATTTCAATGATAAAGATTTTTAGAATGAACTATGTAATAACTACAAAATAAAAACAGTTCAAAAATTAAGGTATTTCCTTTTATAATTGTGTAATTACCAATGATAACCTTATCACATGTATGTATATTCTAAGTAATCAGAGTTCAGTAATTAATCTTAATAAAATATATTTATAAATCAGATGTTAATAAAAAGTACATAAATGTCGAAACGATTGATTAAAAATATATAAATCGGTACTTATATATTTTTAAACTAAAAATCATTGTAGATTTTGTTCCATAACCTCAAACTTCGATGACACGTAAGTAACCAAAAAAAAGAGTCAAAAAAACCTCTAAAATTAAATCTAATTTAATTATTGCTTAATTAAAAAAGGTTATTAATTAAGTACAAATTAAAGTTGTAATTATTACTAAATATTAAAAAAAAAATCAATAAATTTACATTATGTATCCTAACGCCATCTATCCTTAAAAATTAAAATTAATTTTAACAGAAACGTCAAAATAAACAAACATAACCTCAATTTTCACTTGTGTGATTTTTTAAGCTTTTATTCACTTTTCCTAGCTTTAGACGGTATTGGACGGTATAGAATAAGATACTTTTACTTATTACGAAAAACATACATTAAAAAGAGTTCCATAAAATGAGATTTACTTATAACTTACTTTGCTAATTTATGTTGATTTTTAGATGAATGTTGATGGAAAGAGAAGCAACTAATAGTGGATGGTTTAATTATTGCGATTTACTTATTTAAAATACAAAGATTATTATTTCGTCAAAATATAACTTGTCAAAGATAAAATATAAGTTTTGTACTCTCCAAACAAAGGATAATGATAAGATAATGTTGTGCTCTTATCCAGCACAATATGGGTTCATGATGTCCGTAATTAAGACACACAAAATGTCTTATTGGTTTTTTATTAAAGAAGAATTTAATTATTTTAAATTTTGTTCAAACGAAGATTTAAAAAACACTTAACTTTTGATGAAAATTAATGGAGTAACTATGATTAAAACGAAAAAATGTTCAAGAATGTCCCAGAATCTAGTATTTATGCCCTTGGACCACCTACCTTTTTTTTATCCCTTCTTTAATAGACCTATAGTCATGTACAGTATGCTCAAAGTCACCTCTACACAGTTTAAGACTGGAATTTTAACATATTTATAATCAAACAAAGAACTGAAAAGAAATACCTAGAAAGAATAATATATTTATTATCAAACAAAGAACTAAAAAGAAATACCTAGAAAGAGATACTTATTGCTATGAGAAAATAATACATTATTATTGCTTTAAGAATAAGATTTAGTTGTAGCTAATGTTGCTGTTGTATATAAATTTGTGTTTATATAAAGTTAGTATGGTTAATGATTTAAAAGTAGTAATTCAAGTTACTCATAGCAGATATCTACAGGATGATTCTCAACCTATACACATAAACTTGGGGATTTACTCTTTGAGACAAATAAATATTATCATAAATATCCGATATATGTGGCGACATCTAGATAAGTTGCTTTCTGGAAGTTTCCTGTTGATTTTTATTTTTGTGGTCACTTAAAAAGCATAGTGTACGTCACCCAAGTTAATACTGAGCAAGGGGTGCAAAATCAGATACAATCAAATACTTTGGTTTAGGCAGCATTATCATATCATCTCCAAAGAGTAGAGTCTTTGCTTCCAAAAATCATCTTACACAGCAACACCAAAATATCTCATCTGTTTAGAACTGATATCAACATACTTATTTCATCTTCTGCAAGAAAATGTTTATATACATTTGAGTATGTCGTTTACTCACGTCTTTCTGATTGCTAGAGTTGCCTACACAAATAAAGCATGGCGAAATTTAGTAACGAGATGAAAAATAACATGTATGGACCACACAATGTTGAGAAAAATGTTGAGAGCATCAAAAAGATTCAGATAGAACTCCGGGGAAAAAACGGCAGCCTTCCTCTGTTTTGTTGATTTAACCAAAACGTTCGGCAAAGTAAAGATAAAAGAAGTAGAACAGGATAAACATTACAAAGTATGTAGTGTAATGTATGGTTACTATGAATGATTACAAAATCAAGATTGAGTGCTATGCAGATGAAGAGGACGACTCTTGGTTGATATTGAGGATAACATACAGTGTTTAACACATGCATTTAACATTGCAGCTGATTAAGTTAGTTCTGAGTAAAGATTGCGAAATCAGATACAAACTGTACAAGAAATTCTTTATGGCTTATAACAAATTCAAATTTAACAAAGCTTACATTTCATGCAATTTTGTTATTCTTGTAGAAATTCTTGTTACAATTATATACACAGTGTCACTTGGGTTGCTGACTGTTATTTACAAAATGAACCTAAATGTTTAATTTGGTTGCTGAGAGTTCATATTTAATGTAAATTTTTATGCTATCATTATTGGTTGCGGTCTTGGGAAAGCCAAATTAAATTTGGTTTGGCATTGTTATAATTTTTTACCGTTTTTGTTTTTCTAAGAAATTCTTACAAAACAAAAGTTAATTTAACTTTTGGAACAATGTGAGCTGTTAAAATAGTTATGTAACATAAAATACGTATTTATTTTTATTAAAATTACGTTGTCATTTTGATCACGGAAACAACGTTACATATAACGTAATTAAAATATAAATTTATTTTTTCCCGTGGCGTTTGTTTCAAGTTATGTGTATTACTGATATGCCATTCAATATTAATGCAGAAACATATTTCTATGCAAATGATGTATTGATGTCCAGAGTATTGAAAGATAGAGTAAAGCCTAACTTGAAGGCTAAATAAAAGAACTTGTCAGTGTGAAATTTCTGGGTTTGCACCTGGATTGCATTTTGACGTGGGATGTGCACCTGAGCTATCTTCTGTCTAGGCTGACTTCCGCAGTTTTTGCAATAAGAAGACTAAAGACTTACCAAGCGGCTAGGTCGTCATATTTTGCTTCGTTTCACTTGATGGCATCTTATGGTATCCTCTTTTCTATCCGAACACATCCTATCATCCATCAGATCTTATGGCATCTGATTTTCTGAAGATTTTCAGACTGCAGAAGTGCTGTGCGGACTACGAACGAAAAAAAAGTTGACCTACATTAAACGGGAAAATATACTTACTTTACATGAAAATTTCATGTTTTCTTCCGCTTATGTTCCCGAATACATCATTAACGGTATTTACAGTGAACCCAGTAATAATCGTTTTATAGTTCAACCTTGCTAACCGATTTGAACATAATTTTGATTGGAACGAAGAACAATACGATAGAGAAACGTTAAATCTTCTCACGTTTCCGATCATTATGCCTAATTATTAAAATTGCGTAACAAGAACAATAAAGCTGAAACGAAAAAAGAGATTATTAAAAGACTGGACGTAAATGATTCAAATGCTTACCATTTTGCTGCAAATATGTCACAGTATTTCTTTTCTGAAAATGTGGGATGTCACACCAGCTGCAACGTTCTCTGCCTCCTACACCCACCTCATAAACATCTTCAATAAGTACTGTCCTGAAAAAGAAATTCCTACAATCTGCCGTAAAAAAAAACAGAAAATCTATCAACATAAACTAAAGACAAAATGAACAAAGTTGAAATCCTGGGGATTATCGCACAGCAAACAAAGACGAAGGAGGCATATGAAATTTACACGAAATACAAAAATGAATTGAGAGAGCTAATAAAGCACGAAAAACAGCTACACAATGAATTTGCATTACAGTTAGCAGAAAACAAATAGAAAAAAGTGTGGAAAAACTGGAGAATCGCCAGAAGATCTTCAAAATAACACTTGCGAATCGATGCACAATGCTAAACAATGGCCTAACATTAAACGAAGAGAAGACGCAAAAAATCATGTTTAATAGAGGACATGAGAAGGCAGAATGTAAATCAATACAATTTTTGGGGTTACATATAGATGAGGAACTCAAGTGGTCTATTCAGGTAAAGAACACTGCAAAAAAAGTTAAACGGGGCAATTTACTGTATAAGGAGAATCAGAACTATTAGTACCTTTGAAGCTACTAAACTTACATCTTATGCTAGCTTTCACAGCCGAGCAACCTACGGTATCCTTTTCTCTTCGGCTGCAGAACGAATTTTCCTACTGCAGAAGCGTGCACTTTTCAATCTAAAAAGCACAGAAAGTTGCAAAGAATATTTTACTAAATATAAGATACTTACCATACTCTCCGTATTTATCTTTAGTTGTATAACAAACTGTCCAAATTAACAAAAAATTCCGATCAACACGACAATCTAACCAGACAAAAAGACGATCTACGTATAGAACTACGTAGAACGCTGACTACTGGGGCAGGAAATTTTACAATCATCTGCCACAGTTAGTCAGACAGTTGCCAATGAAGATATACCTCAGAACATAACTTACGCAAAATGCCTTTTATACCATAAATGAATGAACTTTCTTTTACACTCAATAAATTATTATTAACTAACAAACCAAGTCACCGTCACGATCAAAATTGTTTTTTTTAAGTTTGGCAAAAGAACAAATAAGGTTGTGAACTTAAACATTGTAACACTTATAGAAGCAAACGATGTGCGCAGAATGCAAGAGGTGTTTAATGGGAAATTGGAAACTTGAATTAAATTTAATTTGATCTTGTCAGAGTGTTAGCCAAAATCTTTATGCAATGATTATGCCACAATGAGGTTTGAGAGATTCTTAATTTTTGTGAACAACTTGAAATCGACTGATTTGGTTCATTTTCAGCGCTTAATGTTGCTATAATTTCGGTATTTCTATTGGTGCGTTGTCTCACTGGCACAGTAACGTCCAATAATGAATACCTCGATCGAAATTTATTCAAAATAGCACGCACAGCCTGTCTGGAGGGAAGATAATACTGCAAAGAAATTTTATTTATCACAATATTCGCCGAATAAGTTTCGAATTAGAATTGCTTGCAACTATTGAAGCATTAAAAGAGCTCAGAATCGCGAAAGTTAAAATGTTTACAGATTGCTCAGCTTTCCAAAAGAATATGTAGAAGACAGATTTGGTTATTAAGTTGTTGGATGGGTTAGTTATTGAAGAAATTAATAATACATAAGCTTGTATAAACTTCCCATAGAAGTTTTCTGGCGTTATAATCAGTTGCTAATTTTTATTTTTGGTTTTTATGGTATCTAATTTATGATAAGTCGACAACATTAAAAAATTTTTTTATCTTTCTATTTAGATAGTTTTATGATTAGGATTACTCAACAATAGATTATCACTAATAAAAATTACTATTTATAAGATATAACTTCCTGCTTATATTTGATTCAACAATCATATATTACATTATAGTGATAAAAAAACTGTTTATAATATAATAAACTTCTTGAATTTTTGCAACCTTTCTATGAATCATTTTGAACGAATTAGGTCACCAATTTATCAGGTAATAATTTAATAAGATTAAAATAGAAAAATTGCCAAATGTTCTTTAAAATGGAAGGCAATTTTCGAATAACATTCAATCGGATAATATGAAGCACGTGTGCGATTTCGATTATAATTTATTAGGACCTGGATAAAAAAAAAAATGCCATCGTTTTATTACAGGCAAGTATGCTCCATACATTTTTCGCCCACTATAAATATACTTATCTCAATTTGTTCCAAAACATTTATATCGAAAACTTAATTGAATTCAGCAACCGAAAAATAAAAGTTATAAATGTTATTTTTCAGATTAGAAATTAAATAAATTAAATGGTAGATGAGTGTTTGGTAATTTGTATTAGGTTTAAGTAGGAGAAATAGATTAGAATACCTTTTTGCTGGAAAGTGAATGCGCGAGGTTGTTAATAAGCTTCAGTGTCCGGAGTTATTCCCACTCGGACATTCTCAGAGTTGAGATCCGTTCCGTTCCGCAATTATAGTTTAGTCCTTCATTATGACAGCACTTGGAGAAGGAGATTTTGATTGTAAAAATGAAAAAAGGTGAGTTTTAATTTTATTCCTATAATACAATTAATATATATCGTATTTTATTTTATGAGTTTTGAGTTAGGTTGCGTGTCATTAATCAATTTACTTCAATTTCTGTAAAAAAAATTTTATTAATAGCAATTTATTATTTGATTTAGTTAAACTTACATAAAGTTTCAAAAATAATTAATTAATTTCATCCATGAATAATTTAGTAATAGAAAAATTTTTTTGTCCTTGAACTGTAAAGAATTTATTTAAACAATTTACAAATATCGATCGATAATTTCAAAAGTTAACACTTTACAATCTAAAACAAAAAAAATTCTATGAAAAACCACAATTTTTTTATGACTCTCGTAACATTTTTATTTTCCATTTGATATTCATCCACTTATTGCTTATTCACACCTTCATTACTTGAAAATAAACACTAATAAATTGGAATAATCAACCGATAAAATCAATAGAATCATAAAAAAGGCTTTATTAATTTTTTGTTGTTTTAATCAGCTTATTAATCAATTTATGTTCTATTGTTTCACATTCTTAAAAACATATCAATGCGAAAGTGATAAAATAAAGAATTTTTCGGTTACAATAAATAATCAAATTTCGAATTAAATTACAACATTCCATTTCAAATCCGTACAAAATCAAATTATTCGTACTTAATTTCAATAAAGTTACAATTTTAGAGAAAGTTGTTTTTTATTGCAATTATCGAATAATCGAGGACAAAAAAATTATCATTTCAAAAATCTACAATATTGGGAATGTTGTTATTGTAAACATAGCGATATATTACCTTATCTATGTAATTCTATTACTATTTTTTTAGAATAGATTATCTGTGGAGAGATTAAAAGGATTAGTTAATAAAAAAGAATGAAAAACTATTACTATGGCTTACGTTAATACTTTGATTTATTAACCCTTGTTAATTGAATTGTTGCACGAATCCGCATTTTTACGCTGATAACGTTTAGAGATAATAAATATAAATTAAAAGATAACATTGTCGAATCTTATTTAAATAACCCTCATCTGTAAAACCAGGGTACTAGGTATTAAATTTTTTATTGAACCTTCATGACAATTAAAGATTACGTTAAACGGTAGTAGATTAGTTCTCTCCACTTCACAGATTTCTATTATAACTTTTATAACAAAACTGAGATTTTAAATACATATATTATTATATAGCTTAATATCTCAAAAACGGTTTTGTTTAGGTTTATGATAAATTAACAATGAAATATGGAATAACATATAACGTATTCGTCAATTTTTTTCGTTATTACTTTTTGACAACCCTGTATATTCATTTGACTTTATTGTAATACATTTAAAAAAACACTAAAAGGTTTGTATCTTAACATTTTTCGTTAGCTATCTTACTTCAGGAGATAACCATTTCCTTACATATCTATATTTACATATTTATATACAGGCTGGTCCATTCAACTTGTGACAAGCGTATATCTCGAAAACAATTCATTAACATAAAAATCATCCAAATAAAAATTATTTTGTTTGAACTGGTGACCAAAATTTTGAATTCCAAGAATTACTTTCATTCAGATTTTGCAATCAAAAATATAGGGTGTCATTTAAAATTGGTCGTGACCTTCATATTACCTTCAAAATAAGGTCAAGGTAAAAAATGTTATTGTCATATAGTTTCTCCCTTTATATAGAACAACTTTTATATGGATTATTATTATTATGTCGAGATATTCGTTTGTCTCAGGTTAAATGGACCACACTGTATACAGGCTGAGTTATTTATATACTTACTAAACCGTTTAAAAAACAAAAAAATATTTTATACAAAAGTTGTTTGACTCATCACTTTCTATTACGTCAAATTATTTTCACTTATACAGGGCGTTCAATTTAAGCGTAACGGATAGTACGTAAATTTATTTAAATGGAACACCTGTATGTTTTATCATATTATGAATACAACTAAATTTGTTTATACAATCGTATACGTTACTAATTCACAGCGTTCATAGTTCCTGAGATATTCAATTGTTCTTCTAAAATGTGTCCATTACAGGATCTTTTTAGAAACGATGTAAAAATTACATTTTGCGTTGAAACGACGTCGGACAATAGTCAAAGCCAGTAGATAGATGATAGTATTCAAAGATATTAGATACACTATACAGGAGGTTTATAAAGCTTAGTTACTTTTGATGTTTTTCAAATAGCTTTTTCTTAAATTTTTTAAATGGAACACCCTGTATATTGTGTGCTAGTTGAATTGCTCATCAAGTTACGTTTTTAATTAACGATAAGTATGTCATATGTCTAACATTAATAGTTTTCGTGATATTTAGAATTTAAAGAAAAATGTGTAATAAAATGTCATTATTCTAAATATCAGGAAAACTACTAAAGTTAGATATATGACATACTTATCATTAATTAAAGGTAACTTGATGGGCAATTCAATCAGCACATAATATACAGGTGTTCCATTTAAAAAACTTATGAAAAAGCCATTTGAAACACATTAAAAGTAAGTAAGTTTTATGAACACGCTGTATAGTGTATCTAATATCTTTTGATAACTATCATTTACCTACTGGCTTATTATCTTATTCTATTTCTTGCTAAACTTTAGGCTTCTTGTATAGTTTTGCCTCTTTTTGGTGATAATCTTGTTTATTGCCTTATCCTAAGAGTTCTTCCTCTATTTCCATTCTATTGCTTTCTTGTCAACTATTTTTGCATTCGATAAATAAAAACAATTATTATGTAAACTTAAAAATTAATAATTAATATATATAAGAATAATTTATACTAAGGTGATTTTTTTTTATTTATTTGTCTAAACCAGGTTTCGGACCCTGCCCTTCATCAGTAGACTCGTCAAAATCTTTAATGTTCGTTGTACATACAAAATTTTTATTATAACATCTATTTTGAAATTCAAACAACAGGTTTATCACTTTGCACAAACATCCCAATTCATTAAAAGAAAAACCAATCGAGGAAACACGCTTAACATTTGAAGGTTATCGATAACTAAATAAATGTATATAACTTATGATCCTTGTTTATAGATATACATACATAATTATTCAACCGATGTTAGTTTGTGTATATATGTTAGTTCGTGATACCCAGATGTAAGTAATTTATGTGTAAATTAATACATAATCTCTTCAGTTTTTGTTCTCTTTACAGCATATTTTTTGCACTTACAACTTCTTTCCAATCTTATTGTTAGTTCATTCTGCACAACCTGATTCTTGTATTTCATGTGTAAATTAATACATAAATTACCCTGCCATCTGGGTATCACATCTGTATATCTATAAACAAGGCTATTATAATAAACTTATTGTTTGAATTCCAAAATAGATATAATAAAAATTTTGTATGTACAACGAACTTCAGACGCACGGCTAAACTAATTTTACACTAGCACTAGAACTAACACAAGACCTAGAGCTACAATCATTCTGAGACTAAAAACATTCGGGTTTAGTCGTGAAAAACCTTTCAGTTGTCAATGTCAACTTTAATTTTATTATTATATTCGTAATCTTCATAAAATAACCTTTAAAATAAGTCCAAACATGACGCATTTCTCTTAAAAATCCAAAAAGTTCGAACTTTAACTATTAATTTTGACATATTTGTCAACTTCATAAAAAATCCTTTAAAATGAGTCCAAACTCGACATATTTAACTTTGATATTAATGGAGATACAATCACTTCCGGTTTGAAACGTCAACGTCAATTTTGACATATTTGTCATCTTCATTAAAAAACCTTTAAAATGAGTCCAAACATGACGCACTTATCTCAAAAAACGAAAAAGTTAGAATAAAAAACATTAAACCCGAAGTTAGCAACAATGAAGATAGCAATTTAATTTTTAAATATTAATACCAACCTTAATTTTTGATTTTTTTTTATTATATTTTTGTTTTTGTGACAAATATTAAGACATTTTATAAAAATTAAGAATATGTCAAAATGACATTGACATTTCAAACCGGAAGTTGCTTATATCTCGAGTAATATTGGAATTAAACGTATCATGTTTGGACTCATTTTAAAGGATTTTTCACGACGATTACAAATATGTCAAAATTGACGTTGACATTCTTAACCGGAAGTTGACCATAACTTCATTAATATTGAAGATAAATATGTCGTGTTTGTACTCATTTTAAAGGATTTTTAATGAAGATTACAAATATGTCAAAATTGAGGTTGACATTTTAAACCTGAAGTTAGTTATCATATAATAGACAAATGGACAACTTCATGGTGTTCTTTCATGATGTATTCTTTATTAAAAAAACCTTTAAAATGAGTCCAAACATGACGCACTTATCTCAAAAAACAAAAAAGTTAGAATAAAAAACATTAAACCCGAAGTTAGCAACAATGAAGATAGCAATTTAATTTTTAAATATTAATACCAACCTTAATTTTTTATTTTTTTTTTATTTTATTTTATTAATTTTGACATATTTGTCAACTTCATAAAAAATCCTTTAAAATGAGTCCAAACTCGACATATTTAACTTTAATATTAATGGAAATACAATCACTTCCGGTTTGAAACGTCAACGTCAATTTTGACATATTTGTCATCTTCATTAAAAAACCTTTAAAATGAGTCCAAAGATGACGCACTTATCTCAAAAAACAAAAAAGTTAGAATAAAAAACATTAAACCCGAAGTTAGCAACAATGAAGATAGCAATTTAATTTTTAAATATTAATACCAACCTTAATTTTTTATTTTTTTTTTATTTTATTTTTGTTTTTGTGACAAATATTAAGACATTTTATAAAAATTAAGAATATGTCAAAATGACATTGACATTTCAAACCGGAAGTTGCTTATATCTCGAGTAATATTGGAATTAAACGTATCATGTTTGGACTCATTTTAAAGGATTTTTCACGACGATTACAAATATGTCAAAATTGACGTTGACATTCTTAACCGGAAGTTGACCATAACTTCATTAATATTGAAGATAAATATGTCGTGTTTGTACTCATTTTAAAGGATTTTTAATGAAGATTACAAATATGTCAAAATTGAGGTTGACATTTTAAACCTGAAGTTAGTTATCATATAATAGAAGTTTTTTTTTTAATTTATAACGTGTTTTTTGGGCCATTTTCACATTGATTAAAAAAAATCGTCGATTTTTAAGCCATATGATGATTATTTTTAGAGAAATGAAAACGAAAATTCTTTTTTTCTCAACATTCTTCATTTGTCGCTTAGTCAAGTTATGCATAACGCGGTCAAAATTTTCAAAAAGGGTAAAAAAACAATAAAAAGCTAATGAATAGTAAAAGTTATTAAACATTCTTTAATGAAAATGATTTATCTCATATACAGAAACAAAATTTATACTCACACAGCATCAGAATCATAGTCATTATCAGTATCACAATGGTTACATGTCAAGTAACTTTTATCCTACAGTATTCTGCTTCCTCAATGGCTTCAACTAATAGATGTGATGAATGATAATCGAGCAGGAAACGAGTTATCGATTCTTTTGATGTGTTAGACCAAATCGATTCATTAGCAAGCCATGAGTAGCATCATCCATGATACCTTGACACATTTTAACTTTGTTGAACAAGAAGAAAGGTGCCTTCGAACACTGACAGTTAAGACTGAGTCAACTTCGTTTGCTCTACTTGGAATTCCACAAAATCTCACTCAGCCAGTTAAATATCTGGGAGTGACTTGATTCCAAGCTAACATGTTAGCCTCATGTGATGAAATTTTTGCAATTAGATATCTGATAAATTTACTCTGCTCACACCACTTAGGCTTTTCGAAAGCAATGTTTGAGAGTTTTGAATACTTTTCTGAAAGTTGCAGAGTAAAATCTCTGAAATGAATATCTTCGTCACTTCCATTATTATATTAATATTAATTATTTATACTTATCTTAATAAATTTAATTTTTCTTTTGTTATTAGCGTTGAAAATTCCCCAAAATGGATGTTTTGGAAACGAAGACGTTACATAGTAGCAATAATGGCATTTTTTGGATTTTTCAATGTCTACTCTCTCCGCGTGAATCTCAGTATTAGCATCGTATCTATGACCGAAATCCGTAACGTAACACTAGAAAATGGCACGATTATTCAAGAACAAGAATTCGATTGGGATTCCTCAGTTCGGGGTTACATTTTATCCTCGTTCTTTTACGGCTACATAACGACGCAAATTTTTGGCGGATGGTTGGCAAATAAAATCGGAGGGGCTAAAGTTTTTGGGGCAGGAATCGCAGTAACCTCAGTTTGCACAATTATCACACCATTCTTAGCTAAATCAAGCGTAGCTTTATTAATCACGATTCGTGTTATTGAAGGAGTTTTTGAAGGAGTTACTTATCCGTGTATTCAAGCTGTTTATTCGAGATGGGCTCCACCATTAGAGAGAGGTCGGATTGCAACGATTGCGTATTCCGGAAGTTACGTTGGGACGGTTATATCGATGATTTGTTCGGCTTATTTAGCAGAATGGTTGGGTTGGGAAAGCATTTTTTATGTTTTTGGTACGCTTGGTGTCATTTGGTTCATTTTGTGGTTATGGATCGTGCGTGAAGGCCCTGAACTTGATTCAAACATCACTCGGGATGAATTAGAATTGATTAGAAATTCTTTGGGTGATGTTGCGGTTAATAAAAATATTAAACATCCTTGGTTAAGTATGGCCACTTCTGTTCCGGTTTGGGCTATTATCGTTTCACATTTTAGTGAAAATTGGGGGTGGTATACTTTAATAACACAATTACCGTCGTTTATGAAAGGTAAAACAAATTGCTTTGAGTATAATTTTTGAAATTCATTAATTTTTGTTATTATTTTAAGATGTTTTGGAATTCGATCTTGGTAAAACTGGAATAATGTCCGCTTTACCATACCTAGCAATGGCGATAATGATACAATTTTCTGGTCAATGTTCCGATTGGGTCCTCACTAAAGGTTATTTAACAACGACTCAAGTGCGACGAGTTTTTAATTGTTCAGCGTTTTTGGCACAAACCGTTTTTATGTTGGGTGCGGCATTTTGGCTTTCACCTGGGGGATCAACAGCTTGTTTAACTTTAGCCGTTGGGTTTGGAGCTTTCGCATGGTCCGGATTCAGCGTTAATCATTTGGATATCGCCCCCCAACATGCCAGCGTTCTTATGGGGATTTCAAATACTTTTGCTACAATTCCCGGTATTGTTAGTCCAATCATTACTGGAGCGATTGTAACTACGCCTGTAAGTATTTCATATTAATCAAAAAAATTATTAATTTTAATCTTTTTACTTATTTATAGACCAAAGAAGAATGGCAAATAGTTTTTTATATAACAAGTGGAATATATTTATTTGGTTGTATTATTTATGGATTATGTGCCTCCGGCGAAAGACAACATTGGGCAATGGGGAATGTTCAAGAAAAGCAGAACGAAAATGGTGTTGAAAATAAAGGATATGAAAAAGAAAAGATATAAAAAAAATTATAAATTATAAATAACTTATAAAAATTTTTGCAGTATATGATCTGTGATAGGATTTAGATTTTATTTTTAATAAAACCAAAAATTTTAATTAAATTGTATTTTTGAATTAATTAAAAAAAAAATTCCGATACCGGGAATCGAACCCGAGCCTCCTGGGTGAGAGCCAGGTATCCTAGCCACTAGACCATATCGGATATGAGCTTTTAATATGAATTGTCAAAAGTTGCATCGAAACCCTCATAAAATATCTTAATTCGTTCAGTACTGCTTTTTGTGATTAAAAATATAAACAAGTTATGTTATATCATACTGAATATCTTAAAATATATCTTTTTATATAAATAATTTGAAAAAAAAAAAACTTCCGATACCGGGAATCGAACCCGAGCCTCCTGGGTGAAAGCCAGGTATCCTAGCCACTAGACCATATCGGACTGTTATAAATACATTTCTTTATATACAATTTATCAAAAATTAAGCTCGAGTATAATTATTAATATCATTTAATTGATAATGATATTGTCATTGAAAGCTAAAAAGCTTTTAGTAAAAAATCGAAGCTAGAAATATTACCTACAAATAAGGAATGTTTTAAATTAGTTATCTACATCAATCCGATATGGTCTAGTGGCTAGGATACCTGGCTTTCACCCAGGAGGCTCGGGTTCGATTCCCGGTATCGGAATTTTTTTTTTGCTTATTAGAACAATTTTTTATAACTAATTAGTAAATTACAGATAATCTAGAATCAAATAACATACTAAAGTATTATTTCACATATACTATCAATTAAGTTTGCAATTAGAGTAACTTATGGTTTCTTAATTTTATTTATTTAGGGTTGGTCGCTTGGAAATGTCAAATTAATTAATAATAAAATAAGTTCTATATCAAATTAAAGCTTAAACTTTCCTCTTTAAGATGATTTATAACTTATTACTTCAATTTGAAATAGAATTCATCCAAAAAATTTGAAAAATTATTCCGATTTAAAGATTTAAAAAAAATCGTGGATGTTTTATTTTTGAAAATTATAAAATGACCTTTATATCAATTAAAGCTTAAACTTTCCTCTTTAAGATGATATATAACTCGTTGCTTCAATTTGAAATGGGGTTCATCTAAAAATGATTAAAGATTAATGCGATTTAGAGGTTTTGGAAAAATCACAAAATTAATGTTAAAATTCAAAAAATCGTGCCGGTCTTATTTTTGAAAATTATAAAATGATCTTTATATTAAATGAAAGCTTAAACCTTCCTCTTTAAGATGATATATAACTCATTGCTTCAATTTGAAATGGAGCTTATCTAAAAAAATTTAAAGATTAATGCGTTTTAGAGATTTTAGGAGAATCAGAAAATAAATGTTAAAATTCAAAAAATCGTGAAGGTCTTATTTTTGAAAATTATAAAATGACCTTTATATCAAATTAAAGAATAAACTTTCCTTTTTAAGATTATATATAACTCGTTACTTCAATTTGGAATGGAGTTCATCCAAAAATTTTTAAAGATTAATGCGTTTTAGAGGTTTTAGGAGAATCACAAAATTAATATTAAAATTCAAAAAATCGTGGAAGGCTTATTTTTGAAAATTTTGAAATGACCTTTATATCAAATTAAAGCTTAAACTTTCCTCTTTAAGGTGATATATAACTGGTTACTTCAAATTGAAATGGAGTTCATCTAAAATTTTTTAAAGATTAATGCGTTTTAGAGGTTTTAGGAGAATCACAAAATTAATGTTAAAATTCAAAAAATCGTGGAAGGCTTATTTTTGAAAATTGTGAAATGACCTTTATATCAAATTAAAGCTTAAACTTTCCTCTTTAAGGTGATATATAACTGGTTGCTTCAAATTGAAATGGAGTTCATCTAAAATTTTTTAAAGATTAATGCGATTTAGAGGTTTTGAAAGATTACAAAATTAATGTAAAAATTTAAAGAATCGTGCCGGTCTTATTTTTGAAAATTATAAAATGATCTTTATATCAAATTAAAGCTTAAACTTTCCCCTTTAAGACGATATATAACTCGTTACTTCAATTTGAAATGGATTTAATCCAAAAAATTTTAAAGATTAATGCGATTTAGAGGTTTTAGGAGTATCACAAAATTAATGTTAAAATTCAAAAAATCGTACCGGTCTTATTTTTGAAAATCATAAAATGATCTTTATATCAAATTAAAGCTTAAATTTTCCTCTTTAAGATGATATATAGCTTAGTGCTTCAATTTGAAATGGAGCTCATCCAAAAAATTTTAAAGATTAATGCGATTTAGGGGTTTTAGGAGAATCACAAAATTCATGTTAAAATTCAAAAAATCGTGGAGGGCTTGTTATTGAAAAGTATAAAATAACTTTTGTATCAAATTAAAGCTTAAACTTTTCTCTTTAAGATGATATATAGCTCGTTGCTTCAATTTGAAATGGAGTTCATCCAAAACATTTTAAAGATTAATGCGTTTTAGAGGTTTTAGGAGAATCACAAAATAAATGTTAAAATTCAAAAAATCGTGGAGGGCTTATTTTTGAAAATTATAAAATGACCTTTGCTTTAAATTAAAGCTTAAACTTTCCTCTTTAAGATGATATATAGCTCGTTACTTCAATTTGAAATGGAGTTCATCCAAAAAATTTTAAAGATTAATGCGATTTAGAGGTTTTAGGAGAATCACAAAATTAATGTTAAAATTCAAAAAATCGTGGAGGGCTTATTTTTGAAAATTATAAAATGACCTTTATATCAAATTAAAGCTTAAAGTTTCCTCTTTAAGATGATATATAGCTCGTTACTTCAATTTGAAATGGAGTTCATTTAAACATTTTTAAAGATTAATGCGATTTAGAGGTTTTGGAAAAATCACAAAATTAATGTTAAAATTCAAAAAATCGTGGAGGGCTTATTTTTGAAAATTGTAAAATGACCTTTATATCAAATTAAAGCTTAAGCTTCCCTCTTTAAGATGATGTATAACTCGTTGTTTCAAATTGAAATGGAGTTCATCAATAAAATTTTGAATACAATCTTGCACGTTTAGGTTTAAGTCGAAATATCCAATTTTCATAGAGATCGATATCATCGCAGCCTCTCTATGAAAAAAATTGTGGTAAAGTTTGTTTAATCTTTTTATCTCGAGTTAAATGAGGGGTTTCGTCCAATTGGAAAAGATGGTACTGGTGTGTGTTTTAGACTGGACGTCGCGTCTTTAGTTCTTTATTCTGTATCCGTAGGTATCGCCTACGGAATTCGTATATGCAAAAATTCCAGGAACTATAAAAAAAGTGTATAAAAATTTGTTTAAATTAAACCTAAAAAAATATTTTAAGAATTTGTTACAATTAACATTTTTTAAATAAATAAAACAACACATTGTTCACAGAAGATCATTTTTATTCTTTATATTTTCATTTAATTCTCTCTCTTTTTCTTTTCTATTCTTTTTTTTTCTTCGTATTTACATGATATCATCAGACATTATTTACAGACACAAAAAAAATCGTAAAATAATTTACGATTCCGACAAATTTATTCGGTCCATTGGATTAATAATGACATTCGCCTTTTTGTCTTTACTTGAGTATCCATCTAAAAAGTAAGTTTCCATCGTTCCTTTACCTTTAACTTCAATCATTCCACGTCTCGTCATCGGATATCCTTTATCCACCAAAATTTGGTGAACTTCTTTCGTTACTTGTATTTTATCTAAAACTCCTGTGCTATCCATTCGACTTGCAACGTTAACCGAATTCCCCCAAATATCATATTGAGGTTTTCTTGCACCGATAACCCCCGCAACGACCGGACCAACATTAATTCCGATTCGTATCCGAAAATTGTTGAAGGAATGTTCGTTTACTTCGGCCAATTTCTCTTTGATTCTTAACGCGTAATCGGCCATTGCGGTTACGTGTCGAAATTTTTTCATATCACAAGTACTTTGAGTTAAACCTAAAAATGGATTGTTGTGAATTCGTTTTTAATTGAAATTTTTTTTACCTGAAGCTGCCATATAAGTGGCACCTGTTGATTTAATTTTTTCAATGTACTCAAATCGATCCTCTGATAATAATTCGTCGAAATCGGCGATAATTTCGTTTAATAATCTTAAACATTCAACTCCTTCGTTGTTCCCTTCCAATTCGATGTAAAATTCAGAAAAATTTGGTATTGATGCAAACATGATGCAAACAAAATCGCATTGTTCGTGATATAAATCCTTTTAAAAAATTAAAATTAATAAAAATTATTAATAAGATTAATTTATTTACGTCGTTATTTTTGTCGCTGTTTAAAAAATGTTCAGCGACGTGAGCAGGGAGGATATTGTCTAATAATTTTCTATTGTAGGCCTCTAAATGTTCCATATCTTCTTTTTCCTCTAAAAAGAATTTTACGAAATAAAAAATTAATTACAAAAAGCATGGTCGATTTCAAAAAATTCTAAATTCAGAACCAATATTGACAAACGGATTCAAGATTTGGATTCAGCGCAGGTCCAAAAGATTATCGGATTTTTTTTTTTATTTATTTCAAAACTAGTTCAACAATGACAATGTTTTTCGTGGTTGCGTTGATACAAAAAAAGGAATAATTACATATAAATACTATGGATTAAAGAATATGTAACTAATCGGATGCTATTAAGTCTTGGGGAAGCTTCCTCTTTAACCCTTTGTGTCCCAAGAAGTTAAACATTTTGAAACTTTGTGTCACAATTAAAACGCTATCAAAATACAATCAGTAAAGGCCTTTGGGATCAATTTTAGCAAATGTTAAATGCTACTTGAGAATTTGAAATGGAGCTCATCCAAAAAATTTTAAAGATTAATGCGATTTAGAGGTTTTAGGAGAATCACAAAATTAATGTTAAATTCAAAAAATCGTGGAGGGCTTATTTTTGAAAATTATAAAATACCTTTGTTTTAAATTAAAGCTTAAACTTTCCTCTTTAAGATGATATATAACTCGTTGCTTCAATTTGAAATGGAGCTCATCCAAAAAATTTTAAAGATTAATGCGATTTAGAGGTTTTAGGAGAATCACAAAATTAATGTTAAAATTCAAAAAATCGTGGAGGGCTTATTATTTGAAAATTGTAAAATGACCTTTATATCAAATTAAAGCTTAAGCTTCCCTCTTTAAGATGATGTATAACTCGTTGTTTCAAATTGAAATGGAGTTCATCAATAAAATTTTGAATATAATCTTGCACGTTTAAGTCGAAATATCCACTTACATACTTAAACAAAAAAGGAATAATTACATATAAATACTATGGATTACAGAATATGTAACTAATCGGATGCTATTAAGTCTTGGGGAAGCTTCCTCTTTAATCCTTTGTGTCCCAAGAAGTTAAACATTTTGAAACTTTGTGTCAGAATTAAAACGCTATCAAAATACAATCAGTAAAGGCCTTTGGGATCAATTTTAGCAAATGTTAAATGCTACTTGAGAGTACCGTCAGGCATTAAAATTTAGAAAATAAGTAACACTTGCTTAGCTAAATCACATTATGATATTCAGAAAAATAGTTCTTTTTTCATTACAACATCAATAAACTTTGCACGCAGTACATTTTGAGTAGGGTCTGAACTGAATAGCATTGGCAGAACAATTTTCACGCCTTTCTCTTTCTTTCCCAAAAGTAATGAAACTTTCGTCTTTTGGGTAACTGGGCTGGTAGTTGGGAGGCTATGAGGGAGATGGGGGAGAGGAGATAGCAGAAGAGGAGATGGAAGCAGTGCTTAGGGGATTGAAGAAGGGAAAGGCGCCAGGGGAAGATGGGATCCAGAACGAGGCATGGTTGGAAGCATCAAGGGTGGTGAGAGTGAAGTTATTGGAGGGGATGAATAGCGTATGGAGAGGGGGTGGGTTTCCGGAGGGATGGAAAGTGGGGGTAATTTGCCCAGTATATAGAAAGGGTAATAAGGGAAGGGTAGAGAGCTACAGAGGAATTAACCTACTAGACTCGGCATACAAGGTATACACGAAGATACTGCTGGGAAGACTGGAGGAGGAGATGGAGTTGGGGGGAATTTTGCCGGATGGGCAGGCAGGCTTTCGGAAGGGAAGGGGAGCAATCGACAACGTGTACGTGTTGAAGCATCTGGCAGATAGAGAGCTGGATAAGAAGGGAGGGAAATTGTACGCCCTGTTTATAGATTTGAAGGCGGCTTTTGATAAGGTGGATAGGGGAAAGTTGTGGGAGGAGATGGGGAGGAGGGGGATCACGGAACACCTAATTGCGAGAGTGAAGGAAATATACATGGAGACTATGGCTAGGATAAAAGTGGGAGATAAGCGGAGCGACGTGTTCTGGACGACGAAGGGACTGAGGCAGGGATGTCCGCTGAGCCTAAGTCTGTTTGCACTGTATACGGCGGACCTGGAGGATAGATTGGGGAAGGGGCAAATGGGAGGATTGGTGGTGGGAGGTAGAAAGGTGCATATGTTAGCATACGCGGATGACATCGTGGTCATGGCGAGAGAAGCGGCGGAGATGAAAGATATGATAAAGACATTGGAAAGATATTTTAGGGGGAAGGGGCTGGAAGTGAATGTGGGGAAGACAAGGATGATGAAGTTTTGTAAGGGTGGGAGAAAAAGAACAGAAAACTGGAGATGGGAGGGAAAAGAGATCGAGGAGGTTAGGGAGTATACTTACTTGGGGTATGTGTTCAGGGAGGACAACAGGGAGGGGTCGCATGTGATAGCTATGGCAAAAAAGGCGAATAAGGTGATGGGACAAGTATGGGGTTGGGGGAAGAGAGTCTTTGGAAGGAATGTGGCAGCGAGGAAGATTATGTTTGAAGGTCTGGTTAGCAGTGTGATGATGTATGGAGCAGAGGTATGGGGATGGAGAGAGCAGGCAATGCTGGAGGACGTGCAAGCTAGATACTGGAGATGGGTGCTTGGGGTGGCGAGAGAAACACCGGGGTATATAGTGAGGGAAGAGGTAAAGGTGGATAAGGTCAGAGTGGAGGCGGGCAGGAGAGCAGTGAAATATGAAGAAAGAATAGAAGGGAGGCCAAACTGCGGGATCTTGGGGGAGTGTTGGAGGGAAATTAGAGAGGGAAAGATCAGATATGGGAAAGGAGACAGAGACAACTATTATAGACGAGCGGGCTACTCGGTAACTGAGATAAATAGTAGACGAAGGGTGGGTAGGGAGATGTGGAGGGAGTTGAGAGATAGGGACCGAGATGTGCAGAGACAGGAAAGAAGGACACAAATAAAAGAGGGGAGGTATAACGAAAGGTACAGGGACATAATTACGGAGGGGCTGCCTAGATACTTGTTATTGGAAGGAGATGAGGAAGGGAAGAAGTTGGTGGCTAGGTTCCGTTGTGGAAACGAGGAGAGAGCTAACAGATACTGGATGGCCGATGAGGAGAGGTGGTGTAGGCTATGCAGGGAGGAATGGGAAACGTTGGAACATATGTTGAATGGGTGCAGTGAGTTGAGGGAGGAGGAGTTGGACCGAGGGCAGATCTTAGAAGAGGGGGGAGAGGGGAAACGATGGATGAGAATGGTTGTGGGGGTAAGGAGACAAAGGAAAAGATGAGGGGATGATTGGGCCGAGGAGCCGAGAGTATGGAAATGGCAGAAGAGGGTAGAGGGTGACAATAATATATATATTAGAATGTATTAAGGGGATAAAAATTGTAAATATTAAAAACAATAGAATGCTTATTATTAACAATTTTCACGCCTTTCTCTTTCTTTTCCAAAAGTAATGAAACTTTCGTCTTTTGGGTAACTGGGCTGGTGAACTTGCGCTACGACATGTTCGTGGACGAGCTACAGAACGACGAAAATCTAATAGCGCCATCCTTTCCTCTTCACATTGAGAATATATGACAAAAGAATTGACGAAGCATATATCACTTCATGGACGTTGTCGAAGTTGATCGGCATGATCTACCGAACCCATGTTTTTATTGTAACTTCCTTTTTACGGTGGTCTCTTCTGTTCCATGAAAACTAGAGCAAAATTTCACGCACTTACTGTCCTTCCATTTGTAATCTAAATTTGAGATTTGGTAATCATAATCTCCTCTTTTCATTCGTTTTTCACCTACCAAATCTTTTGGTGCACCTCTTTTTGAAACCTTATTGTTCCACAAGCTAAGGTTTTCTCAAGTTTCAGTTTTTCCAAAAGACAGATACTTGTAAAAAAGTTATCGAAATAAATCATTCTATTTTTATTAAGTCTTCAACATCACTCCAGAAGAGTTTATAGCTTGGCAAAGTGTGATGACTCATTAAGAAATTTATGCTAAGGAAACACAGCAACTCTTCTTCTTTCAAGTTTAGCGCTTGATATGTGTAATATCTTTCGCACAGTTTAGAAAGTAATTTGTAGGATTATTGCAAGTTGCAAAAGTATCACCAATTATTCCTTCTGGATAATTCTATCAATTTCTGCCTTGTTCTTCTTCTTGGATCCTTTGCCACGTATTTCTACGACTTCAGTGTCACTTTCCTCATATTTTGCTTAGTTAGTTCTTTTACTTCTTCATCTTTTAGCATAGGTATCTAACTCTACTCTACTCACTCTACTCTATTCTCAATCTTTTATGTCTGTCTGTTCAGAATTATGCAACGGAAGATTTTCTAATTCAACACAAAATTTTGAACATTGTAATTGCAATACGTAAACAATACACGAAGCTGACAACTTACAAATCACACCTAATAACCATTTATCAAAGAGATACCTTTTTGAACAACAAAATTCACACCACTTTTCAACATCTAATCTCACATCTGGACGAATAACTTTAAATATACCTAAAACCCTACAGTGCAGATTGCTTTATTTTTTTACAGGTTCTTTCTTGTATAGTGGAAAATACCGACAGCTCTAAATGCGCCGAATAGATGACTACAGCTTAAAATGAGTGTTTAAAGCTACCGGAACTTTAAAGTACCGTCGGGACACAAAGGGTTAAACGTGTTGGGACATTAAAGTCTTCATGGAGCTCTTCGTTTCTTGCAAACCACGCCGCGTTCACTGAAATCCGCAGAAGTTTATTTTGTAGGGTTTGAAATTTTCTCATGTTTGAAGTTGATGAATTGATCTAAACTGGGCAGGCGTAAGTTACTAAAGAAGTGGACTCAGTTCGCAGTGGTGATTTTCTGCTCATCAGAGGATACAATTGGCGAAGCCTGGCATATCCTTGGTTGACCTTTGAGTTTATGTGGAGTTTCCAAGTGAGACGATGATCAAGGAGAACTCCGAGGTATTGAATGGCTTCATCTTTTGCTTTCCACTGTATTTCTTGATCATTTATAATAATGTAAGGACAATTCGATAAGGTCTTAGCGAAAAAATCTTGGTCTGGCATTGAGCAGAATGGCCCATATTGATAACCATTTCTGGATTTTGACCTTTGAAGTGTCTCAATAGCATCAATAAGGATGTCTTTTTGTCCCATTATTAACATATCATCCGCAAACATGGCCATTTCGAAGTTTACGTCGGTCGGGATATCATGCATAAAGATGTTGAACAGAGCAGGGAATAAACTACTACCTTTTGAGATACATGCAAGTATTCTTCAAGTGCTGGAGGAGTATCCATTGATGGTGATGGAGAAAGTTCTCTCCTACAGGAAGGAGAACAGAATCTTAAGTAAATAGTTGCTTAACCCCGTTTGATTGAGCTTGTATTTTAAGCCTTCAATCCAGACAGTATCCAGCGTCGAACCCTTCCTCGACATATTCCGCTACTCTTACCAGTTGGTGAACCGTGCTTTAAATCCGTACTGGATGTTGGGGATTATTTTGAGGAGGCTTAACTCTTCTTGTAGTTGATGACTCGTTCGAATAGTTTAGATAAGAATGAGAGGAGACTGATTAGGCGACAATTGGAAATATTTGCGTTTTTTTCCATGCTAGCCAATTTCCAGGCAGCGATCAAAAATTCCTGTGATGTGTGATACTGAATAGTTTCTCCGAAATGTGTTTTATGACTACATTAGGTATCTCATCTAGGAGTGGAGATTTTTTAATGGCGAGGTTTGCTATTTCTACCTTTAGTTCTTCTACTGAGGTTCTGTTCTTCTAGTTGCTGAAGTTAGTAGATGGGATTTATTATATTGTTGGATTGTGGTAACGTGACGAATATTCTCACTATTGATATTCGGTCGAAAACATTCTTCCAGATATTCCGCAAAGGTGTTGGCTTTTTTTTCGTCCGAAAAAACTGGTGTTTCATTGACTAATAGGGTAAGTCTTCGTTATTTTCATAGTGGTCTTCCATCAACCCGAGTCACTTGCTTTAAAATGAGTTTTCTATAATTGTTGATTCTATAGGCATCTAATTCGTGAGAAATTGTATGAGTTAGTCTATTCAGTGTAGTTTTATTTCTGGGTTACGCGTGTGTTGCCATTCTCGGCGAACCCTCCGTTTTTCCTTGATTAGGTCGAAGATGCTTTTAGGGGGAAGGTTGTAATTGTTTGTAGAATTCCTTTTGAAACATTTCGTTGAAGAGACAGCTGCTTCCTTAATCTTTGAAATCATCGAGCGTCTCTAAACTCTGCCCAGTTGATGAATCCATTGATCAACTTAGGAATTTTAGGTCTGTATTCAGGTTACTTTGCAAGGGTGATGATTACTGGCAAATGATCCGAGTTTAACTCGCTGATTACACCCAGATTTAACTGGATGGTAACATTTTTGGTTATTACTATATCTAAAATATCTGGTTGATAGTCGCTTCTATATGGAAAGTAGGTAAAATCGATTGGGCAGTGCACTTGAAAATCGTACTTGATTGCTAATAATTCCAGATTCAATCCTAATGGATTGTCTGCTCTGCATCCCCAGAGTTTATTCTTGCTGTTAAGATCTCCTATAAGTAGGGTAGGTATAGAGCTACTCAACATTGAACTTATGTCAGTTTCTAGTAATTTGTTATTAGGTTGTTTGTATCCACATATGATATTAACTAGAATTGAGTTGCTTGTTTGAATTACTATTGCCGTTACTTCAATAGCTACATTCAATAGCTTCAAGCTACATCAATCTGATAGCAAGCCAAAAACGCAATAAGAAGAATTCGTTGTTTTGTTTTTTGGTTTGGTTGATTCTCTACTTGAGCTGGAGCAGGTGTGCTTTTTACTGTCGATGCGTAGCTCCTGGTATTACATTACATTACATTACATTACATAGAATACATATCGGGTAGGCGGACCAACCAAGCTTGCACCGCGACCCTAAGGATCTATTGTACCCCGATAGATATCGTTATCAAATTTCACCGTGCAGTCCAATGCTCTTAACGAACATTAATACCTTGCTCGGCGAAAGGTCATTCAGATCTTTTGAGGAGATAAACTGCGACCCAAAAATCGAGAATCTGATACGGTTAACGGCAGGGCAGTGGCATAAAACATGCTCAACCGTCTCTGCTTCCTCCGCACATAGTCGGCATTCAACATCGTCGGCTAAACCCAACAAGTTGAGGTGTGCTTTTAATCGGCAGTGCCCAGTAAAAACACCCATTAGAACTTTTATGCTACTACGGGCAAGTCCTAAAATATTCCCGGGTTTGACAGTGGCGATGTTAATAAACACCTTAGCATGTCTCATTCCAGGAGAACTGGTCCACAGTAGGCGAAGTCTCTCTTCAGCCCACAGTCCAATCCTATATTTGGCCATCGCAAATGATACACCAACTGCTGGTTCCGGTCCCACAAACGCTTCAGCGCTGCCATCTCGTGCTAGCTTATCTGCCGCTTCATTGCCAGCAACCCCAGAGTGACCCGGGACCCAGATCAGAGAGACTCTGTTATCACAACTCAGTGTGTTTAATGTTCTCTTACAATCATTAACCAGAGCCGACACCGTTTTCACGGCTTGCAGCGCCTGGAGAGCGGCTTGACTGTCTGAGAAAATTCGTACTGTCATGTTCTTCACCCCTCTTTCAAGAAGGATTTTAGCACCCATGTCAATAGCAAATACTTCCGCCTGGAATACAGTACAGTACGTACCCAGGCTGTAGGCTTGCTTAATTCGAGGTGTCTGGCAGTATACTCCTGCTCCTACCCCTTCAGGCGTTTTTGATCCATCTGTGTACAAGCAAATGTCTGCCCGAACCAGAGAATTTTCATTTTCGATCCAGGACTGCCGCTCAGGCAGTACAATCTGGTATCGAGCATTAATCACTGATAGTGATACCGCCAAATCTGACGGCATTGATAGCACAGTATCAGTGCTTATAATGTCTTCCGCAGCCCATTGGTAGGACATGTCGGAACAGTTTTGAGCATATTGCTTAAATCTGTAAATGGTTGTTCTAGCCACTTTCTCTATATGCAAATGCAGAGGAGATAGGCCAAGCAGAACCTCCATTGCTAGAGTTGGCGTTGTGCCTATCGCACCAGAGATTGCCAATCCAGCTACTCGTTGAATTCGTGAAAGTTTACTGATAACTGAAGTCTGTCGGACTTTCCTATACCAGGCTGCTGCTCCGTATGTGATCATAGGTCTAACCACAGTCACATAGAGCCAGTGCAGTCTTTCAGGGGTAAGACTCCTATTTTTTCCACAAAGACTGCGACAAGTCCACAAGGATAGTCTAGCTTTGTGCAAAACTCCCTAAAAATGTCCATTCCAAGCTCCTGGTATTAGTCTTTGTTTGAGGTATTACTTTTGAGCTCTGGGTTCTACGCGCAAGATGGACTGAAGTTGTTTGATGATGGTATTTGTTTTGATATTCGATGTAAATTTTACAACCTCGATAGCTTGTTGGATAATCTTGGCCACACTTTTCCACTTTGGTGGATCAGCTTGAAGTTTTTTGCAGTTTTTTGGCTCATTGAGCAGTAATTTTTCGTATATCCATATCGTTGGCAGTTATGGCATTGGAGAATCTTTTGGGAATTCCTCCTGGCTTCGACCGTGATAATTGCGTTGGAAATTTCCTTGACTTGATAGATTTCTTTGGCGTTCTCTGTGGTTTCTAGGTCTACTGCGCATAAAGGTATGGGGTATTTCGACTTATTGAGCAATCTCGTGACTCTTATAACTGGTAGGTTTAGTTGATTCAATTCGAATTTGATTTCTTAAACGGATATTGATATCGGAACGTTGCGTAAGATCACAGAAAGAGGTTTATTGGAGGGATCTTGATAGGAATTTTGGATACTCTGTATTTGAATTTTGTTATGTAGTAGTGAAACTGTGTTTTGTATTCGCTTTTAAGTCAGTAATTAGTTGCTGGTGGTTTAAGGCACTATGGATAAAAATAGGGGGAGTTTTTTGGTTTTTATTTTCCTCTTTATTATTAGGGTTGTTTGAAGCCGAATCAATTTAATAAAATTATAATTTTACCTGTTGCTTGTAGTTTCCAAACAAAATCTAATCTATAAGTAGCTTCGGTTTGTTGTCCATGTAAAATTAGAGCGACAAGAAATCCAATAGACATTACAGTGCTTAAATATTGAATGGTTATCGTATCGTCTTTTAATTTTTTATTAATTTTTTGTAGCTCGTTATTAAAACTTATATAAATCACAATATAGCCGCACATGGCTGCGAGTAAAATGATTGTCTTCAGCAGAGAAATAAGTACTTGATAAACAGCACATCCAATCATTGATAATAAAACTAGTAGTAAAAGATACTAAAAAAGTTTATAATTAAATTACGAACGATTAAAAAGTATACTTACATCAAGAAAAAGAAATGGGTCACAATCAATCCGTAAATTATGGGTAAAATTTCCATAATTATTTTCGTGATAAGTTAAATTATAGCAATCGATTTCTTTTGGCAAAGAAACCGTTTGAATTATCGCTAAAACATACAATGAGAGTGCCATCACGAACGAAACCAATTGAGCCACATTCCTATTTTTGTGAATCGCTCGTGAAATTGTAAATAATTTTGATTTTGACTAAAAATAAATGTTAATTAATAATAAATATAATTATTTCTGATTAAAAAAAACCTTAGAATTCTTCATATGAACCACAATCGGTATAAAAATAAGTATTAAACTAAACGGTAAAATAACCACGACGGCTATAAAATGGCTAAAAAAGAATTTTAAAAATTAATATTTATTAATACATAAATTGAAAAAAAAAAAACTTACGCTTGCATATTGATGAATTGAATGATTAAAATCGTTACGAAACAAATTACCGAGCAGAAAAAATATAAATTGAGCATTCTGTCTTTTTCACGAACATACTGTAACAAAAAAAAATTTTATTTGTTAAACATACAGCAAAAAATAAATGTAAAAAAATTTAAATATATTAAATTATTTACAAGAATCAAATTAAAACATATTTACAACAAGATTATACTCGGACTATAAACCTTAGCTTCTTTTTGCGGATCCCGGAAATTCAAAAAGATCGTTCTGCAATGTTCGATTCGAAGCCTGTCGATACTTCTTGCGTCAATCGCTCTCATCAGGTACTCATTCACTTCGTCTTCCGGATTCTTTTCATCCGGTGTTTCACCAAAACCTAATCTACACAAAATTTTTTATTAAAATCAAATTTCCCGTCAACTAAATCAAAAGATGCCGATTTGAATTTAATTTCAAAAAGATTATTATGTTTTAAACAAAATTAGTTTATATATTTTAATTAATTTTTATTCGGAGTGGAATCAAAACAACCTTTTTTTTAATTATTTATATAAACCCAAGGACGATAGAATCTTATAGCTTATCATGGACCACTGCGAGCTATCGCCATTGTGTAGAGGGGTGATGGCCTGAAGTGGCTATAAATGGTGGACAATGGATTACCTTAGGCAAAGGATGGCTTTGGGAGCGGTCTTTGGATGCGCAGCTAACTGCGCAGTATGCCACTGCAGTCCATCATTGCTTAACCATTTCGGTCGTCAACAGCACTTGTTGCTTACAGTGGTCAATTAGGTGGGCCATCTAGACTATACCACTGTATGGAAGCAAACATGCTAGCCATCATCAATGGTGGTCATCATGGCGACCATTCTAGTGGTCCATCATGAGCCATAATGAAGAAGAGCCATAAGAGGACTGCTACATTACAGCTCGTTGGCCCGTTCGTGACGTCACGCATTAATAGTCAACTATTATTTCATACTTTGAATTTGCAAATGCTAGAACTAATAGTAGAACTAGAAACATTCGGGTTTAGTCGTGCGTCTCGTAAGACGACCGTAAAGACTTTTGATCGGCCGATAATTTGGTCGGTCTTTTAATTACAATTAGGGCATACATATGCATAAGTGAGCACACTTCAACGATTTGATATCGGCCAACAGTTAAGTTTAATGGGCAACCCAACTCCCTTTCAACTTCGTAGTTTGCCAACTATGGGCTGATCTCTTAAACAGCACTAGTTTCTATGTGCAGATGCACAATCGGGGACTTTTCAGTCGGTAGCTGTTGATTTGTATAGAGACCTGTCTTTCTCATCCTACAATGTCGCTGTGGAGAAGAGACAAGCGTTATATAAAAAAAAGTATGAATGAATTCTCGGACGTAAACATTAAACGGAAACTATGATTGGGGAAGTGTGTGAAGTAGCTGTTCCTGAATGTTCTTGAATTTTGGAATATCTCGTATTGTTGATGATCCAATAAGATATTGGAATGACAAAGTTTGAAAACTAGATCCCTAATTATCTGTAAAAGAGTAAAATACGAAATCAGGCCAGGCTACCAGTAAGAGGCCCAAATATGTTTACTTCAATAATTTTATTTTTACCATGCTATGATAATCCTGCTATGGAAAGCAACTTATAACCACATTCCGATGATGATGATGTTGAAGGCGGCACCGAAAGTGACTTCTTGAATCCACTTCTATGTCAACCCCTCAACGAAAGAAAATAAGAACGCTAAAAAGTCGTTGAGCTATTGATGATGAAGACAAGGCATTGACATAAAAGGTAATGAAGACACCAACTTTGCTTTATCTATTATTCTTTCTCTGCGTGCTCTTAGCTCAGAAGAGAAACTGGATGTTAAGATCGGAATATTAAATATATTTAAGCACATCATAGACATCTTCATCAGACAACTTCAGCATCGTATCAACGCACAACAAATTATATATCTTAATCACATTTCTTTCTAGTACAAGGGTGTTCAAACGACCCAGTCCACTCCTATCACTCAAATTTTACTAATGATTCTGAATTAGTAAATTATGTTATTTTACTTATCGTAATATGACACCCAATCTCTCTTCGACAGGTATCGCACGTCGTAAAATTGTATCACGTTTTGCTATGGCTGGTTCAATTAATTGGACAAGTTCATTATAACTGGAAATGCTCATTCTATAAAAAGCAAAAAACTTTTTGGGATACTCCAGTTTATAATGAAGAGTGTGAAACTCTCCTCGCAATAATCGATCAGTGTTAATTGGATGCACCCAATATTTCCGGTTTCTGCGTATAGTATTTTTTTTCCTCCGTTTTATAATAATGGCAATTATAATAGCTCTTTGCGACATCATGATAATCAACCTACCTCCGACCCGATCAAAAGTCTGTAGTGTGCGGTGTCTATTAACAAGGGAAGTGTCACAACTGTGTCTCACCGATTTCGATGCAATTTGGTACAGTCATAGAATGGGCCAAAATAAGGTTCGTACATTTTTTTATACGTGCGGTAAAAGCCCCTGGGGCGAGTTATAGGGGTTGAAAGTTTGGAGAAAAAGTACGTTTTCACTTATATTTTAAAAATGAAAAGTGCTATCAAAATTTGGTAAATTGTAACTGATATTCATTTTAAAAGAGCTTTCTTTTGATGTATCACACATATACCAGAGGGTTAAGAAGGGCGAACTACCCCTATTTTTTTGGAATTATTTAAAAACCACCCTATCGATTTTGGCGGCATTAAGTATACTTCCAGCACGTTCAAAAATATTAGTTAAGGGTTTTTTCCCATTCGCTCTAGATCATCCCCAGCGAAGTTACGGGGGTTAACATGTAACCACTTTTCGTAAGAATGATGTGATAAAATTGTCAGGTATTTTGAAAATACTTTAACAAAACCGTAAATTAGTCGCACAATAAAATGTTTAATGTAAAATAAGGCATAATACACCATTTAGGGGTGGTTGGGGTTAACCACCCCCTTAAAAATTAATTCTATCCCGGGCATTACTTGTTGATTACGGCGAAATTTGGTACTGTGTTTGTTTTATATAGTTTATTAGTTTATTTTTATTCTACATAATGTTGCCAAAAATACACCTACCAAAAAAATTTTGGCACAATATTTGTTTTTTTAGTGCCGCTTGCTAAAGGTCATTTCTCAAAATAGTTTTTTCTAGTATAAAAGAACGTGTGCCCAGTGGGTAGATTTTAGTTTCAGAGCAACTGACAGAAGCAATGGTTACAATAAACCCAATAAACGTTTTAAATTTGCTAATGACAGTTTTTACTGTTATGAATATTCCCCAGACTCCTGTAAATGAAGCAGAAGTTAGTTTAAAAGAAAATATACAGCGTATTTTAATGGAAAGTATGGAAGACTACAATATGCAAATTGAAGACGAAACTGTATTAATTTTCGATTCATCCAATGGCATCAATNGAAATAAATTGTTTATTATGAACTAAAAGGACATTACTCATAAACAGATTTGGTTTAGTTATAATGATTTTCTAATGATAAAAAGAGAAAATCACCGAAATATCAAAATTGAGTACTTTTGGTATTAAAATTGATCATAACTCAAGGATGAAAGGTGATGGAGAAAAGTTTTTTAGGAATAAATTGTTTATTATGAACTAAAAAAACATCATCCATAAACAAATTTAGTTTAGGTATAATGATTTTCTAGTGATAAAGAAAAAATCATCAAAATATCAAAATTGAGTACTTTTGGTATTAAAATTGATCATAACTCAAGGACGAAAGGTGATGGAGAAAAGTTTGTTAGGAATAAGTTGTTTATTGTCAACTAAGAAGACATCATCCATAAACAAATTTAGTTTAGATGTAATATGAAATGCCTCAATTGAGTTCAATTTGCTACCAATTAGTACCCTTGGTACACTCATAAGTTCTCATAACGTATACCAAATTTGGTTTTTCTAGCTTAATGTATTACGAAGATATTGAACTTTTTAAAAATTTAGGAGCCAACTTTGAAAGCCTATAACTCCTGAGGTGTACAACTTAGTATAGAGGTAAGTTACGTTAAATCATCTTAATATATTGTCCTCTACATTTCCCTGCTCTGTGTCGGTTATTATGTGAATCACCCTGTATATACAGGGTGTTACAAAAATGTTGGACTGGCTATACATAGACGGTTTCTACAACTAAAAATAAGCAAAAAAGTTTATATAAACATATGTCCTAAAATGGTTCGTCGCTGAATTACAGCGGTGAATTTAAAGAAATTTACTTAAAGCTTTTCAGACCAATATTAAGTAAGCAGTCCGTGCTTTTTGTTTTCAGTCTAGTACAAAATGGCAGATTATTGTTTCGAAGATATGTCCGACATGCATTTAATGTATGGTGCATTGCAACAGAATAGAAGCAAGAAGACTTTATGCAGACCATTTCCCAAACCGACGTTTACCAAATGAAAAAACGTTCGAAAGGGTTTATATTAGATTGAGCGAAATAGGATCCTTCAAACCAGTAGTCCGAGATCGCGGCAGACCACAAACTACAAGAAGTTTGGAGTTGGAAGAACATGTGTTGGATCGTGTTGAAGAAAATGTTAGTACTCAAAGAATTGCATTGGCGGAAGTTGGTGATCATGTGAGTGTGTGGCGGATTTTAAGAATTAATCAGCTTCTCCGTACCACGAGAAGCTTACTGTGTATAGTTGTTACAGACATGCGCCACCGATCGTCTCTTTCTGACGTGTCTGCTCTTTAGTGATGAAGCTGGCTTTACAACAGATGGTATCGTCAATTTTCATAATTTGCACCAGTGGCAAGAAGAAAACCCTCATGCTATTATTCAGTCCAGACGTCAAGCGCAGTTTTTATTAAATGTGTGGGCAGGAATTATCAACGACATTGATTGATTGGTCCTTTTGTACTTCCCCGACGACTTTCTGGGTAGAATTATCGTTAGTTTTTAGAAAACGACTTACCAGGTTTGTTGGAAGCTATTCCACTAAATGTTAAAGAACGTATGTGATTCATGCATGACGGTCATTCATGCTCACTTCAGTCTCATAGCACGCTAATTTTTAAATGCCGTATATCCTGGAAGATGGATTGGTCGTGGTGGACCTGTAGCGTCATCTCGATTTTTACGTATGGGAACATTTAAAATATATGGGTGTATTCTACTCTAATACAAAATACATATTGAAGATCTTCAACGTAGACTGGAAGATGCAAATTCGAAATACACCAGGTATTTTTTAGCGCGTGAGGCAATACATATAGAGCTCAACAGTGTGTTTCTGCCCGTGGAGGTCATTTTGAACATTTGTTATGATTTGCATTAAAAAGTCCCGTTTTCTGTAACCTTTTTTAAATAAAAAAATGAAAAATTTCAAGTGGCTGTAACTCAGTAACGAACCATTTTATAACATATGTTTATATACACTTTTTTGCTTACATATTTGCAAAAACATATTTGTATATAACACCCTGTATTATAACACATAAAATTCATATAATAAAAATATTTCTTGCTGACGCTTCTCTTAAAGTTAACGAGGAACTAGACATATCTGACTGGCTACTAAACTTTGAATCTGTAAAGGTGAATTCATGCCGAGAATAATATCTGTCGAGTTCCCCTTCGTAAGTTCCTAACTTGTACAGACCGGATTCATTTACATTCAGAACTACAGTTAGCACATTTCTAGGCGCATGTCGTCCCCTGTCGACCTCTGGAACTTTAACCACAACATTTTGCCCAATTTCTGCAGGAGGAAATTTTTCGTGGGACATATTTAACATTTTCTTGTTTCACCAATCCGACCTTCGCGTTTTCTCGGTAATTTTGAATAAGGTCGATTCTGCTACAATAAATTTTTCATCAAATTCAATCCCACATTCCGCATGTACCTTTGCTTTACAATTAGTGCATGAATGGAGATTCATGGAATTGCATCAATACTACTCTCTTTTTCTTTATCAAGTTCTGGAGCCATTCCAACCTAAACTTTTTCTAAATTCTTTTCTGGTTTTATAATAATAATAATAAATTTATTGGTGATGTACAGTCTGGTTCAAATTCGATGTCCGAATAGGCTAACTCGGAAACTATTAGAGTTAGAAAAAAAAGTAGCTTACATGTCATGATCTCGTTTTTCGAGAAACCGCTAATGCCGAAAACCTCATAGCGCTATCGTCTTTTGTTTTTCCCCTAGAGGCCAAAATTGAAAATATCGTAAAACCAATAAGTGCAATTATCTTGGTTATTATTATAGGTGGAGTATTATAACTAAGACATTATATGGACACTTTTTTACAGAGAATTTCATGACGTAGTCAAAAAAAATTTTTCGGTTTTAGATTTTGAGATATCATGACAATTTTCGTTTTTTTAAATGGAAACAACCACTGATTATTCGCTTATTAAATTCGTTATTTTTTTCTGATTACAAAAATATAGGGTTCGACAGGTCTATTTCTTATTGTTTTAGAATAAAGCTAAAAATAAACTTTTTTTATAAAATTTCCATCTAGTGTCGTCGAGGAAATTAAATTTACAGTTTCCTGTAAGTTACGGGGCGGTAGGTAAAATCTAAAAAGTTAACAATTAAATACGAAGATAACTTCTGGTATTTAAAAACAAATAATTTTTTAATATGTAACATTCTAACATGTCAAACTTTTCAAAATTTTCGTAATTGATCTTAAAAACAGGATTTTTAAAGTGACACTTCAGAAAATTTTTGAATACAAACAAATGTTGCTATGTTTATTTGAATTAAAAAAAAAACATATGAGCGCCATCTATCGATAATTTATTAAGTCATTTAAAAATAATATTAAATCGTAATAAAAAATGTGAAATAATGCAATCTATTCCAACTTTTGTGTAAAACATATATAAATTAAACAGTTCAACAAATATATTTGTTTCAAATATCAGAAATATGTTTTTTTAATTTTTAGTTATAGAACCGTAATTTACAGGAAACTGTAAATTTAATTTCTTCGACGACACTAAAAGAAAAGTTTATTTTTAGTTTTATTCTAAAACAATAAGAAATAGACCTGTCAAACCCTATATTTTTGTAATCAGAAAAAAATAACGAATTTATTAAGCGAATAATCAGTGGTTGTTTCCATTTAAAAAAACGAAAATTGTGATAATATCTCAAAATCTAAAACCGACAACATTTTTTTGACTACGTCATCAAATTCTCTGTAAAAAAGTGTCCATATAATGTCTTAGTTATAATACTCCACCTATAATAATAACCAATTTGCGGGTTTTACGATATTTTCAATTTTGGCCTCTAGCGGAAAAACAAAAGACGATAGCGCTATGAGGAAAAACGAGATCATGACATGTCAGCTACTTTTCTTCTAACTCTTATAGTTTTCGAGTTAGCCTATTCGGACATCGAATTTGAACCACCCTGTACATACAAATATACAATAATATACAAATATATATGTATATACAAAAATATAAGGATGGAAGCGTTAGTAGATTGAGCTCAATGAAAGCATTTCTATAACAATCGGTGTAGGAAATGCCCGCAATCACCCTGACACATCTTCTCTGACTCCAAAAAACACTGGCAGAGTGGTCGTTTATGAAGATTAAAAACAGAATAACCCCTGTGGACCCCATGTTTCATTGGCAGAGTTTCAGATTGTTGCCCATTGATGACACAAATTATTGACAGTTGCACAGGTAAGAGCGAAGGAAGTTAACTAAATCAATATTAACATTTAGTTTCAGTAATTTGCCATGTTCTTAAAGATTCATATACATCCTTTTCAAGTGATGAATCTGCCAGTCAAATACGTTGTGTACTACCAAACATGGCTTCATAGGGGCTTCTTGCTTTGAACACACCTTAACCGTTCCACCCATTTTTTTGTATTATTATCTAACATCTTAGATACTAATATATCTCTCACATCTTTAGTCCTGACCACATTTAGAGTTAAATTTTGAATTATTTGGTTACAAAATTCTCTCCCATTATCGTTTTGAAGAATACATGGAGTTCCAAACAAACAAACAAGTCTGAACAGGAATGCTCGGTTTGTGAGCATTACAAATTGTGCACATGGAGTTGTTCCATTGCGTCATGGTTGTTTTTCTATTATGCATAACGCGTTGAGGTTGTTTTCTACCACGCATACCGCGTTGTGGCTGTTTTCGAAAGGTTAATATATGAAACTTATACAATTCATAAACAGAAAGGACGCAATATCAGTTGACTGAGCGTAACACATGGTGTGACGTATTGGACCGATACTGACGTCATTTTATGGATTACAAAAGAACAAAGAATTTAGATTCTACCATCCTTGCTTTAAAATACGAATTAGTAAAATAGATAGCATAAATATATTTCTGCCAAATATCATTTATGTTATTTACGAGTTTATTTAATTAATTCAGATAATTTGTACGAAAACCACCAGAAATTGAAATAGAGTGATTCAAATTAATTGAAACAGGAAACTGGAACTAAAGCAAAACCTCCGTCCGCGGTTAATTCTATAAACATCTATTAGCCAAAAGCAAATATACCGTGTAGAGGAAGGTTTTGGACCATTCTCTCTGTGTGTATGTATTATTGTATGTACATGTATGTATATTTAGACGTTAACTAACTTGGAACTGTGCTTTGCATGCTGCGATCCGTGCCCCATTACTCTCAGTTCCTTCGACGACATATTCCCGTTGATGGAGAAACTCTGTTGGGGTTGTTTTGACTGTGAACAAACATTTTGGGGTCATTTATACACAACTTCATATTATAAAACGACTTTGTTTGGTTTTGTTTTAGTGTGTTAATTTAATGTTAATATTTACCCCTCTATAGGAGCTTGCAACGATTAAATACGTGTCGATGTTGTGATCTTTAAGATAAGAGTTTCTGTCGCCACCATTTCCAGGTTCAACCTCGTAATCATCTCCAAGACATTTAAATGTTTCTTTTGTGATATGAACACGTCTAAGAATTTCAAATAAAAAAAATTATTAGATTAAAAAGATTTTTTTTTGATTTTTGTTAACTAACCCTGGAATGCCTCCACTTTCCATGTAATTAGCCAAGGTAACGTCGTTTGACCAAACATCGAATTGCCACTTCCGTAGTCCGAGAACTCCACAATGTACCCTTCCGGTGTGGATTCCGACTCGCATGTTCACATTAACGGCCATTACCTCGCGTACTAAACTGCAGCACAGACAAAGTTTTCAGGGGTAAGGGAAGTTTAAGGGGCCTCGAGTTATACGGCGATGGTATACGTAGTAATGACTTCGTTAACAAGCGCAATTACTACTAAGTGTTAAATTTAAGGATGAGAAACGACGGGCGAATTTGTTTGTAGTTATGATTGGGTTAATAACAAATTAACAAGTTATTTTTGCATCTAAATAATAATAAATAAGAAAAACTCAATCAAGTAACAAAATGTTCTTGTGTATAAAGGTAAATAGGGTCCACTTCGAAATAATCATTTTTAATTAAATGAAGTGTTGTTAAGGTAATTTTCCACAAAATTAAGCACGAAAATTGAAAAAACTTTACTTGAGCTTTTATTAAATATTTTTTAATCTATAAGTTACCAATTCCGTCGTTGCCTTGGTAACTGCAAATAATGCCAACCAGACAATTTCTTTTCATCGAGCGAAGCTGAAAAGCACATTTATTGTGGCGAGTCTTTTCATTTTATTTTCTGCTTGCTTTGCTTACTTATTACATTTTGCTTTTGTTAGATTCAAACATTAATTTTGCCCTTGTAAATATTCATCCCAAAAACAAAAATCTAACGTAAGTATGGAGACCTAGGTGGACAAAGAACGAGATCAAATCGACAAATCCATATTTTGGGAAACGTTAATTTAAAAAAAAAACTGTACTTCGCTAGTGAGTTATGCACCCTTGTCATATCAATCTCTTCCAGTAAATCAAATAAGTAAAATAAGCAAATCGACATTGAAAGTTTCTCTCAACAGTGGTGCGGTTGTTATTGATTGTATTCTGCGTGGAAACTGCTTCATTATAATAATAATACTGTATTGAGCCAAGATATAAATACAAAATATATAATTCAAGCTCAATAGGAGCAAGAGCAGAAAAGACAAAATTGAAAATTGCTCATATCAAACACCTTGTCGCGCAAAACAATAAGTTTGAACGCACGAAATACCGGAATACTGGAATTTTGAGAATGATGTTAACCAGGAAGTAGTAACCCTAGTCAAAAAGCACTTGGAATCAGTTACAGAATCATTTGCTCGTTATTACCCAAAGAATGAAGATCCCAGACATGGTAATATGTGGATAATAGATCCTTTGCAGCAAAAATTTAGGATAATAATTTAAGCATGCATCTAAAGAAAGCCTCATCGACCTATCGTCCGACAAAACTCTCAAATTTAAATTTTATTCATCCTTATCATCAAGATCTTAGTTTTGGCTTGGTAAAGTTTAGCACATAAATACTTACAAAGTCACAAAAATCAAACCAACCCAACCCAAAATATGAGCAAAAGGGCACAAAGCCCTAAACAGGCTGTAAAAATGCTCAAGACATGTTTATGCGTCTACCACTCGATGAACTGAACCCAACTCAATCCAAGATTATGACTTCTTAGACAGTTATAAGCACGCCTACATAATAAATTAATATGATCACCAAAAGCAAGCTGATCATTAATGATAAGACTAAAACTTTTAACCGAATTGGTTGATTTTAACTGTATTCAAACTATCTTAATATTAATATCACCAAAAACAAATAAACGACCCTTTTTAGTAAATAAAATATATTGAGTCTTGTCGGGGTTGACCAAAAAAGCATGACTCTTAATATCAACACATAACTCACCAGACAGGAAATCGAGATAAAGTTGGAATAATACTTTAACTTTGAGAATTAATTCATTGGTGATTACAATTTTGGAAAAAGTTGATGCAAAACGCCAATCATATAACTTCATCTCTTTCCTGAAGGAGTTGAACCCTTCTCCTGCAGCTTGTACTTTTATGGACTTAAACAAAATCCTTCTGCCAGAGACTGGTTTCAATATAATTTTGAATTTACTGTCAAGAATAGCAACAATTGCTGTTGGAAATCGGAAAATCGCTACTAATACATACGGATTATACAATCCACTAACTTTAAGCATCTGTATTTGATAGCTGTTGAGAATCGGGCCCACTTTTATATGATACTTTTTACTTAAAATCCTAACTATACTGTCATCTCTTAAAATATTTGTTGTTGGTTTGCGACTCAATGACTTCTACGCTGATATAAGCTCGTCTATTTCTAAGCTCTTAAATCAATTTAATTTCGAGCTTCTTGCGGGGATGATTAGTAATTACAAATTTAAATTTTTGAAATAATCAACAATTATTTGGCATTTTGCAATTTTCGCCGATTAAGTTTTAAAAATTCGTATAAAATCCATTTCTTGGAATATGAGCATGAAAATTACTCAAAGTGTTAATAAGAGTGTCCTCTTTCCAATGAACCAATACGTTTTGAAAAATAACTTTTAGTTTTTGAGAAAACAATATTTCAAGTTTTGATAAAATTTTCGATGTTGCAATTTTCATCGATAATTTTCAAAATTCGCTATTAAATTAATTTCTTGAAGGATCCTTGTGGAAATATCACCAATTATTAATTAAAGTATCCTCTTTTTAATGCAAAAAGCCGTTTTGAAAAATCGGTTTTAGTTATTAAGAAATAAATTTTTGAAATGATCGACAATTTTTTCGAATTTTTCAATTTTCGCCGATTAAGTTTTAAAAATTCGCATAAAATCGATTTCTTGGAATATGAGTATGAAAATTTCCCAAAGTGTTAATAAAAGTGTCCTCTTTCCAATGAAGCAACCCGTTTTGATAAATAATATTTGAAGTTTTGATAAAATTTTCGATGTTGCAATTTTCATCGATAACTTTCAAAATTCGCTATTAAATTTATTTCTTGAGGGATCCTTGTAGAAATATCGCCAATTATTAATTAAAGTATCCTCTTTTTAGAGTTGCTTCGTTAGTTAAATCAGCATCAAAAAAGTTCATTTTGTATCTTGGATCCAAATAAGTTGACATATCTTATCAACTTTCTTATTAATTTCATTTTTATTCAAATATCGTAATAATGTGGCAATGTAGGGTATCACTTCAGAAATGTACCAGAAATAAACCGCATATCCGGCCGAAGGGGATGCCGAATATCCGGTATCCGGCTTTTCGTAAAATCACTATCCGTTCACTATCCGGTGATACAGGGATGGAAGGGGCAAGGGCTATTATAGGATGTGCAGACCAGATACTTGAGGTTGGTGTTGGGGTTGGCTAGGAATCGCTGGGGTATATAGTCACAGAAGAAATGAAGGTAGATAAAGTGAGGGTGGCGAGAAAGGTGGGGATACTACAGAACTTAACGGAAGTACTCAAGAGAAGGACTGAGATAAGGGAGAGTAGATATAACATAACCCAAAATACGGAGAGATTGTAACAGAGGGGCTGGCTATCGAAGTACTTGATGGCGGAGATGGATGTGGTGGGGTATAGGTTGGTGCTCAGATTTAGGTGTGGTAACGAAGAGAGGATCAGTAGATACATATTCGATGGAAGACGAAGATAGATAGGAGAGTTTGGGAGAATTATCAAGTTATTTATTTTTACGACATAATAAAAAAGTTTTAAGGAAATAACCTTTGTGAATATCCTGTATAGCATTGATCCCGTGGTTGCATTTTTCATGATAAAAATGCATTGTGTACCAAATTTTGTCTTTCTAAGACAAAAAATGATTGAAAATTTCTTAACTTTTTAATTTTTTCACGAATCATCATTTTAACTCTAGTATTTGTGATTAAAATTATGCCACGACTTACAAGAACATCCTGTATATGGATTGCCTCGGCCGCAAGCGACCTCGGCTTAAATTAAAAATGAAAGTGTATGATATTGCCTGATTCAACCAAAATTGGTAGAAAAATTGCACTGTTTACCAAATTTTGTTTTTCTAAGACAAACCATATTGAAAATATTTAAGAAAATGTTAAAAAATTTCTTAACTTTTTAATTTTTACATGAATCATCATTTTAACTCTAGCATTTGCGATTAAAACTTTGCCACGAGTTATAGGAACAATCTGTATATGGACTGCCTCGGCCGCAAGCGTCCTCGGCTTAAGTTATACATAGATGAAAATGTATGATATTGTCTAATAAAACCAAAATTGGTGAACAACTACTGACTGCCTCAGCCGCAAGCGACCTCGGCTTAACTTAGAAGGGAATGTGTATAATATTGCCCGATTAAACCAATATTGGTAAACATATATGGACTGCCTCGGCCGCAAGCGACCTCGGCTTAAGTTATAGATGAAAGTGTGTGATATTGTCTAATTAAACCAAAATTGGTCAACATATATGAACTGCCTCGTCCGCAAGCGACCTCGGCTTAACTTAGAAGGAAAAGTGTATAATATTGCCTGATTAAACCAATATTGGTAAACATATATGGACTGCCTCGGCCGCAAGCGACCTCGGCTTAAGTTATAGATGAAAGTGTGTGATATTGTCTAATTAAACCAAAATTGGTCAACATATATGAACTGCCTCGGCCGCAAGCGACATTGGCTTAACTTAGAAAGAAGAGTGTATAATAATGCCTGATTAAACCAATATTGGTCAATATATATGGACCGTTAGGTTGAATCCTGCGATTTGAGATAGATAGAAAAATTTTCTTAACTTGGGAATTCTTTACATAAAAAACATTTTCAGTTTATTTATGGTAATTAAACTTACCCTAACTTGATGCTGCTAAAAGGTTCGTTATAAAGATAAACATAATTAAATGTGATAAAATCAATACTTATAACATATGAGCTGCATTTTGTGATTTATATCCGAACTTGGAGCTTTACGATTACTTAAACTTTCTATTTCTATTTCCTATCTCCATATACAACGTGAAAACTTTTTAAATTCACTCTTGTTGAACAAAACCGGAATAAATCTGACTGAAAACACGGAAAATCCATCTCAAAAACCTACCCCAAGCAACAAAAAAAAATCAATTTAAATTCGCGTCGTCGTATTCACATCCCAAACACACGTTTTCTTATTACTATGTAAAAATCTTAATATATTACTTACGCTATTGCATCAATCATATCCAATCCCATTTCAACGGTACAATGTGCGTGATCCGGCCGGGGTTCCGGCAAACCGGAAACGCAATAATAACAGTCCCCTAACAGTTTGATCCTTAGACAATGATGTTCCGTTGCGAGACGATCGAATCTATCGACGAGTGGCTAAAGCACGACTTATACGCACGCATCTTTTATTGTTAAACTTACCTTGCAAATAATTCGTTTAAAATCCTCACGAGTTCTTCGGCAGTACATTGATCCGATAACGTTGTAAATCCGCAGATATCAGCAAAAAGAATACTAAAAATTCAAATAAATTAATTCAATAATCTAATATTATTAGTTCGGAAGTTACCTAACATTCTCGTGCCTTTGTATGTATATTTTATGGAATTGGGCCTCTTTGGGTTGTCCCGCGATATCTGCTTTCATTTCAACGGCAACGTGACGAGGAAGAACTGACAATAACAGTCTTTCCTAAAAACGTTGGGAAACATTATATCATCATAAAGGTACGATTTCAATAAGAAAGAAGGCATTCTTTATTAAAGGCACGTAGCTGCCGAATTTAATTTATTAATATAAAATAAATTAAAAGTAAAATTTATGATGCCTTAAAGCTTTTTATTTCAAGTTTTATGCTTAAATGGAAAATAATGGTAATGATAATGTTAAAAGGATGCTAAAGTAATTTATAATAATAATCACCTGTTGTTGATTTTCTCTTTGGATTTTTAGCCGAGCTTCGATGCATTGTCTCGTTTCTAAAAAAGCTTTCCTTTGAGCTATCTCTCTTGGGTAATGAGTGCAAAATCCCGCAACGTTACCGCAAATTAAGATGATTGCGCAACTTAATATTTGATCGCTTTCGTGTAAAATCACCAAGCCTATTATGTTCGTTATGCTTAAAACCGTTCCGGCTACCAAAGCATCTTTTAAACGTATCGGTAATAAAGCGTAAGTTAAATAGGTGTAACCCAATGTTGCTATAGTTGAAATTACTGGCCTTTCTGGTCCACCGAACACACATATACAGACCTTTAAAAAAAATTATTGAAGTAAAATATCGATATAACGGAGACTTCGTTAGAATGAACTTCGGATATAACGGATAATGATTTTTATTATTATTAATTATTAAATCCGAATGTTTTTAGTTCTAGATCTAGTGTTAATTCTAGTTTTAATTGTAATTTAGTGCTTGTTGTATATTTTTATTGAACTAAAAGTCTGAAGACGCACGGCTAAACCCGAAACTTTCTAGTTCTAGGTCTAGTGTTAGTTCTAGTTTTAATTGTAATTCAGTGCTAGATTGTTGCATATTTTTCTTGAACTAAAAGTAGAAACAATACTCGACGTAGAATTAGAAACATTCGGGTTTAGCAATCTTAACACATTGGCTGCTACGTCATTCATACAGGGTGGTCCATTTAACGTGAGACAAGCGATTATCTCGAAAACGGTTTATTTTAAATAAAAATGAACCAAATGAAAGTTGTTGAATATGTGGATCCATAATTTTAATCAGTGCGATGAATAAATAAATCTTATGAATAAATTATATATCAACCTGACATGTTTCGGTCTCTAAGGGACCATCATCGGAGGTATCGTAAAATATAAGAGTGACATACAAAGATTAACATGAAATAAAGTTGCTGCTAGCAGAAATGTATAAAAATAAATCTATAGAACACACTAAGCTATAGATTTATTTTTAAAAAAGTTTTAAAATTAAATTCCACATGAAATGAAGTATTAGTGTATTAAATCCGCCAAAAGGTTAAAAAATCTATCAAAATTTAGGATACCATCACCCTTAATCAACTCTTTGAAATGCCTTGGTACACTCACAACGTATATCCAATTTGGATTTTCTAGCTTAATGCATTACGAAGATATTGAATGTTTTAAACATTTAAGACCCAACTCTGTGTCGGTTCTTATGTGAGTCACCCTGTATTATAATATTTATAGCTCAGATAGATACAGATTATAATTTGTAAGGTTTTTTTCCAAAAATAATATTACTGTAATATCGGTAATATTCTTAAAAAAGAATAAAATATATAAATTATTATGTATATATATATACTATAAAATTATTATATAGCTATAATTACGTACATATAAAAGTGTTTAACATATTTTAATCCTGTTTTTAAGTGGTGGCATTAAATGAAAAACATAAAAAATACATCAAATAATAATGCAATTTTTTTTCTTATATTGCATAATAACAATAAAGTTAGTGTTCGACTTTCAACATTTTTATACGACTGAAAAATAAATTTTTGGAAAAATACTTTTAACCCTTTATCCCAAGAAGTCAACAAATATGCAATCCTCCCCATTCCAGGGGGATAATGGTACTTGAGAGTACCGTCAAGCATTAAAATATATTTTAGTGATGTTGCAGTATATAAAAACTTTTATTGCTAATATAAAAATACTACATTTTTTATTAAGTTTTATTAAGTTCTTGGAAGCCTTATTTATTGAAATTAAAAATTGAAACTTATTCTAAATTAAAGCTGACAGCTTTCTCTTTAAAATGATGTATAATAATTATTGGGTTGGATTGGAAAAATATTGAGAAAAAAAATGTTGAAACAAAACTTACATTTTCGTATAACCTAAAAGTGTCAAAAAAGATGCTAATTTAAAAATTCCTGGAAGCCGTGTTTATTGAAATTAAGGAATGAAACTTATTCTAAATTAAAGCTCAAAGTTTTCTCTTTAAAATAATGTATAATAATTGTTGGGTTGGATTGGAAAAATATTGAGAAAAAGAATGTTGAAATAAAACTTACATTTTCGTATAACCTAAAAGTGTCAAAAAAGATGCTAATTTAAAAATTCCTGGAAGCCGTATTTATTGAAATTGAGGAATGAAACTGATTTTAAATTAAAGCTCAAAGCTTTCTCTTTAAAATGATGTATAATAATTGTTGGGTTGGATTGGAAAAATATTGAGAAAAAAAATGTTGAAACAAAACTTACATTTTCGTATAACCTAAAAGTGTCAAAAAAGATGCTAATTTAAAAATTCCTGGAAGCCGTATTTATTGAAATTAAGGAATGAGACTTGTTCTAAATTAAAGCTAAAAGCTTTCTCTTTAAAATGATGTATAATAATTGTTGGGTTGGATGGGAAAATTATTGAGAAAAAAAATGTTGAAGCAAACCCTACATTTTCGTATAACCTAAAACTGTCAAAAAAGATGCTAATTTAAAAATTCCTGCAAGCCGTATTTATTAAAATTAAGGAATGAGACTTGTTCTAAATTAAAGCTAAAAGCTTTCTCTTTAAAATGATGTATAATAATTGTTGGGTTGGATTGGAAAAATATTTAGCAACATAAAAAAAAAGCAACATATTCGTAAAATTATCATATTTCCGTATTGATCTCGATATTGATGCATCTAAGAGCAAAAGTGCAAGAGAGCAATATTGTTAAGAATAAAATTTCCTACAAATTTTGTTCTGAAAGTTTTTTTATGTATGATCCGATTGCCGAGAGTTACCATTAATATGAAAAGTTAATTAAATTTAATTTTCTCAATTTGTACTTTTGAAATTGGTTTTATTAATTAAGTCTGACTAGTTTCGGCCCATGGCCATCCTCAGAGACTAGCTTTACAACAAAAAACTTTTAAAACTAGTCTCTGAGGATGGCTATAAGCCGAAACTATCAATAACTTGAAAACGCAACAAATTCGTAGAATTTTCATATTTTTGTGTTGTTCTCGATATTGACGCATCTAAGAGCAAAAATGCAGGATACCAATATTGTTAACAATAAAATTTGCTACAACTTTGGTTCTAAAAGTTTTTTTATAACATGCTCCGATTCCCGAGTGTTATCATTAATAACTTGAAAAAGCTACAAATTCATAAAATTTTCTTATTTTCGTATTCTTCTCGATGTTGAAGCATCTAAGAGCAAAAGTGCAAGAGAGCAATATTGTTAACAATAAAATTTGCTATAACTTTTGTTCTAAAAGTTTTTTTATGGCATGATTCGATTTCCGAGTGTTACCATTAGCTTGAAAAAGCAACAAAATTCGTAAAATTTTTATAATTTCATATTCTTTGCGATATTGACGCTTCTAAGAGCAAACGTGCAAGATACCAATATTGTTAATAATAAAATTTGCTACAACTTATCGTCATATAGTTTCCCTCTTCGCACAGAACATCTTTCATTTCGTTCATTTTTATGTAAAATGAACAGTTTTCGAGATAATCGCTCGTCTCACGTTAAATGGACCACCCTGTATATGAATGTCACTCATGACGTCATCACGTGGCAGCCATTGTGTTAAGAGACACACGGCTAAACCCAAGTGTTTCTAGTTCTAGGTCTAGTGTTAGTTCTAGTTTTAATTGTAATTCAGTATTAGATTGTTGTATATTTTCTTGAACTAAAAGTAGAACCAACTCTAGATCTATAACTAGAAACATTCGGGTTTAGCCATCTTCAGAGACTTAAACCCTTCCCAATATTAATCCATTATATCGAAGTTTTACTATACTTAATAATAAAAATTGACTTACTTGAAGTGTTAAAAATGTGATAATTATCACGTATGAAATCATAATGAGATGGACTTCGTTCATTCCCGGTTTGGATAAGATTGCCAAAAGAACTAAATAAAAAAAGATGGAAATATCGTGTATGAATAGAAATGAGTATATTAGAGCTGAAAAAAAAACTAATTTAACGAAATTACCTCCGTAAAGTGCCAAACAGCACCCAGATGTAGATAATAAAGCTACCAATTTTTCTATTCGTAAATGAGTGACATTTTCCTTAATCAAATCGAAACCGGTTATAAATATAAATGTTACGGAAAGTACCAAGAGTAAAGTTATTAAATTGGTCATATTGCTTTGGTTCATTTTAAGGAAATATCGTTGATATAACATTTCCACCTTGTTAAAAATTTTAATTAAAGTAAGTTAAAAGAGGAAGTTGTAATTAAAGAAATTTTTACCTGCTCGTTTTTAAATTGATGCGTACTACAAACTTTACATAATAATCTTTTACATTTTGTAAAAAATCCGCCTGCCCCTCCACCACTTTGAGTTGTTCCACCGTTACCGACCAAGAGTTCAGCTTCGGCATCGTGACGCTCCGTTTCTGGACTTGAACAGAGTATCGAAACGTCTTCCCTAATCGGTGGTGAACGAGTAACGCTTCCTACCTAAAGAATAAATTGCTATGATAAACGAGGGGAACATAAAATCTTTAGGGAAATTAACTTGAGTGATGAATGATACATGATTCTAGGAGAAAATTTATATTGAGATTTAACAATTTTAAACTCGATTTGAGGAATTACATATAGAAGAATACGATAAGATTTTTATCCGTGGAATGTGAAGTGAAATTCGGAAATAGTTTTAGAGTTTATTTAAACTTGTAGACGTTAATACGGCTCCCATTTACACCATGTTTTTTTACAAAATATTTACTTAATTCTAAGTCATCACTACCTGCCAATAACAAATCATTTATGTAAAGCAAACTAAATATTTTACAATTTTTTGTTACTTTATTTTACATACAAATATCAAATCATTATACTTTTTGTATCGGTTCTTTGGTGACGTCTTCAAGCCATATAAGAATTTTCTTAGTTTCAGTACAAAATAATTCAGAAATCCACTTCTCAGTCGGTAGAGCAACTAGCGCATCTTCTCGCGCAGATTATCTTCGCTACTTTGTAAGAGTGTTCAAAGGTGGTCACGATGTATGTAAACAAAAACATCGTTCAAAAAAACATCAAGAGATGGCGCTTGCTTTCTAACTTCACATTATCTTCTAAGGGTTGATTTTGTGCAATCAGTTCTGAGTAATGATGGCATCCCCTTTGGCTGGATATCCGGCATATCTATCTGGCCATTATAGTTATAATTTCTGGTGTATTTCTGAAATGATACCCTCAGTGATTTATAAAATGGGTGTCTATCCGGATATTTATCCAGGCCCAGGGTAAATACCCAAACAGTATGTATAAAAGTGATACATGTAAAAATACAACAGATTCGGAAAAAAATAAAGCGTAAGATGATGAAATGTTATCAGACGAATCTGTTGTGATTTAGATTAGATCAACATATTATGATAAACTCTTTTTAAATTTTATCATCTTCAAGCTGCCCTCTTCGTCCATTGTTGGACATAGGCTTATCCAATTCTGTTCCATTCGTTTCTATTCTGTGCTGTCTGACTCTACTTGTTGGTCGTACTTTTGACGTCTTCCTCTACTTCGTCTATCCGTTCAAGCAACCGTTTTGTCCACTGCTCATTCTTCATTCGCGCGACATGACCCTCCCAGTTCCACTTGAGCTTTGCCATAATGTTGACCACATCATATACGCCAACTCTCCTTCGTAGGTCTTCTTTTCTAATGTTGGTGTTAGAGCTGGGAACAAGATTTGTCATAAATTTTGATTTCTCTACGTTGATATTTAGAAATTGTATCGGTTTGGCTTACCCCACGCCCAATAGGTATTCGGTCAGTACTTTCATGCAATTTTATCGTCATTGTAGCATTTTTGTAAAGTACTTGCAAAACTGCCATCAACTCAATTTAAATTAAATTTTATAAATACCTCTATATACCCATCTTGGGTAAATACCCCCGGGTATATATCCAGGGAATTTTCCCTTGAAAATAAATACCCGGGTACTTAACAACACTGGATACCCTATATTGCCACATTATTGCGATATTTGAATAAAAATGTAATTAATAAGAAAGCTGATAAGATAGGTCAACTTATTTGGAACTTTAATTAATAATTGGCACAAGGATCCTTCAAGAAATGAATTTTATAAAGAATTTTGCAAGTTATCGATGAAAATTGCAACATCGAAAATTTTATCAAAATTTCAAATATTGTTTTCTCAAAAAGTAAAAGTTATTTTTCAAAACAGGTTGGTTCATTCGAAAGAGGACACTCTTATTAACACTTTGGAAATTTTTTAAACTCATATTCCAAGAAATGGATTTGATACGAATTTTTAAAACTTAATGGAAAAAACTGCAAAATTCTAAAAAATTGTCGATTATTTCAAAAATTTATTTCTCAAGACCTAAAAGTGATTTTTCAAAACGGCTTTTTGCATTAAAAAGAAGACAGTATAGTTAATAATTGGTGATATTTCCACAAGGATTCTTCAAGAAATGAATTTTATAGCGAATTTTGAAACTTATCGATGAAAATTGCAAGATCGAAAATTTTATCAAAACTTCAAATATTGTTATCTCAAAAACTAGAAGTAATTTTTCAAAACGTGTTGGTTTATTGGAAAGAGCACACTTTTATTAACATTTTGGGAAATTTTCATATTCATATTCCAAGAAATCGATTTTATACGAATTATTAAAATTTAATGAGCGAAAATTGCAAAACTCGAAAATATTGTCGATTATTTCAAAAACTTATTTCTCAAGAACTGAAAGTGCTTTTTCAAAACGGCTTTTTGCATTAAAAAGAGGATACTTTAGTTAATAATTGGTAATATTTCCACAAGAATCCTTCAAGGAATGAATTTTATAGCGAATTTTGAAACTTATCGATGAAAATTGCAACATCGAAAATTTTATCAAAACTTCAAATATTGTTTTCTCAAAAACNTGCAATTCATAACGTTCTGTTGCATCTTGACCAGTCGTTTAGTCCTGGCCCGGATGGTATTCCATCTTTATTCTTAAAAGAGTTTGCTACTGAGCTGTCAATGCCACTGTTTCGTATTTTTTCGAAGTCCTTACTTGAAGGTGTTTTCCCAAGTATGTGGAAAACGGCTTTCGTTATTCCAATATTTAAATCCGGTGTTAAACAGTTGGTATCCAATTACCGTCCTATTTCTATCCTTTCAGCTATCCCCAAGGTTTATGAAAAAATTGTCCACGAATATCTTAGTCTGTCTATTTCTCACTCTATAATCAATGAACAACATGGTTTTCTGTCTGGGCGATCGGTGGAGTTTAATCTGTTGTCTTATGTAAACTTTATTCATTCTGCTTTAAACGAGGATATTCAGATTGACGCAATTTACACCGATTACTCCAAAGCCTTCGACAAAATCGATCATACTATTCTTGTACAGAAACTTTTCTCCTTTGATATTCCAGATGGCCTTGTACACTGGATTATGTCGTATTTATCTAACCGAAGTCAAGCAGTCAGGATTGGTAGCTTTATATCTGGATACAAACCTATCACATCCGGTGTGCCTCAGGGCAGTCATCTTGGACCCTTACTATTCGTAATGTACATAAATGATATTTCTTCGTGTTTTATATTTTCTAAGTTCCTACTCTATGCCGACGATAATAAAATATTCACAAGGATCGGGTCTAATCAGACTACAGGAAGATCTTGACCGCCTGCATGAGTACTGTCGCCTCAACAAACTGCACTTAAATTATGACAAATGCCAAAAAATTACATTTACTAGGAATCGTTATCCTCTTATCTTTGCTTACAACTTTAACGGTGCTGCTATCCCGTCCACGGATAAAGTAAAAGATCTTGGCATCATATTGGATTCCAAGTTGCGATTTCATCTTCATATTGAATTTATGGTGAAGAAAGCTCTACGTAATTTGGGGTTTGTTATCAGGGTCAGTAAGAATTTCACGAATTTTTTGTGTATAAAAACCCTTTATTTGGCATTTGTCAACAGTGTGCTATGTTATGGTTCCGTAATATGGAACCCCATGTATGCGGTGTATCGTGGTCGTATTGAAGCTATTCAGCGACGCTTTGTACGTTATTTGGCACATAAATTTCATCTTCCTTACTGCGATTACGATAGGCGTTGCGTGGTCTTCAACTTGTTGTCACTGCAGCAGCGTCGAATTGTTGCTGACTTGATCTTCCTCTTCAAGCTTGTTAATGGCATGCTGGATACCCCCGATCTTCTGCCTGAGTTGAGTTTCAATGTACCGCAACGGCTTACACGTTTCAACGCTACATTTCGTCTTGATAGATCTAACACCAACCTTTATCAAAGCTCTCCATTAGTTCGAATTCTTAATTCCTATAACCAAGGTTTCAACCATGTACCTCTCTTTGACATTTCCTTACGCTCTTTTAGAAAATATGTACTAACTAATGTATAGCGGATGTTTTGTTGATCGCTTTATCGTTGTATTTATTTTGGTTTATATCACAATTTTTTTTTATATTAATTTTCGTTATTATGAGGATGCTTTGTTGGGGATATTCTCCCCGTATGCATCCCGAATATGTAATAAATAAATAAATAAATAAAAATAAATATTTCCACAAGAATCCTTCAAGAAATGAATTTTATAGCGAATTTTGAAACTTATCGATGAAAATTGCAACATCGAAAATTTTATCAAAACTTGAAATATTGTTTTCTCAAGAACTAAAAGTTATTTTTCAAAATGGGTTGGTTCATTGGAAAAAACACACTATTATTAACACTTTGGGAAATTTTCATACTCATATTCCAAGAACTGGATTTTATACGCATTTTTAAAGTTTAATAGGCGAAAATTGCAAAATTGGAAAAAATTGTCGATCATTTCAAAAATTTATTTCTCAACAAAATTTTGTCTGTTACATTTAGTAGTTTAGAAGGGTAGGTTGAAAATACAAATAGGGTCAAAACGTACCCTATTATGAATTAAACATATTCCCCAAATTTCTTTTTCCTAGCATTTATGGTTTTTGAGAAAAGAAAATTAAATCAAAATTTTCCGCTACTTTTGGAGGGGTGTAGCTCCTTAGGGGAGCCGAAGTCGCCCATGGTTCATATATCAAAGTACCCTTAAAATTCACTAAAGAATCATCCCTTGAAGTTTGTTGCAGTCATTCGGATACACCTGTATATCGTATTGGGATTGTTACAATGAGGTTGCTAATGACAAACCTGGTATATATAGACAAACTTACACCTAAATGAGATACTAGTTCCTCTGAATGGTGGAGCACTAAGTAATAGATTTTTAATATCTAGCCAAAGCCGGATATTTGGCCGGATATCCGTTCCACCACTAGTGGTCACGATGTATGTAAACAAAAACGTCATTAAAAAGAACATCAAGAGATGGCCCTTCCTTTCTAAATTCACATCATTCAGTTCTGAGGCACAAGTTATGCATGTGGTTTCGTTACAATATTCTCATTTCCGTGGAGTTGGCGTTTCTTGGATGTTATGTTCTTGAATTTTAATAGGTCTTTTCGTATTTGTTCTTTGTCTCTTTTAAACATTTTTTTTAAAGAATTTGCTTTTATCTTTTGAAGTTACAGGTGAATATTTGTTATATATACATATATAGGAATTTTGTCGCCAACTTCAAAGGCACCGCAAAGACGTCACGCATGAGTAGACAACTACTATTTGACACTTTAAACTAGAGGTAACACACGCACTAGTACAAACACTAGATCTAGAACTAATATTGGTCCGATACTGAGGTCATTTTATGGATTACAAAAGAACAAAGGATGTAGCAGTTCTTTTAGATTTTACCAGCCTTGTTATATACACATTTTCTTACATACTTTATCACTGTCACATTTTTATTTTGTACCGACTTAAAAATGATAGCTATTTACATTGATAGTGCTATCTATCAATCATCTACATAAAATATCCATCAATTTCCAATTTTTTTTTAGCTATAATTAAATATAAAAGTAATTTTTCACATGCAAAAATGTATAGAAATGGAGAATGTGCCGGGTAATACATATACCAGTTTTTCCACATAAAAATTCCAATTGAACAGCTTTGGAATTGAAATTTTTAGTAGATCGGCTTTTACAAACGTAAAAGCATCTGAAATATAAAGCGCAGAACCTTTTGTATATACGAGAGCAAGAGGATTATGTAACGACCGTGAAACTCTAAATCAAAGGGGATTTTCCGTTGCTTTTCCTCACTTTATAATTGAATTCCTCGCAAAAATACAAACATACCGAAAATTATGAATTTATTTTACTTCAAATAGTAGTGCTAGAAATGTATTAATGTATCCCTCGTAGATTTCCTGCATAAATATCATAGTTGAGCTGAAATATGTCGAATATTTGAACTCGACTCCGCACAATTTCCGCTATCGTCGTTGACGTCGTTGGGGAATTTACGAAAAACCTTTGTGTCAATCGTGGAAATCCGAAGCGAATCGGAAAATGTAATAACTTTCTCCATTCTACATACATAAAAATGACACGATCACGAGAAGTCCGCTTTTTTATTTGTTCATAAGAAGATTTATGTAACGGTAAGACAAAAAACTTAGCTTTTTTTAAATACACGAGTAAATTCTGAGAGTTCAAATCTAAAAATAATGTTTAAAATATTTTAAAGATAATAATCTCGAACGACCAGAAACCTATAACTCCTTGAAAACCTCAAGAAAAGTTTAAAACACTTCACCTCTTTCCATTAAAACTTTCACGAAAACATTTCAGATACTTCGAAAGCTTCAATTTTTCAACAACACCAAAACTCTATTTTAACACTAATTTCATTATTAAGTCTTGCACAATTTCATTTTTATTATAGTTGTTATCTTGTAAATTAAAAAAATGGGAAATTGGCAAGAACTAAGAAGGAACTATAAATTAACCGTCCGGTTGCATTCTAATTGACTGCAATTCGTTCGACCCGGTTTGAAGCGAGTTTGCAGACAATTAAACCAAGAGCAAAAGACTGCAATTAAACTAGCACTTAATTGACAATTTCGTTTATTTCTATTTGTATTTAAATGAGAATTAATCTGAAACATTAATTACACCAAAATAAGATTAAAAAAATTAATAATAAAATTTCTTTTCTAACTTACTGCGATTAAACTTTCAGATAACGAATTCTTGTCTTTAGCGAAATGCTCGATAACCTGCCAATTACTTTTTCGCGGCGTCTCAGCATGCGAAGGAGTCGTCGCAACCGTTGAAGGCGTCGAGACGCCGCTGTTGATAACCAACTGTTCCGAACAGGGCATTGGATGCTGTTTTAAACTGGTCCATCTTCGACCGGAAGCTCGGCGAATTGAACTTTGAGTCCCTTCCTATAAAAAAAAACAGATTTTAAATTAAAAGTTCTACTTTTAGCTCTATCACGCCCTTTAACGCTATCGTTGAAAGTAATACTAGAAGTAGAACTAGCAATATTCGGATTTAGCCGTTTTCAAAGTTATATCTCTCTAATCTTTTAGAGCGATTTATAAATTAAAAAGAATCAGAAATAAGCTTTGCCGGGGGAGAATGATTCTATCCAATCCGGGTGGTGTGTATCTAGACAGGACGTCGCGCCTTTATTGTACCTACATAAAGAAATAAAGGCGCGACGTCCAGTCTTGAACACACACCAACACCATCTTTTCCGATTGGATGGATCCCCCCTTTCCGCGCCTCTAGATTAATAATAATAAATTTTTGAATGTTTAAATTATCTAGAATTGGACCGTGCTATACATCACTTGACTAACAATAAGCGACATTTTATCGTTTTTAGAGATTTTCATGCTGCCTAAAGAAAATGAAAAAATCGATTGGGATGATGCCAAAACAAAATTATTGCTGCTAACTCTATAAAGAAAAAAAATCTTTAGTTGAAGAACGAAAAATAAAAACATTAAAGAAAGTGTGGAATTTGATAAGAGATGAAATGAAGGGGTATGGGTACATTGCATCTCCTCTCCACGTAGAGAACAAGTGGAAGAGTCTTGAAAGAGGTTATAAAAACAAATTCTTAACATCAAAGAAAACTGGAAGAGGTAGAAGATCCTGCCCATATGAAAGGGAATTAGAGGATATTTTAGTAAAGCGTCACTATATACAACCCATTTGTACCTTAGGGAGCTCTACAATGGGAAATATCGTTGATATTATGGGAAAAAAGCGAAAACCAGATTGTGCAATAGAAGAATGCATGAACAAATTGCAGGACCTTCGAATGTTTCGGTTCCTGAAGCCGAAAGATGCTTTACACCAATAGTAACAGAACCTCCAATCAATTCAAGAAATACAAACTCCATCCCATAAGAACATATATTAATTGATTCTACATCACTGTCGGGTGAATGGCTACTAAAAAAACATTCTGCGATGATTTCAGCCTTTTCCGCGACTAATTCGCTGACAATCGAAGACTTGACAGTCTATTTCAAACATTATACACTTTCTTCATAAAAACCCGTTCGTTGCGGCCACGCTTTACACACTTTTCTAACTTGCACTCAGTTGACATAACCTTGCACTTACTTACACTTAATTGCACTATGACGTCATACTACTAGTGCCATGTCGTGCAGAGTAGGGAAGTCCCAACGAACAATGCTTAGGTTGCATATTTTTATTGCACTAAAACTAGAACTAACACTAGACCAAAGATTAAAGAGTAAACAAGATGCGACGCTAGAGAGAGAAATCCTAGTTTTGAAAAGAGATAGGAAGACATTCCAATTTAAATGCCCCGACGTCACATTTGTAGGTGTAGTTTGTTATTAGCTTTGTTCGTTGGGATTGCACGACATGGCACTAGTATGATCAATTAAGTGTAAGTAAGTGCAATGTCTTGTCAATTCAGTATAGGTCAGAAAAGTGTGTAAACCGTGGTCGTAACGAACAGATTTTTATATATGTATAATATGTTGAGGTTATGTTAATGTCAAAAGAATATAACTTTATAATAATAATTTTTTTTTTTATAATAACTTTATTACAACTTAAGCTGTTAATATACAAGCTCCACCAACAGCTTTAATTTTATCTTCTGCAGAGTTCGAGAAGAATTTGGCCTTAACAATGACGGGCTGATTTGGAATTCTTCCTTTGCCTAATAATTTATAATAACCCTCAGGGCATTTAAATTGGAGTGTCTTCCAATCTCTTTTCAAAACTAGAGTTTCTCACTCTAGTGTACCATCTTGTTTACTTAATCTTTGGTTATAATAAAAACATTATTTACTTTTATTTTGTTCATTATATATTATTATTACATATCCACAGGTTTTTCAAAATTCTCGCTTTTTGTGGATTACAATTTAAAGGTTCATAGCGTTCAAGGTCATAAAAAATGGCAGTCCTACATCAAAGGTGCCGACACGAAGCGTCGCATCTTGTTTACTCTTTAATCTTTGACTAGTTTTACACTAGCATTATCACTAGAACTAACACAAGACCTAAAATTAGAATCATTCCTGTTTAGCCGTCTTGAGAGACGTGGGACTAAATCCGAATGTTTCTAGTTCTCGGTCTGGTGTTAGTTCTAGTGGCAGTAGTAGGTAGCGCTAGTTAGCATAATATATTACTATGTTACATATTTTTATTTCACTAAAGCTAGAACGAGAACTAGAAACATTCGGGTTTAGTCGTGAAAAAAAATTTCAGTTGTCAATGTCAACTTTAATTTTATTATTATATTCGTAATCTTCATAAAATAACCTTTAAAGTGAGTCCAAACATGACGCNCTGAGTTCGAGAAGAATTTGGCCTTAACAATGACGGGCTGATTTGGAATTCTTCCTTTGCCTAATAATTTATAATAACCCTCAGGGCATTTAAATTGGAGTGTCTTCCAATCTCTTTTCAAAACTAGAGTTTCTGACTCTAGTGTAGCATCTTGTTTACTTAATTTTTGGTTATAATAAAAACATTATTTACTTCTATTTTGTTCATTATATATTATTATTACATATCCACAGGTTTTTCATAGCATTTATTATTTAAAAAAGGACAATTTTAAAATTCCCGCCTTTTGTGGATTACAATTTAAAGGTCCATAGCGTTCAAGGTCATAAAAAATGGCAGTCCTACATCAAAGGTGCCGACATGAAGCGTCGTATCTTGTTTACTCTTTAATCTTTGACTAGTTTTACACTAGCACTATCACTAGAACTAACACAAGACCTAAAACCTAAAACTAGAATCATTCCTGTTTAGCCGTCTTGAGAGACGTGGGACTAAATCCGAATGTTTCTAGTTCTCGGTCTGGTGTTAGTTCTAGTGGCAGTAATAGGTAGCGCTAGTTAGCATAATATATTACTATGTTACATATTTTTATTCCACTAAAGCTAGAACGAGAACTAGAAACTTTCGGGTTTAGTCGTGAAAAAAAATTTCTGTTGTCAATGTCAACTTTTATTATTATATTCGTAATCTTCATAAAATAACCTTTAAAGTGAGTCCAAACATGACGCATTTATCTCAAAAAACCAAAAAGTTCGAACTTTCAACTTTTAATTTCGACATAGTTGTCAACTTCATAAAAAATCCTTTAAAATGAGTCCAAACTCGGTATATTTAACTTTAATATTAATGAAAATACTATCATTTTCGGTTTGAAACGTCAACGTCAATTTTGACATATATGTCATCTTCATTAAAAAACCTTTAAATTGAGTCTTAAAATGAGAATAAAAAACATTAAACCATAAGTTAGTAACAATGAAGATAGCAATTTAATGTTTAAATATTAATACCAACCTTAATTTTTTATTTATTTTTATTATATTTTTGGTTTTGTGACAAATATTAAGACATGTTTGGACTCATTTTAAAGGATTTTTCACGACGATTACAAATATGTCAAAATTGACGTTGACATTCTTAACCGGAAGTTGACCATAACTTCATTAATATTGAAGATAAATATGTCGTGTTTGTACTCATTTTAAAGGATTTTTAATGAAGATTACAAATATGTCAAAATTGAGGTTGACATTTTAAACCTGAAGTTAGTTATCATATAATAGACAAATGGACAACTTCATGGTGTTCTTTCATGATGTATTCTTTATTAAAAAAACCTTTAAAATGAGTCCAAACATGACGCACTTATCTCAAAAAACAAAAAAGTTAGAATAAAAAACATTAAACCCGAAGTTAGCAACAATGAAGATAGCAATTTAATTTTTAAATATTAATACCAACCTTAATTTTTTATTTTTTTTTATTATATTTTTGTTTTTGTGACAAATATTAAGACATTTTATAAAAATTAAGAATATGTCAAAATGACATTGACATTTCAAACCGGAAGTTGCTTATATCTCGAGTAATATTGGAATTAAACGTATCATGTTTGGACTCATTTTAAAGGATTTTTCACGACGATTACAAATATGTCAAAATTGACGTTGACATTCTTAACCGGAAGTTGACCATAACTTCATTAATATTGAAGATAAATATGTCGTGTTTGTACTCATTTTAAAGGATTTTTAATGAAGATTACAAATATGTCAAAATTGAGGTTGACATTTTAAACCTGAAGTTAGTTATCATATAATAGACAAATGGACAACTTCATGGTGTTCTTTCATGATGTATTCTTTATTAAAAAAACCTTTAAAATGAGTCCAAACATGACGCACTTATCTCAAAAAACAAAAAAGTTAGAATAAAAATCATTAAACCCGAAGTTAGCAACAATGAAGATAGCAATTTAATTTTTAAATATTAATACCAACCTTAATTTTTTATTTTTTTTTTATTATATTTTTGTTTCTGTGACAAATTTTAAGACATTTTATAAAAATTAAGAATATGTCAAAATGACATTTTAAAGGATTTTTCACGAATATGTCAAAATTGACGTTGATATTCTTAACCGGAAGTTGACCATAACTTCATTAATATTGAAGATAAATATGTCGTGTTTGTACTCAATTTAAAAGATTTTTAATAAAGATTATAAATATGTCAAAATTGAGGTTGACATTTTAAACCTGAAGTTAGTTGTCATATAATAGAGGTTTTATAACTGAAGTTAATCTATTTACTTTTCCGCACTCTCTTTTTATTTTTAACGTGTTTTTTGGGTCATTTCACATTGATTTAAAAAAATCGTCGAGTTTTAAGCCACATTATGATTCTTGAATTTTTCCCAAGTTTCTTAATATTTCTTTTGTTAAAAAAGAGAGTTCTTAAATTTTTATCTGTAAACTTGCAACACTTCATGCTTAATTTCATTTTATAACTTTTTAAACTTTAATTTTATAAATTAGTAACTAATAATCTGATTTCTAGAGATAAAGATGATAAGATGAGAGATGTTAATCCATTT